TGGAACTGATTAGCATGAGACATACACACTGAAACATTTCTTCCAGGAATAAAATAAAAGAGAACTGATATTACCCAAGACCAACAGGCTTGCATGCACATCTTCAAAGCACCCACCAGTAACGCTGCTCAGCATCAGGTGGTTTCACAGTCATACATATTAACATTTCATATTCAGAGAATAGTATAAATCTGGCAACATTCATTGTAACGGATTTACAGCAGATAAAGTATTAGTGGCAGCTACATTATGCCAATAACTTAACGATCAATATAAAAGTTCATACTTGGCATTAGCACGATATATTTAGCTGCAAATCTGCCAACAATGAAACATGGACACAATGAGATCTGGAAAGTGTCCCAAATTATGTTATGCTTTATGGAGGCAATTTAAATTGGTAAAGGGAGTGTTAAATGAATCTACCATGATTTAAACAATTAAAATAAAATTATGATATGAGAACACTAGAATGGGCAAAAACTCAATAGCCTGCCCTTTGGTTAGTCCCTGCTCAGGTCACAAACCAGGTTTTTCTAAGACGTGCTCTCATAGACGGAACCCACCATGTTGACCCACCATAAAGGTAGTCCAGATACAAAATGCCAGCATGCTCCCCTTGCATGATAGATGCTGCTAGTTTTAGAATACTTTGGGACTCGTCAGGGAGATCTAGCAAATACCCCTCTACACTGCCAGTTACTTCCTGCTACAGAGTACGGAACCAAGTGCTCTTGGAGAGGACATACATAGTCTTATGATGTTTTCATCAGGTGGCAGGAACCACAAACCTTCATTAAAAGTGAATACCTCAATTTTTTTCATCCTTCCATCAATTAGGGACAGTTCATCAGCTTCTGCAATTTACTGCTGCAAGCTCCTGCAAATGCAAAAAGTGGATATTAAGAGGCACATCAATGCACGAAGGGGAGGAAAAAAAAAACAAATAAATCTAAACCGTTTGAGTCGAGTTTGGCTGCAGGCATAGGGGTGAGGAGTGTTAGTCAAAGAATGATGCCAAAAGCTGGACAAAACAGATATTGGTAAAGCACGTTGGAACTTGCACATTATCAAAAAACACAGCAGTCATCTATTGGCATCATCAATGCTGGTCTGCCCATAACCCAAAATAAACAGCTGCAATGTTGTCACTTAGTCACTGTTATCCACTTACCTACAGTCATTAACATGTTGATTAATGCAAATATTATACTGTAACTTACCCCACAATTGGAATTAGGAGACATTGTTTAATATGTGCATACAGTTGGTTGGGACTGAAGAGAGCAAAATAACCTCATACATATATAACAAAAGAACTACTAAATTCGTTTTAGGATCCCTTTGAAGCCAAATCTTTTATGCAATCCTGCATGTGTATATTACTAAACTATCATGTCTTTGATTTGGGACAATCTAGTTAGAAAGAGCATTTTCCAATGCATTTTTTAATGTAAACACTGCATTTTCTCTGAAAATACAGTGTTTACTGCAAAAAGCTTGAAGGGAATGTTTCTACTCACCAAAACAAATACAATAAGCTGTATCCCCCCAAGACGTTCCACAGACGTTTTCCCCTGGACAATTGGGCTTTCCTGTTATCTCTGCATAACCACAATGAATAACCACAAAGGAAAGATCCTTTTTAATATGCTTAGTCTAGCAGCATGCTGTACTATGGCTCAGTTATGGCTGTTTGTAGAGGTCCCATCATTGGCACAGGTCCTCTTAAATATTAAAGACACATATGTCATGGACAAATTGACCGCGCAGGACAGAAACACTTCGTCCACATTTCATTAGATATGGTCCCCGTTGGAGCAGTACAATGGTCAATAGAGTGGGATGATGGGAGATCTGCATGGCCTCTACCTTCCAACCCTTGGCATTTGAACTTTTTATTTTCATTTTTATTTTTCTGGGTATACTTGTCTGTATCTTAAATGTGTATTTTTTTTATAAATCAACCTTGTTACACCTGCTCCTGTTGCTTTCTGGTTGTTTATCTCAGTGGGACCAAGCTCAAAAGGCAGGCAATTGCACACAGTGCATGCCTTTGGAAGTCTCTGAATGGACAGCCACAAAAAGTCTGAGCTGGGTTAGAAGAGGAGGGTTTGCAAAGGCTTCTAACAAGAGATGTGTAGATTTTGCAAGCTTTTTCTATGCATATGCCCTCAATGGGAAAAAAAAAAGCATTATTAACCCCTTAAGGACACAACTTCTGGAATAAAAGGGAATCATGACGGAATATTTCCGTCATGTATCCTTAAGGGGTGTTAAAGGTATGCATGTTTTCATTTTGGGTATATCTACTAAACAGTGATTTTTATTTTACTTTTTTTTTTTTTGAGCAGCGGAGTGTTCCTTTATTAAGCTAGCATAAAATATTCAGTGACAGATGCTTTAAGACAGACTGGAGCATTGGAAGACTTCATAACATCTGATACAAAGGTTGATGGTCTAAAGAGAATTCCTAAATTTGCGAAAAGGCAAGTCTTTAAATTTGATGATTACACAGAGGAGGAAAGTAAATGACATTCTAAGAAATATTAGAACATGTTATCTGCAGATGAGGTCCTGGGACTAACACCTTTCTCAAAACCCTAAGGTGGTTAAACAGAATATAATTTAAAGCATGTTTGGTCCCAAAGTATCTTGAGGAAAACAGAAACCCATACTTCACTGCAGATGAGAGTAATCTTCTGTTATTATTCAAATGTGCCAGATTTCAAGTTTCTGATTTGAAAAGAAATAATATATTGTATCACTTTTCATGCCAAAAGGAGAAATTCTGAATAATTTATCTTGTGCGATATATGATTTGTGGTCTACCTGATCTCATGTGGTCATGGTAGAATATATATATTTATACGGGGCAAGCTGCCAGACCCCCTCAAAGATTAGATCTTGGAACATATGGGTCTAATCTAATCAAATATGAGAAGCATAACATACCCAGACATTATATTATCTGCCATCATGGTAATCTTTCCAACAGAACCTTTATGATGAAAGTTTTTAAACATTACATGAAAGGGGATTTAGGAGATAAGTCTACAGGAAAATAGCACATCAATTAAAAAAAATGCTTTTACTCAATAACAGAATATAACTTACTTGATTAATACTTCCAAGAATGTGTTGTATTTCGAGGGAAAGGAACACACTAGATGGCAGATGACAAAATAGTTGTGAGCTAACAAAAGCACGTGTTACAGTGTTTACAAATTGAGCCATTTGCGGAGTGAACCAGTTAAATCATCACCATCATATGGTTTTGTAAATTCATTCTTGATGGGGCGACGTTACAAAAAATGCCACGGGATTATATCCTTTGCTAGTTTATGAAAGATCTACTTCTGTATTTATAGTCAACAACAGTGGTGTAATGGACAAGGGACAACCCCACTAGACATCGATATAATATCTACCTACAACAGGACTTATCCATTAAGCAAAATACTATGTAAGAGGGGTTTGGAGCAAAATAGCAACCACTGTATCACAATTTTCATAATTGTCCAAGATTAAGGAAGTAGAATTCCAATTATTGGACCCTATTAGACAGTGAAAATAATAACAGAAGATAAAGCAGGAGGGTCCCATGGTGCCAATCAAAGTGTCCATAAGTGACCAAACTGACCATAAGAATCTGTCTTGTTGGAGTAAAGGTTGCAGCTTTATCTTATATCACGTTAAATGGTTACTGCAACCACCATTACCACTTCAATGATTTGCAGGAGCCAGCATGTGCACGGTTTCTGCTTGAAACAATGCACATCCAAGGATATAGTTAATTGTATGCTAGGGGTAGATGCACTGTGTGCTCCTTTCTGCCTTTGCTCCTATTTGGTTTTTAAAAATCCAAAATCCCACTTTCCCTTCAATAATGGCTCCCACACTCTCAAACCGCTCCCCTTGCCAGCTCAGACTGCGCACATTCGCTGAGCCCTCAAAACGGACCAATCTTCTCTATGAAGAGAAGACCTTTGACTGGACCATCGGAGTGCTGGCTGACGTCATGACGGAATGTGAATGATGAGCACCGGAAGTGTCACCCTGAGCTGAATTATTGTAAGTGAAAAACCTTTTATGGTTTTTTTCGGGGGGGGTTGGGGGGGTGGTTCTGTTAGTTATGCCCTTAATGGCCTTGTAAATGGGAGAAAAAAAATGTAATCTCCTACAGACACCCCAATGACGCTGCGGGAGGTGGGGTTACAGCTCTAACAGCAGAAGGGTTAGACTCCATATGTGCAGGGATTCAAACCAAAGCACTTCATCTAGAGACACCAGACACCATGACCACATTAAAGGAACACTATAGGGTCAGGAACACAACCATGTATTCCTGACCCTATAGTGCTAAACCCACCATTTAGGTGGCTTGCCGCCCCCTTAAAACCAATTAAAACACCTTATTTTCAGTGCCGGGCGGGTCTGGCCTCGCCTCCTTGGTGTCATCAACAGAATTGCCGATTTTTAGCCAATCCAATGCTTTCCCAATGCATCTCTATGAGGAAAATTCAGCGTCCCCATGCAGTGCGTGGAGATGCTGAACGGCAGCACTGCCCCAGGAAGCACCTTCAGTGGCCATCTGAGGAGTGGCCACTTGGAGGTGTCCCTAGGGGCAATGTAAACACTGCCTTTTCTCTGAAAAGACAGTGTTTGCATTAAAATGCCTGAAAGCAATGATTATACTCACCAGAACAACTACATTAAGCTGTAGTTGTTCTGGTGACTATAGTGTCCCTTTAAACCACTCACTGCTTGGAGTAACCCTCCTTTAAGAAGTGAATTGCAAAAAATTACAAATAGATGTGCAAAACCTGGAAAATAAACTGAATTTTGAGGAAATTGTTACACGCAGCTATTTTTTTTTTTAAACTAGTTTGCACTAAAACGTTTAAAAAAAATGTATTTATTTTTTTTCACATCACCAAAATTTACTAAACCCTTATGTGATTCAAGGCACATGCAGACTCCAGACACCATGGCCACTTCAAATCAAAAGGAAAAAAGAAGCTACGTTTTACTCTAACGGCTACTACTAATAATTGCAAAAATATTGATATCCTGTTCAGTAAAATGTTGTATAATCAGATCTGCAGGTAAGACAATTGGATCCGACAATCCTCAGCTAAGTCCTTCCAAAGGAAAGGAAGACAGAAAAGCAGTTACCAGGGCAAGGGAGAAATGCATTGTGCAAAGCAAAAACCAACATTCATAACGTCCAATCACAGACTGTAAGAATAAATCACAGAATAGTGATGCAAATAGAAGCATAAAACAAATTAAATTACTTGTTAAAAGTGACTTTGTTTCCAGCTGGTAATAGTTAAGCTGAAGATGCTGCCAAGATTATCCGACATTGTATAGAAAAAGGATGAAAAAGCACATTGTTTAACACAAAAGTTTAAAGGCAAGGTACAGCAGACGTGCAGTTTCAAAGCATGGAATGCGGTCTTTGAGAAATGATCTTTGCTATTATGTAAAAGCAATTTTACTATTTCTGGTTTTATAATCAGCATTAAAAATTATACAATGAACTTCCATATTGAATTGTTTAATCCAATAATCTGGTAAAAAATGAATTTGTCATCTAAAGTGATATGTGGAAAGTGCTGCGACTATAATGAATAAGATGAAGTGGGGTTCCATGAATAATGATTCCAAGTAGATGTAAAGATTATAATAGGGCTTGCAGCTTTCCTTTGAATTTGCTCTGTGTCATTTTCAGCATATTTTATAAAGATTCCTTCAGGTGATATGTTACGCTATGGGTCGTCAACCTGGTCCCTACCGCCCACTAGTGGGCGTTTCAAGATTCCAGGTGGGCGGTAATGATTTCAGCGGCTAAATCCTCTTTTTTTGAGGATTTCGCCTTTTGGGCGGGCGCGAGTGGCTATGCGGGCGCAAGATTTCAGTGACTGGCAGGAGGGAAGTGCTCCCTCCTGCCAGGCCACTTTCTGGACCCCCCACCCCAGCATGGCGTGCAGCAGTGATAAGATCTGACGCGGCGAGGAAGCTCTAACCGCTCTGCTCTGCTCTCTCGTGCGATGTTTTCTGATGCCGCGAAGCAGGCTCCTTCGCCCCCCTCGGATTTGAACTCTGCCGCCCGCTGAAGTGAAGCCCCACTGGACCCCAGGGACAGATCCACACCAGCTCTCCAGGTAAGGAGGCTGGGTAGACATTTAATATTAATAATTTGTGTGTATGTAAGTGTATGTGTGTATGTATTCGTGTGTCTGTAAGTGTGTGTGTCTGTAAGTGTATGTATGTTTGTAGGTGTGTATGTGTTTCTCTGTGAGTGTGTGTGTCTAAGTGTATGTGTGAGTGTTTGTCTGTGAGTGTGTGTGTTTGTCTGTGAGCAGAATACTAGTAGAATAGAAGAAAGAAGGAGCAGAGTATTTGTAAAAATGAGAAAGAAGGCGCAGAGTACTTGTAGAATAGGAGAAAGAAGGAGTAGAGTACTTGTAAAAAAAAAGGAGAAAGAATGAAAAGGAAAAGGAGAGAATTGTTGTTGGCTAATAATAGTAAGTGGGCTGCCTTGCTCTGCCTTCCTACTGGGCATTGCTATAAGGAAGGTTAAAAAATAGAAAAAAGGAAAAAAAAAAAAAAGGTGGTGAGAGGAATTGAGGAGGGGAGCTGATACACAGATGAGAAATCATATGAGCAAACAGAGAAATCGTCTGAATACCATCGAATGAGGAGACCTTCGTTTGCTCCTTACAAAATATTTAACCAGATATCAAATATTTAGTCTCGCAGCATCAGCCTCAAGGATCTCATTAATCACTAGTAAAGGAAATTTCAATTTACTTTGTTGCTTTCTCGTTAAACTTTATAAAGTTAAAAACATTAAACATGCATAAAATAGAAATAAAAAGATAAATGTACGTACATTTATTTTTTTTAAAACACCCTCCTTTCTAAAAAATATTCTGCACTTGTGCAAAAACTGGTGGGCGGTAAGGAAATTTTTCCAATCAATCAAGATGCATTAGTGGGCGGTAGGTAGAAAAAGGTTGACTACCACTGTGTTATGCTATGTACAGCGGCCCGGGAGAGAAGAATTATGAAGCTCTCCCTTGTGTGGCCACCATCATCTTCTGGCTGGTTCTGATGGTTGATTCACCAGGAGCTCATGATGAGAGTACAAAATAAAGGTCTATAGAAGATCCAGCAAAACCGCCAACAATGGATGGGCAATGACAAGACTTGATAACAAAAACACCCCCTTTTGTCAACATCATTGGCTATAAGACAAAGTTTCTCATATGTTATCTACTGATAGTGGTGGAACTTCCGTGAAATCTCAACACGGGCAACAGAAGTATTTCATAAAGATTATATCTTACAGAAGATAAATACAGAAAAGTGTAAGACGCTTTAAATCTAAAATTGGGAACTACCCTTGAACAGTATATCTTTTGCAGTTGTCCATGCGCATTTTGTTTCTTCTGAGGAAACTGCATTTTATATCTCGCTCTGCTACACTAATCACTTTAGTAGGCGTTTTAAGAGTATTTCTCTGCAATGAGAAAGAGGTAGTGTTTTAAGAATACTTTGATTTAAATAAAATATAGTCAAAACAATAAATAAATAAAAACAATCATTTAACAGGACAGTTTCAGCCAGTCCTAAGTACTCATACTTCGAGAAAGTAATTTCTATTGATTTAAACTCCAAATGAAACATGTAGACACTGATATTTAACCCCTTAAGGACACATGACATGTGTGACATGTCATGATTCCCTTTTATTCCAGAAGTTTAGTCCTTAAGGGGTTAAGTTAATCCAATACTAGAGAACAAGGTTGATTAAAGGTATTAGAATGTTTTAAATAAATATGAAATGTGAATATTGTGTATGTAATGAGGAGTAAATAAACTATTAATCTGAAATATAAAAGTCACAAAATGAAAATAAAATACTCACGTTAATAGTTACACACAGAGGACACTGGCGCACACATTTACACACAGCGGAAACTGACACAAATACACTCACTGATTTGACACACGCTCATTCACACATTCACCGACACGCACAACAGACACACACACATTTTTTAAAAATTATTCTTATTTAAGACCCCCCGGCCTTCCTACCTTTGGGAGAGTTGGAGAGGATCCTTTGTCTAGGTCCCATTGGGGATTCTTTCATTGGGGCTTGTGTGATTGCGGTCATCTTAATGGCCTTCTGTACACACTGTTTAGTGATGCTGGGCGCCGGAGTGACATCATAACCTGGCCCTTGGCATCATCGCAGATGGCATGCTGGAAAAGCACAGACAACTAGATGTCCCTCTTCATTCTCCCCTCTGGACTCAGAAAATTCGGGCAGAGTAGGCACCTGCTGTTCGGGTAAGCAGGTGCCTACACCGCCTTACGCACAGCCAGCCAGCTCCTGGCATACCCCCTGCTGGTGGTGCGTGCACCCACAACCTTTTAAAGCAACACTCCAGACATATAAAGTACATCAGCTTATATGACGTCTGTCATATTTGGGGCAGTTCATGAAAGTGAACATTTCAAGTCAGCATTTTATAAAACTTTGTATTAACACATTCCCTGCTGTCAGACAGCCATGGAAATGTTCAGATAGCAGAACTAAATAGTTAAAAACAATTCCAATGGTGTGTCTTTACTGAAGTATAACTGCATATTGTCAATTTAATAATTTAAGTTAATAAACTATGCATTACATCACATACACAGATGCCAGGAGTGTCCCTTTAAATATATATCTCACATGAATCTTATCGATTTTGTGAGGAAAACTACTGTAATCAGGTTTCTTTTTCTTTTTAGCATAAACCATTTTTTTTTATTATTACATCCATGTGTTTATTTGTATCCAGTAATTTTACAAGACATTCCTTGATTAGATCGCACTACACTACATCAATTGCCTTGTGGAATTAAAAAAAAAACCAAACAAACATTATATGGATTGAAAAATAGATATATTTGAGCTTTGACTTGTGCAAGGCTGACTATATGATTTATGTACCTTGAGATATTCCTCAGGAACCAAAGAGCTCAGCAGCCACAATCCAAACCCCAAAGGAAAAATCAGAGCGTCGTCCCCTCCCCCCCAAAATAAAATAAAAACAGTCTGCTCGTGTGGACGGCGCCATCTTGTGTTATAAAATGACTCTGGTGTTTCACGCAGAAGCAAGGGTTCCGACGGGGCGGGACTAAAGATGACATCATTGCACTTCCTGCGCGGAGTATAGGGGATGCTGGGAAACACAGATATAATGTGAGCTTTGCTATGGTTTATTGCTATTACACTAGGACAGTAAGAAAACCAAAGCTAACTGGAAGAGGTGCAGTAACTTGCAGGGAGAGAACCATACTGGAAGAGCCAGGTGCAGGACACTGCAGATAGACTATATATATTTTTTTTTTTTTTTAAAGAGTTTAGTAGATATACCTCCAAAGTAAATATGAATGTATTTCCTTTTGCAAGCTTTCTTTGGAGTTATATGAAAAATTAGTTGCACCTCTCATATCTTATCTAAGACAATCAGGAGTTTTTTTTTTTTTTTTATAAATGGGAAGCTACTGACAGGCTTAGAACATAAGCCGTTCTAAGCCAATCAGTGGCGCCGCTGGCTACCCTATGTAGCCAGATCCTGCGTTATCTAGGATTTTGGAAAGTGGAAGGACAGGGTGGCAGAGCGATCCGGTGCTGGAATACAGACTTTGAGGTTAAACTTATTTGTGAACAACTAAGCCCCTAAAAGTGAGCCAGTGCCAGGATCCATAACAACTTCATTGAAATTAAGTTGTTATGGTGCCCTGACTGGTCTTTTAAGGTGCTTGAGTAGAGTTCATGGAGATGTATTAGCAAGCATACTGTACCCGAGCTCACCTTCCGCTGCAATAAGTTAAGTGGAGTCAACAGAAGCGTAAAGGACCACTATAGTGCCAGGAAAACATACTCGTTTTCCTGGCGCTATAGTGCCCTGAGGGTGCCCCCACCCTCAGGGACCCCCTCCCGCTGGGCTCTGGAAAGGGGAAAAGGGGGAAAAAAAACGTACCTTTTTCCAGCGCTGGGCGGGGAGCTCTTCCGTTCATCCCCGTCGGCTGAATGCGCACGCGCGGCATTATCAATGCTTTCCTATGGACGCTTGCGTGCTCTCACTGTGATTTTCACAGTGAGAATCACGCAAGCGCCTCTAGCGGCTTGCGTGATTTGGGGGAAGGCTTAACCCATTTATAAACATAGCAGTTTCTCTGAAACTGCTATGTTTATAAAAAAAAAAATGGGTGAACCCTAGCTGGACCTGGCACCCAAACCACTTCATTAAGCTGAAGTGGTCTGGGTGCCTAGAGTGGTCCTTTAAGAACCCAAAGTTGCAGCTAGGACCGTGTCTCGAGAGTAATTTATAAAAGTTTGAGGTCTATTGAAATTGGCTCGTTTGCGAATTGGGGGGAGCACACTGTACACACATAAAGCACTTCAGCTAGCTTTTTAAATTTGGATTGTTCTAAATGCCTTTTTATTTTCGTCACACCAACTGTATGGGGCAAAAATGGTTGATTTGTGATACCTATGCTACCTCTGCATCCCATGTTTCAGGTAAATGTTATGCTAATATTTTCACAAACAGAAAGTGCTTAGTAGTGAAGGGGATAAAGGCAAATGTATTTTTAATAAGAAGGGGAACATTTATCTAAATATGTGCATTGACAAAATATTGATTCAATGCATCTCTATGAGGAGATGCTGATTGGTGCAGCGCGGCATTTCTGTGAGAAAGTATTCGATTGCCTCAAGTGGCCATCTAAAGCCAGACATGCACAGGGTGGGAGAAAAGGGGAGTATAATCACCTTTTTTACTACAAAGAGAAAAGGGCCGGGTACTTAACCAGTTATTGTACCACTATAGTGTCAGGAATACATGTTTGTTTTCCTGACAGTATAGGGTTCTTTAAGATGTGAATGAATTGTGATTTCTAAATCTTTAATATAAATATAAAAGCCTAGCATCAAATGAAAAGAAAACACAACTTATAGGTATTTTTCAACATTTTATTCAGTGGCATAGTTTCCATAGTTGGTTCCACTTTTACAGGTCCCCCTGTGAAACAGATATCTGAAATAATCGCCTCCTCTGCCATACCCATGCTGCCTAGCCTAAATGTTGTCCTACTTTTTGGTGGGGGGTGGAGTGGGTCAACTAATTTGCACAAAGTTAAACCTTTCTTCTAGTCATGGACTGGAAGCAGAATGTTATTTTTTGGATTTGCATAGACTTGTCCAACAATTTGCATCACTGGTAGGACTTCCCTTGCAAAGTGATTGGGTGCTTTTATCTAAGCCAATCACAAAGCTTCCCTCCAGGTTTGTTGCTTTAGCTACTCCAGTGGTCCAGCTACTCCAGAGTCCAGTGGAAAATACACAGGGCCTACAAAATTTACTGAGAACTGCGCAGTGATTGTCTTCTGAGGTTTAGTCCTACCATTAATTGTGCAGGAGGAATAGCTACTTAACTTTAAGAGGTGCTGTGTTTTTGCTGTCCTTTATGGTTTGTATGACAGAGGTGTTTTAGTTTTTTTGGTTTGTTTTAAATCAAGGTTTGACATTGAGGAAGATAAAGGTACTGAACATTTGAGGAAAGACTTAATTTCTGTTTTTTTCTGGAGATAAGAATATGACACTGATGTGTCTGTTTATTGTTAGATAATCAGATATGTGGTTTTACCCCTTGAACATATTTACATTATGTTTTCAAATCTACATCTCGTATCTGGACATTGTTAACCTTTGTACTTTCTTCTAAAGACTTTTCATTCAGAATCACGTCTTCAGTACTCGGAGCTCCTTGATTAGACATTTCCAGTCCTACTTCTAAAGAACGGTTTGTCTGAAGGTTCTTTTCATCTGTCTGTAAGTACTGTGGGTCCACCCATTGCTTTGTGTTGGATTCACAGCCAGCAATTGACTGATCACAGTTCAAGGATTTGCCTCTCTTCTTTGGGCAGCAGCAGCATAACAAAGTGTGAAATTCTTGTCGAAACCTGGGGCTCAGGCCCAAATAGATGATTGGATTATAGAAACTTGCCGACTTTGCAAGCAATGTAGCTACCACGTTGGTGTGGGCCGGTACCTGATAGCCACATGCTGACCACATAGAGATAACGGCGTATGGAGACCAGGCAAGGAGGAAAGCCGTACAGATAACAAATGACACCTGAGGGACACAAATAAATGAATGAGAACATAACAAAAATGTAGTAAAGTTTTAGGAAAGCAATTGTTGAAAGGTTTAACAGTGCGGTCACACACTGCTTTTCTCAAAACAGACAATACGGTTCACTGTGCAACTTATATTTGAATATATTAGATTACCCTGGTGATGGCCCTCTCCATGGTGAGTTGGTGGTGGCTTATATCACCTCCACGTGAGTTTCTGTGGCTTGCATGCACAGTTCTGATGATGGATACATAGCAGAAGACCATGATGGACACCGGAATGAAAAAGCCCCAAACAAAGATTCCAATGACATAACATTTGTAAGACATAGAACTTGTGGCTTGAGTCCAGTCTATCTCACATGTGCCATATTTACGCTCTGCAAAAAAATAAAAACACATAGCATATAAATGATATGATTCTAAATCATTTAGGGATCACTATTCAGAGACACTACATGATAATTAGAAATCTCCATCTGTTAATAGTTAGAACCCACATTGTTGTACAATAAGCACACCTGGGAACTCCCTAACCTTGCCACAAAGGCTGATCATTTCTGGTCCTGAAGATAAGCGGAGCAAAGCTCTGACTCCCTCCAGCCCTCCCCATATATATCTACTAATTTACTTCCCCCCAGTCAAGAATATTATTAGCATCATCAGGAAGACTTAAGGTGAGGTATTCCAAGCCTGCAATACAGTAATTTCTCAACCTATTCCAAAGCCTGAAAGTGGAGAAACCCATGCTAGTCTTGACTAATACGAGAAAGGTTGCCTAAGAGGGTGAAAGAGTGAAGGGCGACCTGCCTTTCCTCTAACACTCCCCCTAGGTATACCCACAGTAGTGAAAATAACTCATAGGGTATGAATAGAGTAAAAATTAAAAACTTATGTTTATTGAATTCTATTTAAAAATCTCTTTAAGGACAAAAATTAATGAAATAGGTGAAACACACAGTGTTGGTGAATTTAAAAAGGAAAGGTTCGATCCAGTCTAGACAGTCTCTTGTATATGTATATGTAACTAACTGTAAGTGGTTACTAATAAATTGATTTATACAATAAAATACGGTAATCTCTTGTATATAGAAGTGTAACTACCTGTAAATTGTTACTAATGAATTGACTTATACAATAGACACAATAGTCAAGAATATATTTAAGAGATAAAGGTCAAAAGCTAGTAAATAAGTTGCACTTAGTTGGATAGTATCTGATAGGAGCTCAAATTGATAAAGCCTCTACATATCCACTAGAAATAGATAGATGGATGGGGCTATGTTCAAATACTCTCTACCTTCCCTGTTAATATGGAACTATATTGTAGAAGTGTCTATTATAGAAGTCAATTCATTAGTAACAACTTACAGGTAGTTACACTTCTATATACAAGAGATTACCGTATTTTATTGCATGAATAAATTTATTAGTAACCACTTACAGTTACTTACATATACATATACAAGAGACTGTCTAGACTGCATCGAACCTTTCCTTTTTAAATTCACCAACAATGTGTGTTTCACCTATTTCATTAATTTTTGTCCTTAAAGGACCACTCTAGTCACCCAGACCACTTCAGCTTAATGAAGTGGTCTGGGTGCCAGGTCCATCTAGGGCTAACCCATTTTTTTTTTATAAACATAGCAGTTTCAGAGAATGTTTATGTTTATGTTTATAAATGGGTTAATCCAGCCCTCAAATCACTGAAAATCACAGTGATAACACGCAAGCGTCCATAGGAAAGCATTGTAAATGCTTTCCTATGAGACTGGCTGAATGCGCGCGCAGCTCTTGCCGTGTGTGCGCATTCAGTCGAAAGGGAGGAACGGAGGAGGATCAGAAGTGGAGAGCTCCCCTCCCGGCGCTGGAGAAAGGTACGTTTTAACCCCTTTCCTCTCCCCAGAGTCGGGCGGGAGGGGGACCCTGAGGGTGGGGGCACCCTCAGGGAACTATAGTGCCAGGAAAACGAGTATGTTTTCCTGGCACCATAGTGGTCCTTTAAAGAGATTTTTAAATAGAATTCAATAAACAAAGGTTTTTAATTTTTACTCTATTCATACCCTATGAGTTATTTTCACTACTGTGGGTGTACCAGTGGGGAGTGTTAGAGGAAAGGCAGGTCTCCCTTCAGTCTTTCACCCTCTTAGGCAACCTTTCTCGTGTTTGTACTATTTAGGGTTTAGGACCCTTTATACCCACATAGTCCATTTGTATGTTGACTTCGGGATCAAGCTTTGCTTGACCCCTAAGGCTTCATCTTTTCTTTAGTCTTGACTAATTGTTACAGGGTCCAACTTTTACTACAACCAACATTGCTCCCATTAGTAAGAGGATTTAGAGTTTAGGTACGTATGTTGATGACCTGATTGTTAAAACGTCCACATCATAAATTTACCTGTAAAGCTTCCAAATCCCAATAAAGGGAACCCAGACCAGATTGCAGCAGAGATCCAGATGAAGATGAGAGCCACACGCACTTTCTGTTTGTCTACCTTGTGAGCTAAAACAAGATTAATCAAAATAATTAATCCACATACATAGAACCTATCAACACCTTGTTGATCAAATTTTTTTCAAACAAACAAATCTTCAAGTCCCTCGCAGTTTTGCCTTCTCGATCTGGTAACATTAACAACCACCAACTAACATGTTTGGCTTGAAGAGCATTTGCTCTAATCCTGTGTTTAAAAAAAAAATAAAAAAAAAAATAACACAATTTAAAGATTAATGGTTTAAAATTTTGAGATCCTCCTCATTTCCTAATATTTGTTGACGCTCTTTTGTTTATCTCTTCTATATAATAAAGGCTTTGTAATTCATCCATTTTATCCTACAGAGATGAACAACGGCTTCTGTCATGTTCCCTGCTCCCTTTGCTCTTTTCGCGATCTTTTCTTTTTTCAAAAATTCAGTAATATCTTTAAAAATATTGGGATCCTAGGTTTACTGTGGAGATTGAAGCAGTCCTTATTTCTAAGAAAATCTATTTTTCCAAAATATGCGATGGGAAAGTATATTTAAGAGAAATTTTTGTTTCGGCCAGTAGACGTAACAGGACGATATAAAAAGTCATAAAAAGTTCTGTGTGAATTAATGATTTGATCCCATGTATGAGTTGATAGAAATGTCATACTTAATTTGAGATCTGTTAGTGAAAGCCATAATTTATCAATGTATCCGAGGCAGTGGTTTGTATTCCAAAAAACCTCTGAACTATCTGGAAAAGAAATCCATCAGTCATGAGAGTATAACATTTTTTGTATATGTTAACATTTTTTTGAGACAGTATGTCTGGCATAAAACATCCTTTTGAGAGGTGTCAGATATAAAAATTGGCAAGAGTACACAGTATTTTGTGAAGCAAGTGGTGAGCAATGAGACGTATGACGTTGGGCTTGATTAATCTGTATTATGTAAAGGTATGCATGGCCGTCCTGCATTTTAATACGGCAGCCATGACAACCCACCTTATTGAACTCTCCTGCTCATAGCTGACAACAGAACATTAGGTGGATCCAGCGACACCTGGTGCCTTGATTGGTGCGTTTCAATAAACCAAACTTCCTAATTACAATTTGCATACCAGAGAGGTGTCTGGACCAAGGGCATTGCCGTGGGTGATTTCACCCATGCAACTGCAGCACTGGAGAGCAGGGCAGCTGTACGTTGTACCAGTTTGTTGTGCTGTGGTCGAACAGTTGAATTCTAAGCTGTGATGACTGTGGCTTCTCCTGCAGACTAGTATAATGGCACTGCAATAACCCCAGCTGAGGTCTTTGTTGGAGTTTTGTCCTGAACTATCTGAAAAACCTCAATAAAGACCTGTGTATTAATACTAGGTTTCCTACACCCCACCAGCTACTCCTATATCCATATATATCTGCAGCTGATAGTCTAGTTGAAACTATGAGACCTCTGCAGTGGAGACCAGAATAACCTCCACTAGTCAAGGTTTTGGGAAACTGGCTCCAGTACAGTAGATGTCTATGTCCCAGGCAGGAGAAGAGACACTATGTGCAGCGGGACAGTAGCTAGAGCTCAAAGTCAGATACCTGGAACATTTTCCCTTTGGGGGTAGTGCAAACATTAGTGATCTTAAACTGTGCTAATCTGTGTTAATCGATGCTGAAATTGCTCTGAAAATAGACATAGGCAACACTAATCTGCAAATTCACAGCAAGTTAAGAGCTGCTCTCACAATCTGAAACCATCCAACACGGCGTCCAGACCCATCCATAAAACATGCCGTTTATTAATAAATCTAATAGTCTTTAGTCCCTAAACACATACAGTAATAACACAAATAGTAGCAAATGAGGAATTTCACTAGCTTCTCAAAAGAATAATTAGTCAATGTAATGGTCTCCTGCTGCTATAGTACAAAAGACCTGTCTGTGAAGTGACAGCTTCAAAGCTGAGCAGGGTTTATTTCAGCAAATACTGCAGATCAGTCACACTGATGGCTTCCGTGTCGGTCATTTATTATTGTGTGTGTGTAACTGTAAATTAACAATTTGCAATTTATACAAAATAGTTGAATTGAAAATATTGTCCAATTTACTCGTTTTCCCGTCTCATCAATTTTTGCCTAAAGCCTGCAGTGTCAATGTCCAGTGTCTTCACCATTTCCAGATGATTGAATTGACCCCTCCCTATGTGTTTAAGTCTCAGTAAAGACATCAGCAATCCTTACCGTGATGTGGCTGACATCCCTTGATGTAACGAAGGAGACTGATTGCAGTAAGGGTACTAATACTGATTAGGCCAAACATGAGGATCAGGAAGCCATCAACCTAATGAATTGAAGCAGATAGTCAGGGGAGATCTCACGAGATTCACTCAAAGTTGTTTAATAGGGTTATCCTCGGTAAGACTGCTTCTTGCTGCATGAGCCGCATACTAACCCTATCAGTGCTTTTGCATCAGATTATGATTTGGCTCATTTGCTTGGCTTTTAAAATATATTAAATATAGAACTGAGGACTTAAAATGGCACAGTCATCCCGCTCTGCTGAAAAATTTGTATTTCATAAAGATAGAATCTTTATGAAATACTCATTTTGACGGTGTTGGATTTTCACTGAAATTCCTACCCAGTCAAGAGTTATATAGAGACAAAGTAGAGACTACTTTGTCTCTGTATATTTCCTCCGCCTGACTTTCTTAGACTCTGGGCGGAGCTACAGTGTCGATCCCGACAGCCGTCATCAGTAATGGCTGCAGGGAATTGGCTCAATGGAGGATCCCGCGGTCTGCGTGAGAGTAGAGCAGTGACACCTACTCTTGGTGCTGATGCGGAGCAGACGGAAGATGACAGCGCCAATGAGGGACAGGTTTAAGTAAGTAAATCTCGCCTTTACCTGCCCCCCCCGGATGCCCGGGAGCGATGGGGGTCTTTGCGAATTTAGTCCCCAGACAGCGACAGTGACACTTAAAAGGAACCTTGTGAGCATCAGCACAGCTTGAATGCATTTGACAGGTATTGGCCTCATTCATATACTGTATTTTTGTCATGCTCAAATCTTTGTAGTTTGCAAAAATAAACATTTTGCAGAATGTTGCGCCATTAATCTGTTTCATTCAAAAAAATGACTTCCTTATCAGTATATGTATCCAGCTCAGATACTTACAGCACTGAGTGAGCTGGAGAGCTGGAAGTCAAGAATCCTGCGCTAAAAGGAGTCTGTTGATTCGGGCTGTAGGGACCAGGATACCTATGGCATATTGTAGAGGAGGGGAGTATTAAATTGGCACAGTCATACCGCCCCTCCCTCCTGAAAACTGAGTATTTCATAAAGATAAAATCTTTCCGAAATACTCATTTTGACTGTGTTGAAATTTCACTTGCATGCGCGAGACTACAGCAATGAGGTCAGCACCAGGAGCTGAAGAAGACCTGCCAGTGGAAGACGGTGATATCCGGGAGGGACAGGTCCAGGCAAGTAAATCTCATCTTTAACTGCCCCCCGCCTCCCTAGCCACCGGACTATCAGCGGCGTTCTCACAGTCGTGGGTCTTTGCAAATTCTGCACAGTCCCCAGACTGACAACCCTGCTATAACAAATGCTCCTAAGGAAATAAATACATTTTTATCATAGTCATTGCGTTGGGATTGTTTATCTGTTAAAGAGAACTTGTCATGAACTGTTCACAGTAACCTTACAGATAAAGATGTTTGAAATTGATTGAATTTATGTAGCACTGAGGTTCAAATGCCTTTAGCCAAAATGTAAGAAAATGTTGTTCTGTTCTATACCTTGCACGTCCAGAGGGAAGTCACCAAGAAGCCATCCTTGCCTAGTCCATGAAATAGCTCCACAATGCCTCGCGAGTAGCCAAAAATGGAGATCCCAGCATCTGATACAGCAAGGTTAAAGGTCAGGAGGTCATGTGGGTCTAGGGATCGATGATGATTGCACAATATGCAGATAACTGCTCCATTTCCCAGCCAAGACAGCCACCCTAAAAACATCAGAAAGTAGCCCTGACATACAAGGTATTGATGTTACACTATTATGGCTTCATGAAGGTAAAAGTGTTTAAATGTAATGCAAAAATGCAAAATCAAGTTGCGGACTGCACATGCATGGTCCACTGTTCAGCCAAGAGCATAAGACAGCCCTGTTCACTAAAAAGTATGTGTCTCAGAAGCAGCAGCGGTATGATGCTATCCGTTTATAATGCATTTTCAATCATCCGATAGGATGATGGGAACTGCACGTGGGGGTTATTCTTCTTATCCCACAAACCTCTGCTGGACATAGCTTTACAGGATTAGTCTTCATAGACCAGAATTAAAAGCTACGGATTGGAGCATCTCTGTTGTGGAAGAAGTCTGCCTACAATTAAAGACAGACCGACTAAGCAGTTTCGTTCTATAGATGTTGAAGGTTTTGGTTGTATTTCTTAAATTTTCTCTGAAATAACCAAGAGCTGAAAATGAAATTAAATATTTGTTCTACTGGGATTTTGTATGAAAATTGTCTGTGCATATGTATAATGCAATAGGTATAATGGATAAAAGAGGTAAAACAAGCTAGAACTGTAGAGCATTCACTATAGGAAGTATAAAATATATCTTCTAACCGACCCATATTTAGTAATAATTCTAGAACTGATAGTTTTTAGATATAGCCCAACCACCTCAAGGATTATAAATGAATAAAGCATACAGTATATATGAAAATGTAAGTCACAGATTGGAGTGATTGAAACAGTCATTGGTCGTGTAGGAGCTAAATAAGACAGAGGTTTTGCTAACAAATCTCTATAAAAGAATGTATTGCCTTAGGGCATGCTGCTGTATATTAATTCATTTGTTGAACAAGTCTGTCTATGGTTTGTTTGCAGATAAGAAGAACACTCACTGGATATAATACAAAGACCTTTTTTACATATGATAAATTAGAAACATAGGAATTTATCCTAGCTAAAAGCACACGTTTCATTCTTGAAAATAATAGGATTATATTTTTCAGTATAAATAATTCCTTAGTCTAATTCTTCCTGAACATAAGGAACTCGTTCCCAATCATTCCCATCTCACCCAGGAGCAGTAGGTAAGTGCCAATCACCGTCTCCCCATCCTCAGACACTCTGGCTCCAGTTGAATTATTGACCAATGGGAAGGAGCTGTCCATCAGCACTGCATCCATTCTTATCCTGCGTACATCAGCACCAGATTGTGTTATCACAAAGAAAGGGGTTACGCGAAAAGAAAAATATTCACCGACTTGTGAATGTGTTCAGTTCTTGATGTCTCTCACAGTATATGTCCTCCAACCTTTGGGCCTTTCCAGTTATTTGTTAATTAGAATTTTCTCCCTCCTGCAGTTGATTGTGAAGTCTTGACACAGTTACGATGCTCTTACAACACACCTAATGCCACATAATAAGCCAGGCTTTAATCTTCTTTGAAGGAGCACATATATGCTTCTTGTAAGTAGATTTTGATACTTGTGTCTTATAAACTATTGTAAACATTCTTTGCCATCTTTCATTTTGAGATTCCCCCCTCCCTCCTCTTCTTTCTGTGCTACAATTTAATAAATAAAGCTATTAGATGTATAATCCAATTTATTTGGTGCTTAATCACATCCCAAATTAGAGTGATTGGAGAGACTTGCTTAGCAACATAGAAACAGCCACACTAACCTATGGGTGTCCATACTCTCCCAAAAGTCAATCAAACTTAAAAAAGCTGATGAAGGAGTTTTAGTGTTTCGGTAAGTTTATGGAAGCAGCTGTTAATGGGACAGCTAATTAAAATGTATTCTTTTGGACAGTGTTTTAACCAATACAACACTAAGGTATTACAGAATTAATTTAAGCAGTCCCAGTAGGTGGTAAATGGTACCTATGGGTTAAGGGGAATACTATTTTTAGATTTTTTTTATAATCGTAGAATAGATAGAATCCTCAAGTTATCTTACACATAAGGGTTAGCAATGTGATTGTAATGGGGATCTGGGCTGTAGAAAATGCCATAATCGTGGCTGTTACCATGCTTCTAGAAACGGATCAGCTGTAAAACCTAGACAGCCGCAAGCTATGGATGCAGTTGTAAGAGCTATTAAACATTTGATTTGCTTCTTCTTTTACATCAAATGCAGAAAAAACACAGGGAAAGGGTTTCTTGGTTGCTTCGATATGAATTAAATTAGTCTGCAATACATCTTACGGTTGCTTGGGGGCTGGTCCAGATTGGTGATCTCAGATTGGCCAGGATAACCTTCCTTGAGAAACTTGATAGGTAGACTGACACTCTGCTGAAACCAATCACGGATTACATAATCACACATACAATATGTTAAGCACGCTGAAGGTCCTGAAACAAATAGCAACAAGCTAGCTTTTCTTTTTTTTTTAAGGTTATAAATTTTGAGGTGACAGGGTAAGCAGACAGTTTCTAAAACTGCACAGTTTTTATTTTCAGGGAAAATACTTTATCAAAATCTATTTAAAAACAGTATCATCACAAAACCAACAAACAAACAAAAAAAAAACCCACTCTGGCCTTTACTTAGCGGATGCTCACTAACTCCACACCGTTAGACATGAGAAGACTACTGGATGAGCAAGATGCAAGGTTTCTATATGGCCTGCCTCCATTTAGCTCAACAATCCTGCTCTATTGCCCGACTGGCTGCAAATTTAGCAACAAGCATGTTTCTCTCTCCTTTGCTATATGGGTCAGAAAATAAAAACTAAATAAATATAATAATCCTCTATAGCAGGATGGGTTATACACATTTATAATAAATTATAATGTGTGGTAGAAAGTTATTTTGTTCAGGAGAAGTTTCCAATAAAAGCATCTAAGTAGGCAAAAGGAAAATTCTCATTAAGAATGAACAGAGGGGATAATATAGTCTTTCATAGGACATCTGCTGTTCAAAGAATGCTTCTGGAAAGCAAATGAGTTTGGGTTTAGCCCAGAATGGAGACTCACAAGCACATAAAAGCATTATAAAAAAATGCAGTTCCACAAAATTAAACTTTTTATAGGTTTATACGAAAGATCATCCTCTAAGTGTGCAATTTAAGTTAGAAGATTAACTTAGAAGACTGTAAATGTATCTAGATCTATACTTCAACATGGCTCATTTTACTGTGTGCAAGATGGACACGTTAATGCTACACTTAACCAGATTGATTGGGAGAAAAAAAAATATATCATGCTCTGCTTTAAAAAAATGTTTGTATCAGATTCCGATCTTTATATTTTAGAGGTTGACATTCAGATACCAGGGAGCCAAAGTCAATCCATGGAAATTCTGATGCAGTTAATTTGTGTATTAGATGTGGACCATGCAGCCTCCTAAAATTAGTGGATAAACAAACAGAAGAAAACAAAAAAACTGACTTTTCAGTCTGTATGGAGCCAGTATGATTACCCTGTTTACAAACTGCCTGGTCTTTTAAAACATAATTGAAATCATTTGGATTGAAAGGAATGTTAGCCAGACTAATATTACCAAGTTGATTAAAAGGCACCTACCACTTCCTCAAGATCAAGAAAATTAAATTCTATATTTGACCTTATCAGGAATCAGCACTCTTGTAAGTTGGCTATATTTGCATAACAGTGCACCATATTTTATTTTTAATCAATGCAGTTCTAATTCCCTTATAGTTCTAGCTAACTATATAACCTAACATACATCTTACTATTAAAGTATGCCATTTACATGTCTAGCACACAATACGGGTATGATAATTTCATTAGCAACCAAGTCTTGAAGCATCCTAAAAATAACTTGATCTTTATACAACAGTCATTGAAAAAAAACTCTTAATTAACAAGTATGAATCAAAAAATAAATAATTAAGTCTGTGATAATGTATCAAGACGTGTCAAAGGTATTGGTAAACTCAAGTTTCAAGTTCCTTTCAACCGGTTAACCACAAGTGGAGCGCGGCTGGGTAGATTGAGTTGTCAACAGTTATTTAAATGCTTAAAAATAAGTTTCTAAGAAAAAAAGGGTCAAATGCGGTTTGCTTTCTAAGTTTACAATGAAATGGCTTCCTTAACCCCTTCTGCAACTGTTGCTTTAAAAGCCGTAGAACCTTTTAAAGAATGGTGGCATTTTGGTTATTCTTTGGGCCATGAGGTCTATTTGTGGTTGACCTAATCTCTGAATGATCTACTGCATCTGGAATATTTAATGGGACCGAGGTGTATCTTTTAGTCTTTCATGGAATCTGCTACGTGGTTATTGAATTAGTTCAATGTAAATCGCAAAGACACCTAGGCCCCGTCTGCACACAGACAGACATCTTTCAAGTCCTAGGTTAGACCACACCAGGTCAAATAGGCCACTCTAGTCGTGTTATCTGAAAACGTAGAACTTCAAACTATGTTCAAGAGTTCATCATAACATTTTTGATTCTCTGTAGTTTGAAGACTGACTTTACATTACTTTGAGATGACATTTAGCAATTTCATTTTCTGATTTTGTACAGGGTAAAATACAGTCTGTTGACTATCAATAATTGTGATTAAACCCCTTGTGACGAAATGAACCTCGTCACGGATGCCTGGAGGGGCTTGCTGGCCAGCCTCTTGACTTGGCCCGTAGTCATTTGGCAACGACTGTAAAGACCAATACTTTATTCCCCCTGGTTCCCTAGCAGCCATTTGCATGGACCAAAACCGCGAATAGACTTCAGGGTGATTTAGCCGTGAATGCCCTGGAACTATTTTCGGCATGAAGACTTCCCAGTTCCTGGTCGGTCCCCCATCGGCACTTAGCTGTGATTCTATAGAACCGTTTTGGGCATGGGTCCATGCGTGCGGTTGGTAAAAACTATGACTTTCAGGAAATTCCTGAACCCCTGAACTGATCTGGGTGAATTTTGGATATGTCAGTCACCCAGATCAGGACCATCAGGGAATTCTTTTATGTGGGGTTTTATGTATTTTAGGGCACTTTTGGGGTGTTTTAAAAAGTATGTTTTTTCTGTGATAATTGGGTTAGAATTAGTACAGTTACAGATCCAATTATCTCCCAGGCAGAGGGGAAGGACTGTGTGCTGTGTGTGGGAGTGTCATGCCTTGTAACCTTATTGTTATTGGTCTGTGAAGTTGCAAATCAGTCTACCATCAGGTTCATGTGGGTGTACCCATTGCATGGGAATTGTCATATAAGGCCAAGTGTGGCTCCCATTTAAAAGAGATTTGTTTAACCCTTCATGAAGTCTTGGCTCATGTTTGGGGGACTGGAGAACTATATTCACTCTGGGGATTGTTATATCACAATACTCCCCTGAGTATAATCACTCGCTCTTATAACAGCTGTTCCTGCTACGCGCTCTGGACTAGGAGAGGTCTACCCACTGGAAGCTGGATCCTGGTCTTGGGACCAGGCTGGGTGGAGGACAGCGAGACCCCAACCAAGCTGTGGAGGTTTGTGGGGTTTATGGTGCTGATGGTGTCTAGTAGAGTGCTTGGAGTCCTTGGTGAGCACTAGCAGCATCGATTGACGGAGGCACCAGGTCAGGGTGCCAGGCGGTCCGTCACACCCCTAATATGCCTTGACAGTTAACCTTGATCAAACATTGATGACTTTGTAGATGTGGATGTGAAGTCTTACCTGATCTCGTGGAAGGTTTGTCACGAAAGTAAGAATTTAAAGTGAAATTTAAATTTATTGTCAAACTAGCTAAACTGGAAAAATTCTATATGTCAACTATGCTTTCAAGGTTACCCTGGCATACATTTGAAATCATTGTTATTTAATAAAGTGAGAATTCAAAGTGGATTTTAAATTTAAACTAGCTGGCTTCAAGAATTTCTCCAGTTTGGCTATTTCGTCCTTAAATTTGAAATCCACTTTGAATTCTCACTTAAGTAAATAACTTCTATTGATTATGCTTCTAGTTGTCAGCCATCTAGACAAAATACAACAGCCACCACTACACGGTCTAAGAACAGCTGTAACACCACTAACATTTTTGAATGCCAAGACATTCTTATTTAACCCTTTAAGAACACATGACGTGGTTTTATCAGAGTCCATACAGATGTTCAAACGGCTACTAGATGCATACTTGCAAGAACAGAATATTCAAAGATATAATCTTTCAATGTAGGGTAATAACTGCTTGATCCAAGGATAAATCTGACTGCCATTCTGGGGTCAAGAAGGAATTTTTTTTCCTAGCTTGTTGCAAAATTGTGCTTCAAACTGGGTTTTTTTGCCTTCTTTTGGATCAACAGCAAAAAACAAATGTGAGGTAGGCTGAACTTGATGGACGCAAGTCTCTTTTCAGCTATGTAACTATGTGACATATCATGATTCCATTTTATTCCAGAAGTTTGGTCCTTAAGGGGTTAAATAGTATTTCTCACCAATTGAGGTCTGATAGACCGAAGTCTAATGACTTGTGGCAACAAGAATATTAAGATCTGTATCTCTGATTTTTACAGATGTCATAACGCAGTCTTAAATAGCCAGAAATCTGTTAAAACCTAACTCCAAGTGGTTTCATAGTACACGCTTAATACCACAACACCCCTTTTGATTGCCAAAAAAGCAGCTAGCCTTTCTGGAAATTAGAGAATAGCATGTGGCTTGCGAATATCCCCTGGCAGACATTCAATAGTTAGACATCGCAGTGGCCATCCCAATAATCAGCCTAGTTGACACACAGCAGGCTGCACCTGCTAATAGTGTGTGTCCAAGTGTTTTCACAAGCCTGCTAAAAGTGACTAAAGCCAACATGGTATTGGAACTCATAACTCAATCTGGTGTGGATTGGAAAAATATGTTTAACTTGTGCCCACAAGTAATCAGTCTGTAGCAATCAACAGGGAAAATATCAGTAACAAAAGAAACGTACATCCTTCCAGTCAAGTACTGGAGAAAGAATGTTGCCAGAATTTTAAAGGAACACTCCAGGCACCATAACAATTTTAACGCTGTGATGTCCAGGAACTCCTAACATCCTTGAGATAAACTGCTCTGCACCTTGATTTCTAGGGATGTTAGAGGCTTCAATGAGAAACCCAAGGACTGTATGCTGTTGACATCTATTGACCCAATCTATCACTAGCTTCCTACTCACAAACCTCTGTGGGAAAGGTACGCCCAGCAGATCTGAGTGAAGAAGAAGTTAAACTATTCTAAAATGCTTTGACTACTTACAATTGGGCGAGAGGCTAGCACACTATCGCCCGACAGAATCAGAGTGGTAAAGAGTAAGAAATTGCAATAACTACAAACGCTCATCCAAACTAAATCCCTTAATACTTATTTTGTTACTATATAGCCTGGGTGTTACATCCAATGTTAAATATCTGTAGCTAAAGTGCAATCTAGGTTAGTTGTCTTAGAGACACAGTATGCAAGAAAACACACAACCAATAAGAGACAAATAAAGTCAAGATATTTAGCTTATATCGCAAGCATGGGTAGCGGAATATAACGACTCAAATGTTGATCAGAGAAGTTGTTGATAAAACTCCCATGTTACAATTTGATGGCTTCTAACAGTGTACAGTTTTTATACATAATGTTCTAACATCAGGTTTGAAAAAAAAATTAGCCATAAATGCTACAACGATATGATCGCTCTTCACCAATTAAGACACAATCAAGACCAGGTGTATCTGTCACAATATATTAGAAAAAAACAACAGCACATTAAGGCTTCTCTTGCAAATGTGACATATTACATTATAAGAATAAAAAAAGAAAATCCAGCACACTCCATTATCCCCTAAACAGCAACTTCAGTGCTGACAGATTTAGTTTGTTTTAGTTTTTTTTTTGTTTTTTTTTTTTTTAAACACCTAATCCCAAAAATAATGGGGGTTTAGTTATATTATATGATCATACATTACATAAGCCTGCCACAACATCAATGTACCCCATCTTTGGCAGGTCCTACTCTAACTCTTCATGTCTGCTTCATGAGCTACCTACTTAGGGGAAAAAAAAAATCAATCTTGAGTTCTCTGCAGTACAAGGTTAAATAGGGCCCTGGGATGAGGCACCTATGACAGGGAGGGGTGCAAAGTCGAGGAGGCGGCTAGACTCCCAAATAAATCTGTCAGCACTGAAGTTGCTGTTTAGGGGATAATGCAGTGCGCTGGATTTTCTCTTTTATTGTATAAATTGGCTCAGGGCAGCACCCTATTTATGCATATTCAGGTGAGTGCAGCCAGCCCCCTGTTTTCTCATATTACATTATTAGGTCCATTAACATGGTATTGCTTTATTTTTTAATGTTAACATCTACCACATTAGTCACACAGCTGATGCAGGAATTACAGGAACCCACCTGTTTTCATTTTTTAAAATACGATTTCTGAGCACATTTTGAATTTCAATGTCATAGCATTTAACAGAATATTCCTGTCTTTAAAGGATCACTATAGGCACCCAAACCACTCAGCTCAATGAAGTGGTCTGGGTGCCAGGTCCCCCTAGTTTTAACCCTGCAGCTGAAAACAGTTTCAGAGAAACTGCTATGTTTACATTGCAGGATTAATCTAGTCTCTAGTGGCTGTCTCCCTGACAGCCACTAGAGCCCGCTTCTGCGATTCTCAGTGTGAAAATCGCATTGAACTCACTCTGGACGTCCATAGGAAAGCATTGAGCAATGCTTTCCTATGTGCGGTTTGAATGCGGGTGCCTCTGGCCGCGCATGCGCATTCGGCTCCACTCGGGAGCTGACGTTTTTAGCCCAGCGGGAGGGGGACTTCGAGGGATAATAACCCTATAGTGCCAGGAAAACAAGTTTGTTTTCCTGGCACTATAGCGTTCCTTTAAGCTTGTACATTTACTTACATACCATATGAAGCCACAGTTCTTCTGCACTGAATTCATGGAATTCTATCCATAACGATAGTTTTTGCATTTACAAAAGGGATAATTGCAAATATAGGTGTGAGCTGTGATATTGCAGTGTATGTAGAATGTTTGCAGTGTGTTTATAGAATGTAGAGTATAGTAATTCTCAATACATATGATGATGGCTGGTGTGATTGATGCACATGATGGGGGAGACTAATCAGAACAGAACATGTGCTATTTTGGGAGCAGAGTGGTCAATTTAGAAATACATTTTAGTTTCCATGGTATTTGCTCCCTTTTTAGCATTTTGCCCCCATTATAGCACCTATTAGCCTTGATAAATCTCCCCCAATATTGTCACTGCACAGCACCTTAACTCGTGCAGCTCTCTCAATGTACCACCTAGTTTGTGAACTGCATCATATTGCGTATTATGGAGTGAATTGAGTAACAGAATCCTTCACACACAATGCACGGTATAAAATTAAACAAATAGTAGGCTTTATTTGGAAACAGCCCCTTTGTACAGACAGTATTAATTTAGTTGGTACTGGGAGTGATACCTTCATTGAAGAAGGAGTTAAATAAGAGAGGCCTTGAATATTTTGATGTCAGAGGACCTGCGATTCACAGCTGTGCTCCGTACATTTGAGACCCCTGATAGTGAATAAGTTGAGACATGGATTCACCATCTGTTTTCATACTTGAAGGCTTTTGTGCAATGTTCTGCCAGCAGACAGGTTAATGGAAGGGTCCATGTTTGGGTTATGTCCATTGATCCTTACACTAAATACCAGATCACATACTCTGGGATGGAGTGGGACACAGAGAGGGCACACCACTGGCTACTTTTGCCCAAGTTGAGACAACTAAAGCAGAAAAACAAACAAAATAAACATGGTATGAACACCATCGGCAAGACATAAATATCCCAAATAGCATTAGAAGAATGAATGGTAAATACTATATAAACATGCAAGTATGACTGTTTAAGAGATATACACCTACATATATACAAAGAGAAAGGGTCACTTCCCAGGACTTAATATTATGTATACCAATCTCCTATATTTAGAAAATATGTTTTTGTGATGTTTCAAAAATTAAATGCACACTTGTATCCTGGAACAGAGCACCTCCATATTGGCTTCCTGTCAATCACAGTCATAAATATTGCCCATTTCTGCCATTGAATATAGAGGAAAAGTGCAACAGAAACAATGTTGCTCTCGCTATGCATGTACTGAACTGCATTGTGAAGTCATTTGCTAAATCTTAAATGCACATTCTAAAAGAAAATGGAAAATTGCACATTATTTATAAAAAAAAAAATAAAAAAAAGGTAACCGCAAGTGATTTTCAAAGTTTTATCAAAGACTTAATTCCCAGAGAAGTGGCAGCTCTGCTTTAATGCTGAAAAAACAGATTTCTAGTTGTTAATCAAAAGTCTGCACAAAACACATTAAATCCAAATTGTTATTATACCAGTCTGTGGCTGGATATTTGGATGATTTTGTACCTTCTGCTAGAACGATCATATACCCAAAACCTTATAACTATCAACCTATAACACGATTATTAATAAAGGTAATTAAGAGATAAATATGTTGACTAAAACCATCACGCGAAATATATTGGTTAGAAGAAAATAAAAACCAATAGAAAAGTACTGTGCATTGTTTTATTATACATTTGGATTGTACCATCTGCACTGTAAGTGTTTTTCCCTCTCTGTCTTTGATAAATAATTGTTTACCACAAACAACATACACTGATCAGGCAAACGTTAAAACCACCTGCCTAATATTGTGTACTAGGTGTACTGATGTGTTAAGGCATGGACTCCACAAGACCTCTGAACGTGTCCTGTGGTAACTGGCACCAAGACACCATTAGCAACAGATCCATTAGGTCCTGCAAGTTGCGAGGTACTGGCTCCATGGATCGGATTTGTTGTTACAGCACATCTCAGAAATGCTCACTCGGATTGAGATCTCGAGAATTTGGAGACCAAGGCAACACCTTGAACTCTTGGTCATGTTCCTCAAACCATTCCTGAACATGTTTTTGCAGTGTGTCAGGGTTCATTATCTTGCTGAAAGAATCCACTGCCACCAGGTAACACCATTGCCATGATGGGATGCACATGGTCTGCTACAATCTCTAGGTAGGTAAGTGTCAAAGTACCAGGACCCAAGGTTTCCCAGCAAAGCATTGTCCAGAGGTGCATCCTGCTGCCATCTTTTCACAAATAAACAACACAGTTACACCTGGCTCTACACCTGATCTAAAAGAAAGCATGATTCATCAGACCAGACAACCTTCCATTGCTCCATGTTCTAGTTCGGGAGCTTATTTCCCCATTGAAGGAGCTTTTGGTGCTGGACCAAGGGCATTAGTTGCACTCTGACCAGTCTGCAGCTATGCAGCAAATTGTGATGCATTGTATATTTTGACACCTGTCTATCATGGTCAGAATTAATTTTTTGCAGCAATTTGAGTTACAGTAGCTCTTCTGTGTGCTCAGGCTAGCTTGCATTAATGAGACTTGGCCACCCATGTCCCTGTTGCCGTTTCACTGGTTGTCTTTGATTGCACAACTTTTGGAAGGTACTAACCACTGCATACTGGGAACACCCCACAAGACTCACAAATTTTGGAGATGCTCGTAAACAGTTGTCTAGCCATCACTATTTGGTCCTTGTCAAATTCAGATCTTTTAAACTTGCCCATTTTTCCTGCTTCCAACACATGAAATTCAAGAACTGACCGCATGCTGCCTGATATATCCCACCCCTTGACAGATGACATTGTAACGATATATAATCAATGTTTTTCACTACACTTGTCAGTGGTTTTAATGTTGTGACTGATCAGTGCATACAGGGCATCGAAGAATTTGGAGTAACCAACAAAAACAAATGTAGCACTTATTAAATTACAGACATATTGCATTTCTAAATGGAGAATATAATCATCTTCGCACACAAACTATTACCTGTTTAACGAACTGTGTGGCATTAAACAGCTCTGTGCAGCCATAGAGAATGTGTTTTCCTTGCTTGGTCTAAGAAATAGAAGACAATATTTTAGGTGTAGAGACATATTAGATACCACCCTCACCAAGTAACCAAAGCATCTCATCCACATTTTTTTCGTTTCAACTTTTTGTCTGCCCCCTTCCCCAAATTAATACACTCGCGCCTTCCCTCCCTCGCTCAAATTAATACACTGGCCCTCTCACTCCCCCAAATTAATACACTGGCCCTCTCACTCCCCCAAATTAATACACCCCCTCCCCAATTTAGCACACTACACAGGAAGTAATGTTATTTTTTTTTATTTATTTTTTTTACAGCTGTGCATACATTCACCATTTCAGTACCATTACCAAACTTTTTTTTTTTAATATGTCAAGTAGTTGGACTGAAATATTGGCTATATGCAAATGCACACCAATTTAAATAAATTAGCTCTTTTGTTTACTTTGAAGCCCTATGAGTGTGAGAACATCCAGTGTCAGTTAGGCAACTTTTTTTTATACTGTACTTTTCTAAATAAACCTACGTTTCTATGAAAACTGAAGTTTTTGATTTTTTGTGGCCCACATAAACTTAAACCTTGTTTATTTGGCCCGTGTTAGCCTTTGAGTTTGACATGCTTGCCATACAGGGTTAACACTTTAGCTAAGTCATGGGTAGGGAGCATGCGACCTGTCAAATGGCTGAAATATGAATGTTCTAAAGAAGTTGAAGCACAAGATAGGAGACTGGTGGGACTGCTGTGCAAAGTCTCAGAAATCAAAAACAAAATCCAAAGCAGGGACAGCGGAGAACAGTTCACTTAGCAACCAGAAGCAATTTCCCAGGAAAACAAGAACAGACACAGACGCCTGCCACGCAACTTTATTTTTATAGGGAAGTGTTTGCATGTCAATCAGCCAAAGGCATCAAAGCGGAGAGTGGGAGACAGAAAGCAGAGTGATTTTAAGAATTATAGAGGAAACTGAGCGAAAAACACCAGGGACGATATATGGAGAAACAGAATGTTCAACTTGAGGGAGGCTATTCTATACAAAGTGCCATCAAAACAATGACAAATCAACAGTAAAGTAAACTTAAAATACTATAAATAAGGCGAAGAAAGAAAAATTAAATGCACCAAGATTTAAGTGTACAAAATACCTTTATGTAGTCCACTAAATTCTGGTATTCAATATAGTTCCCTCCTCCAACGACAAACACTATAGCCTGTTGGGTAAAACAATTAAAATGTAGGAGGACTTCTTTATATAAAATACAACATAACAACTGTAGGAGATTATTAATATTAGGTTGAAACGCCTAATCGTGAAATCAGGGTAGAAATCAGCCACACTAAATTTCAGAAACATGATTATTTTCTAAAGTGGTCAGCAGAGATGCAACCATGTGGTATCTAAAGGGAAAAGTCGTAAGAAAGTCACTGATTAGAATAGAAATGATGTAAAAATAAAGAATTCTATTGCTAGATTTAATAGAGACCTTTACACCAACTTCTTTATAGAGATTTTAATATGCAAGAATGTTTAAATAACTAGCAATCTCTCAGATTAATGTAATATTGTGACAGAGATGGACTAGGGCAAAGACATTATACATTGTGCCAACTGTGATTTGAATTGTTATAATTGCAGCATTTCATAAACTGGTTGCTCTCTGACAGGAAAAATGTGAATTATTATTACATAAACCACCACTCTAAGAGGTACCCCAAAGCCAGGTGGTCACCCTGGCCCCTCTAACTTTGATTTCTTCCAATATCATAGTCGCTTTTTGTCCTCACATTTAAAGGGACACTTTAGTCACCAAAACAACTTGAAGCAGTTTTGGTATGTTGATCATGTTCCTGTAATCTCACTGCCCAATTCTCACCCATTTAGGAATCTCTCTATCTATGCAGCCCTAGGCACACCTCCCTGTATGTGACTCACACAGCCTTCCTAAACACTTCCTGCAATGTCATCTAATGTTTATATTTCCTTTACTGCAAGTTCTGTTTAATTTAGAATGTCTTATCTCCTGCTCTGTTGACAACTTTCTAGACCCTGTGTGTGAGTAAAGTTCAATTTACAGAGCAGGAGATAAAAACGTTTAAAGTAAGTTACATCTGATTGAAAATGAAATAATTTTGTTTTCTTGCAGGCTGTGTAAGTCACAGCCAGGGGAGGTATGGTTATAGCTGCGTAAACATAAGCCAAATTATTTAACTCCTAAATTGCAGAGAATTGAACAGTGAGACTGCAGGAGCATGATCTATACACAAAAACTGCTTTGTTGAGCTAAAGTTGATTTTGTGACTATAGTGTCCCTTTAATATTGCAAATTTGTTCAACCCTGCATTGTCCATATGACCTCTCACTTACTCTCCTAATGCATTACCATAACAGCAACATTGTGCCCAATGAATAAACATTTCCCTGTGAAGCGTCTCCTATACATTTAATTGAAAAACACTTTACCAATGTATTCTAAAACATATGAGATACACAGTATTTGTAACTACAAGGCAAAATCATCACATTCTGGGAACTATGTTTAACGATGCTCATATGGACCACACCTGGTCTTATCAGGGACATTTTTAATGCCCAAAGACTGCTGGAACATTTCATTGCCTTAACAGAATACATCATTATTTTATCAAGGGTTTAGTGTATACAGCATATGAAAACGGCACAGTTTAACCAAGCTATTCTAGAAGCAAAAGTTTCCAAACATGTCATACAAATATACATTTTTTTTTGCAAGCAAGATAAATCCATCATCTGCTTGGATGCATCCTACCCCTTTGTATATTTTTTTTACCAATTGTTGCAAAACTCTGGAACAGGCAGCTGTTTTTTTATTTAGCACCTAGTGAAGGTATCTATAGGTTTCCCTGTTAAGGGATCACTATAGTGTCAGGAAAACAAAATATGAGGGTTCCCTCGGCGCTGGTGACCTCTTCTCCCCTGCCAGCTCCCGAGTGGAGCAGAATGTGCATGAGCGGCAAGAGAAGCGAGCGCGTTCAAACAGTCCATAGGAAAGCATTTCTCAATGCTTTCCTATGGACGTTCTGCACTCTGAATGCGATTTTCGTATCCAGCGCCGCAGAAGCGCCTCTAGCAGCTGTCAGGAAGACAGGCACTAGTGGCTGGATTAACCCTGCTATGTAAACATAGCAGTTTCTCTGAAACTGCTATGTTTACATCTGAAGGGTTAAAACCTGGGGGACCTGGCACCCAGACCACTTCATTGAGCTGAAGTAGTCTGGATGACTATAGTGTCCCTTTAAACTCTAGAGATGCTTTTAGCAAACATCTGCAATAATTAAAGGAGTATGCCAAGCACCATGATTGTGTCAGTGATTTGAAGTAGCTATGGTGCTTGGAATATGTATGTGCAGTTGCATTTTCACTAAATGTGCAACTTTTCACTTTCCTGACGGTGATGTAATCCCAACTCCAGCAACAAGAGTACAAGGCGGACTAATGTTAACGCTGCGCGCATATTTGGCAACTATCATTAGCAGGCATAGCACGCCGCCGAAGTCCACAGCCAGATTTCCCTGCCATTGAAGTGAGGGAAAGTGACATCAGAGGAGGATCGGGTTGCAGGTAAGTTTTCCTTTCATTTTATTAGCTTGCTGAAGTGCTTTGTGTGTGAAGAATTTTACCTTTTTTTCCATTGTGCAAAAAGTGCAGATTTCAATATTGGCTCTTCCATAAATTAACCTTGTTACACCCTCCCCAGCTGTCAGACAAGCTGTACTGTTACTTCCTGGTTTGTTAGCTCAGAGGAGCTAAAATCAAGAGGTAGCAATTGCTCAAAGAACCTGACTTGCAAACATTTCTCATAGAGCTGCATGGGGAAGACTTATTTGACGGCCACAAAAAGTCTGGGTGGGTTTAGAAGGAGAGGGATTGCAAAAGCTTTAGGAGACCACCGATTTAGCGAATCAAGTAAGTGTTTGAATTGTTTTAACCATTTCATTGCCAGGGGGATGCGGAGGGACACTATAGTGTTAAGAATACAGCTTATTGTGTGTTCCTTTAATAGTTACACATTTCACATATGCGTCTACAGATTTCTCTCTGTTAACGTCTTCCCCTTTATCTCCTCACCTCTTGGAAGGGATTTTTGTTTCTTGGTACAGAGCTGTATTAAGAAAAGAATAGAGATATTGTATGAATGCAAAGTGGACGATAAACTCAAAAACACATCCTGTCTGGTCAACGGGTAAACAAAAATGCCAAAACACCAGCTAAACTATCCTGTTTACAATGCACAATCTTAGAAAGGAATTCCTGTTAGAAGAGGCTCGAGTTGGAAAATTACCTGTCATTCCCACGCAGCATCTTTGGGTCGAAGTATCTGTATTCATCTGTATCCTGCAGAAATAAGTAGAATAGGAGGGTGTGTCATTGGAAAGCATGAGAAAATATTTCATGTCAAATTAATTTGTAGCCAAAAAAAAAAAAAAAGCAAAAAGCTAGTCATTTAAAGGGACCCTAGAGGCACGAAAGCAAATTTAGGTTAATGAAGCAGTTTTGGTGTATAGATCATGTCCCTGCAGGCTCACTGCTTAATTCTCTGTAATTAAGGAGTTTGATCATTTTGTTTATACAGTCCTAGGAACACCTCCCTGCATGTGATTTACACAGCCTTCCTAAACACTTCCTGTAAAGAGTCGTGTAATGTTTAAACTTCCATTGTTGAAAATTCTGTGTAATTTCTTATCTCCTGCTCTGTTAATAGCTTTCTAGACCCTGCAGGAGCCTCCTGTATGTGATTAAAGTTTATTTTACAGAGCAGGAAATAAAATCTTTTAAAAGTAAGTTACATCTGATTAAAAATGTAACCAGCCAGGGGAGGTGTGCCTTGGCTGCGTAAACAGAAACAAAAGTGATTAAACTCCGAAATAGCAGAGAATTGAGTAGTGAAACTTCAGCAGTATAATATATGCACAAAAACTGCTTCATTAAGCTAAAGTTGTTTTGGTGACTGTAGCGTTCTTTTAAAAGGACAGTATAGTCACCCGCATTCAAAGTTAAAGTGAACTGTGGGTCAGCATCAAGGGACTCCATGCACCATAGTTACTTTAATGAGCCACTCTAAGTTAGAAGGTATTTTAGATTTAAATGATAGAACTATATCACACAAAATTTTAAAATTATTGCATGTGCAAAGCTGAATAATGAGTTCGAATTCATTGCAGTTAAACCTTCTTATGTCTACTTAGAAGGAAAATATAGGACATTTAAAGAGTTAAACGAACATCCCAAACACCTGAGGCACTGTAGTGATTAATTTGCCTCTTTTTCCTTTTACAAAAAGCGCAAATTTCAATAGAAATTTTCACTTTTATAAATGAACCCTGCGAAACCCCCCTCAACAGCAATCAGGCAACCGGTCCAGTTACATCCTGGTTTAGTTAGCTCAGCGGAGCCAAACTCAAGAGGCCACAATTGCTCAGAGCACCTGCCTTGCAAAGACTTCTCATTGAGCTGCATTGGGAAGTCTGTGATTGGACTGCCACAGAACATCTGGGTGGGGTTAGAAGAGGAGGGCTTGCATTTTTCTTTTTATTTAGGTAGTGGAATGTCCCTTTAACTGCATGTCCCCTCTGGCTAATATTATAAAAAGTGCAGATTTAAAAATAAATTGGCACTTTTATATACCCTACAGCAGGGGTTCCCAACCCAGTCTTCAAGTACCCCCTAACAGTCCAGGATTTAGGGATTGCTCTTTTGTGTCTAAAGTGTTTTTTTGTTGTTGTTTTTTCTAAAAACACCTTAAATAAAACCTGGTAAATCCTGGACTGTTGCGGGGTACATGAGGACTGGGTTTGGAACCACTGCCCTACTGCAGCAACTACTGGCTGTTAACTGAACAGACAGGAGGGCTTCCGGTCTCATTAGCTTTGTACTGCAGTTCAGTTCAAAACTGAAGTTGTTGCTTCTCTGTGAGAAAAGCTGGTTTCAAATGGGGTTTTTAATCACTGTTTTCCCCACCACAACTGCTTTGGTTTGTGCTCCACAAGTAAAGCCAGTAACCAACCTCATGCTGCTGACATATACGTGTGTGTATATTTTATACATATATTTATATATTGTATTTTTTTTTATTGGAGTGTTCCTTTAATTGGGTGATTATAAGGTCCAACGTTTTTTCCTTTCCAGTGCAAATATGCAGAAAAATAGTCAACATCTACGATAAACATTAAATCTTGCTATTGCAAAAACAGGTTTACAATGAAATGAGCAAAAAAAAATTAGTTGTATTAAAATTATAATAGAATATTCTATGGAATTTATTAATGGGTCTAAGCTATGAATTCTTTGTGCAAAAACACAGGGCGATGCACTGTGGACTCGGAGGAAACCTTAACCAATGCAGTACATTTTGTACGATTCCATTTCTGTGCGTTTTAAAAGCTCCCTTGGACAAAGCCTGTATGCTAAGATCAAACATGGTATACAAACACGTGGCCTCAGAAAGTCTTTGGTTTTACGAGCTACTGGCACATGCCGCGTCTTTGGGGAGGTGAAGTGTTCTTTTTCCAAAACACTCGCACAAGGTTTTCTTTTTTTTTTAATGTATTTATTTTTAAATGTTTGCAGCTGGGAGCAAATAAAAAATCTGCAATAACAACAAAAAAACAAAAAACCTGCAGTAGAAGAAATAAATGGTAGGAACAGGACAGTCCAGAGAGACCTTCATCTATTCATAAAATGGGATGATAGGTGGTGGTGGGGGGTTTGTTCAACAAGAAGTTGTAAGACCTTTAAAGAAGAATCTCTGAAATAGCTAATGATTTATTGCAAAAACTCAGCTAGCAAACTCTTTTGAGGTTAGGCTTTGGAATTATGTGGTGCCTTTTGAATCACTTTATAGTTGGCCAATAGGGACCCCCACTCTAAGACAACAGTTAACTAGAATGCTTTACTTAACCTCTGGGTTAAACCTAAATTTGACTGCCTGTGCTACTGTAACAGGCATATCGCAGTCACCATGAAGTGCCTATAATAACTGTATTGATATTGCCTTCCCAGTGCACCAGAGACCCCCTAGTCTTCTCTTCTTCCCCTCTGACACAGGGAAGAGTACGAAGGTGTTCTGAAAAAGTTACATTAATGCTATTACACACCAGAATATGTTACAGAGCTCACTTTGCAGTTTTGGTCCTAATCAATGTAAGTTAGGAATTAATGTTTTACTTGGGGAAAACACTATGTAGCAACATTTTTTTTTTCTTTCCTAATTTTTCCTTAGTTTAATTTTATATTAAATATCTATTAGAAATAGTTTTTCTAATATAAAATGTTAATGTGGGACAGCAGCTAGGAAACATGCTTTTATTACACCACAGACACTAAAAAGAAGCAATATTTTGGTACTAGGTCATACTCATCTGTTTAGAATGAATATAATTGTGGCCTGGAGATTAAACTTTTTTTTTTTACATGTGCTGCAACGAGACCCACACTCTTTCCTGAAAGTTGTAACTAACCTCATGCTCTTTGTTTCCTTCTTTGTCTATGCTTTTCGCTTGCGAAGTTTAAAAAGTTCTTGAGAATTTTGAATTTGCTTACTTTAAAGGGACAGTTTGAACACCTGTTTAAGTATCTTAATCAAGTGATTTTGGGACACTAATGCTGTCCACGTAGACTTGTAGATGAAACAGTTCAGGTAAATTGAAAAGTTTACGTTTTGCCGTCTCCATGTCTACGAATGGGTGTCATTCTAAATTATAAAAAATTTTTTTAATTACAGTGGTCTTTTAATATAGCAGGTCAGGTGTGCAAGAACAAGAACCCCTGTTTCATGAATGAGAATTATTGGCACTTGAGTAATCAATCACTTTGAGTTGACAAAGCACAGCCAGTATCATAAACACTCCTGAAATTGGCCTAAGCAAGGAAACTAGACGGAAACAAAAAAAAAGTACAGTAGTTAATTTCTATTCAATAAGCAGTTCATTTACTCTGTATTCTTACCGGATTTGATTTAACTTCCATGAGGTTGTCAAGGACCCGTGTGACTGGCAAGTTCTGAGCACAAAAAAACAAACAAAAAAAAAACACAACAACAAAAAACAGGTGAGGACTAATGAAGATGGATTTGGTAAAACAAAGCTATCTTATTTATAAAGTATTCTGATCTATACGAAACTTAGGAATGTATCAGAGCATTAATCTTGATCTCAGCATTTTCATTGCAGCACTAACATGTCAGATATATGCGTGCATGCTCACATGTGTGAATACAAAAATGGAAGAAGGGCTGTCAGGATTTCTGGGATACATTGTTTGACAGTTCTACACAATGTAAAGTGCATGCAACTCTTTACATTACAACATACGTGTTGCCAGATACGTTTTGGCAAAGCCACAAGCAGTAGACATTGCTAAGGAAAAGGAAGCATTTATTCTTGTTCTAGATTTATTTTGGCAAGTTAAAGTGTATACATTTTTGTACTTTCCTTAACTAAACTTGGCTGATATTATTCCACGTGTCATAGCCATTAAGAGTTCTGCCAAGATCACTGTAAACAGTTTAAGTATATTTTCTGTGTTTTGTGAGTGGATGACTGTATGGAGAACCTTATGGCCATAGATAGGAAGATAGATCAAGAAAATTGAACATAAGGAAAACACAAATAATAAAAACAGACAGAGAAGCAAGCTTAGGAATACGTGTACACACACTTAAAGAGAAAGACACAGGAATATCCACTGGCAGAGAGATACAGGCACACATAGAAAATTGAGTCAGGCTCAAACTGAGGTGTATACATGCCCCCACACAAAGATAGATATGACAGTTCTATATTGTAAGCACAGATTTACCCCAAAACCTAACTGTGTATGTAGTAGTATATAGACTCAATAACCCTCTGTTACGTTACTACTTCTTTCAAATCCCTTAATATGTATAATTATGCCCAGACGCTCGCCTTGCATTGAATACGCATTGTGTTTTGGTTTTTACCTTCATTGTTGTACATACGTTTATTTGTAGTGGAGTCCCTTTAAATGTTCTAATTTCTCTTCTCACCACCCTTAAATCCTTTCCTTCTGTAATCTGGACATTTGGATTATATCTTGTCTACAGCTTCGCCACCTTCCCCAATTCATTCCTCTTAACCACTGGGTATATATTCATTATTTGTCTTTCTAAGTATTCTTTAACCCATAAAGCATTTTGTTATGGTGGCATATACCACCATCGGTTTGTAAGTATCATATTCCAATAAGAAACGGCTCGCTCAGTTAATAAAAGGTTGCAGAGAGTTGCTTGTGCTAAATAAGCAGACATTCTCCAACTAAAATCCTTCACAGACCAGATTCTGTTGATGTTAATGAATGCCATTGCCCCTTAAGCAGTTAAAATACTTCTTGTTGGAGTTGTATGCCCAGTGTCTGATTTTTAGATAAAATCATCTTTGGAAAGACTTGAAAATGCTACTATATATTCTATAAGTAAAAATAAATACAGGCGTATAATAAATGCACATACATATGCACGCACACCTGACAGCTGACATATTAAGAGTGCACACATTTATTATAGATTAGCTCAGCGGGAGAGGTGACAGCATTCTGTGTGCCCAGAACAAGTATCAAATGTCCAAACACATTCACAAAGCTTCTTGTTTTGAGCAGCCAAAGCAAACAGGATGGGGGAACTGGGTGGAAGGAAAAAGATGACTAGCTTAACCTTTTCTGTCACCTCGCAGCACAATGCAAACTAAGACACCGAGCAGGTTAATAGATTTTTCTCACAGCAGTGTAACTTTGCAGAGCATACAATTCTCACTGCTTTACAGGACCAGGCCTCGCTGGGAATGGCGAGTGTCATGGAGATTTTAATAATAAACAACTCTATATATGGCATAAAAAGTATGAAGTAAAGATGAGAAACCTCACTACACTGCTAGTACCCGTTGGTGGTATCAGGTGGGTAGTTGGCAGGGTAGATAAGGTGAACTGATACGTTCTGAGAAGCTCCTCCTACCAGAGAATGTTTACCTGCTGCTTTAAGACGAGATTTTTTACGCCCTCCATGACGAACTGTGACCCTGTATTCATGACTCTGGAGAGCAGACTGGAAACACACAAAAGAAATATTGGTTAAAGAGATGCAGATGCATTGCCAAATCCTTGGTCTTGCCACCAAGAAGCAGGATCGTGATAGCTGCGCAAACAGTGAACTGTAACAAGACCTATTTTTAATGAGTGACATTACTTGGTGGCAGGTCTGGCAGTAGACAAACCTTCCTAGTTAAGGGTACAGGGGGGACTTTGTCTTTTTTTTTGCTAATGGAATGCTAATGACTTTATATCAAGAAAAGGTTTGAAACTCAATATTGCAAACAGTCAGGTCACAAACAGGTGAAGAGCTGAGTATATTGAGTTCAAACAAGATGTTTAACTCACATGCTGGAATCATTTTAATTTATAAAAAACTTGTCTTGTATAACCAATAGGTAGCATTCTACAGTACTTCCAAATATCTCTTAAACAGATAAGCTAGTTTTGCAATGCAAAAACATTGTTATTTTCCAGTTGTGAGCGCCAAAGGATCTCAGACTAACAAACTACTAAACAGATGCGTATCTTGCATCAGTAAACTCTGGAACATTACGTTTATATACAACCATGCCGATATGTTTAAATGATATCTCAGCAAACCCTCAGCGATTCGCTTACCCTTTGGACTTTGTGGCTCCAATTCCATAGCTTGCAGGAGCAGACGCCATCTTCGCAAAAGCCCTGTTCAAAAAATTCGACAATGATGTTACTTTAACACATATTAATACATAATTCTACCACTTATAGCAAAGGTTTTCAACAAGTGTTGCAGTGCAGGAACCACTGACGTACTTCCACTGTTTGATATAGTTTAAAGGTGCCAGATTGCAGCCTGCATCTTCAAGGGCCTTCTTGTATTGCTCCAGATCAGTCTAGAAAGACATAAAGAGGCATTTCAGCATAAGCCATCGATAAATATTAGTGAAAAGTTCGATCAGCATAATTAGTAAAAACAAATCAGTAACTCACGCCAGTTAAAACCACTTTATTCAAAACACTGTTACTACTTGGTAATACTGCAAAACTGATGGTGCACAGATTGTAAAAACTGCAGTCAGCCTATCAGAGAGGTCTATTAAAACAGCCGAGAACAACAACTCCAGACTGTATAAATACATTTTGTCCAAGTTTTGCGTGCATCATCTGGATACATCCCTCAACTTGAGATGCGCTTGGACAGTGGCGGACTACGTACAGGACAGTGACAAGAACCTAAAGGATAACTGTCGCCTCAAAAGTTTTTTTTGTTTTTTTTTTGAAAGCAACACTATAGTCACCAAAACAACTTTAGCTTAATGAAGCAGTTTAGTGTATTGATCATGCCTCGGAAGTTTCACTGCTCAATTCTCTGCCATTTAGGAGTTAAATAAGGTTTGTTTCGGTCTATGCAGCCCTAGCAACACTTCCTCTGGCTGTGACTAAAAACAAGATGGCTTCATTTTCAACAGGATGAAACTTGCTTTGAAAGTTTTTTTTTTTTTTTTTTATCTCTTGCTCTGTAAATTGAACTTCAATTACATACAGGAGACTCCTGCAGGGTCTAGCAAACTATTAACAGAGCATGAGATAAGAAATTATACATTAAAAAGAATTTGCAATAAAGGAAGTGTAAACATTAGATGACTTTACAGGAAGTGTTTAGGAAGGCTGTGTAAGTCACATGCAGGGAGGTTTGGCTACGGCTGCAAAAACAAAGTGATTTAACTACTAAATGGAGACAATTGAGCAGTGAGACTACAGAGACATGATCTATACACCAAAACTGCTTTATTAAGCTAAAGTTGTTGTGGTGACCATAGAGACTTACTGTCGGCTTTCAAACACTGTCTGACCCAGAGTGCATGTATATGGCTGTAGTATCCTGTTATATACTAAGGGGAGGGAGAGGCCATATAAATCAGAATGAGGCATTTCTGATTGGCGGTCTTATCCTGGTTTTTGAAGTGATCTGCTTGCACCTGCATGCACACTAATTAAAAGGCGATTTGTTTGGGAACTTTTAAGGCAAGTATCTTTTTTATTTTTACTTTTTTAAAAGGTATATGCAACACATTATATGTAATAGGGGTAAAATAATGATTCTTACCACTGAGTGGAATATTACATATACGTGTTAGTTATACTTTGACTTTAAGGGGAAACGATTTGTAGAGAAACCGAGTTTTTCGTTCCTGTTGGAGGCTTATTTTATATGGGAACAGACATTATGCAAAATAAAAATAATTCCCTATGAAACAGTGCCTCTCCCCAGCTCCTGCGAAGACATAGTACGGCCTCTGAATTCCAGACACTGTGTTTTTGACACATTGCATTCATGGCTATGCCAGACAGGAAGCCGCAGAGCTGCTTCTGATACAACATAGCTCATATCTGAGTAAGAGGGGGGAAAAAAGGATCCCTCTCCTGGGAATGAACTCATGAAATTTGCTCTAAAGTAGAAAGGAGAGGGGAGATATGTATATTACTACCCTGGTGCACAAAGAGCATTTTTCAGTTCAAACAAACATTTGAAATTGGTCAGCCCGTTTTGAAGATACGGAGCAGACCGAACTAGAAATTCACACAAGACAATGTTACATTGGCCGCAGAAACAAAGGCTAAACAGTCTGTGTGAAGAACTGAACCATATTCTGCAAGAAGCATGTTGTAGGTTTTCTAACTCCAATCAATGCCAGTGATTAATCAGATTTAAAATAACGCTAATGTAGTGATTTCTTGCTTTAACCCCCGGGCGCTCTAAGGTCTGTTAATACATTCTATTATAGTGAAGGGTACTTGTGACCCCTTTGCCAGCATGTTGGGTTAGTTAACATTTGACACTTGGTTACGTCTGAACTGGATTGTGATGTCAACTGCTAAAATCTTTCATAATTATTTAAAAGAAAATGAGATCAAATGAAAAATTCTCTTTTTAAAAATTAACATAATGTATAGGTTATATTAATAGTATACAATGTAACATAACCCATTTAATATAAAAATTAGGCTTTCCGTGCCAATTAATCCACTGCCTACATATCCAGCTGCCCTGGCAAGAATATGAATAATGAACACAGAACATGGGAGGAGGTTGGTTCAAATAAAAACACCAGAGGAAGCGTATCCTGCTAAAATTTAAATTAGTCTATGATAAAGTTTGTAATGTCTAAAAATAGTTTGAAGAAGAAAGACCATAAAGGATACACTTTAATCATTAAATAGACATGTGTGTTGCTTGCGTTACCTACAGCTATGCTCCACGGTGACATGTGTTTAAGGGGAAATATTCCGGGAGGGCAATGGGGAATTAATACATTTTAGAAGGAGGAAGGGAAATAAAAGAATATATACATACATATATATATATACATATATATATATATATATATATATATATATATATATATATATATATATATATATATATATATATATATATATATATATATATATATATATATATATAATTTTTTTTTTTTTTTCAGGCTATTTTCATACACGATACCAATCCACAGTACCTCAGATGGTGCCTGCGCAGACGTGATGTAATAGATGAGAAACAACCGCATCTTGTCTTCAGGAGTCCCAGCTACAAACAAACAGCAGGAGATATACAAACACATGACATGTCATAAAATAAGACATTTGATGCATGACCACAAATAAGAGAATAATAAATGACGCTGGAGCTGGGCATGCAGCTTCAAAAGATAAATGTATAAACACGGTGTAATTCAATCACTTGGTGTCGGGGACTGGATAACCATTTAACACAGCAGTCTGCCAATATGTTATTTTTGGAGGGTAAAAGCACTTTTATTGCTAGCAGTTCCTGAGAGAGGACTGCAGGATGGGATACTAACAAGGTACATATTGTACGTAACGCAACTTATCAGGGACGAACTCGCAAAATAGTGTACCATTTGTAGGATAATAATAGGAAATAGGGTAAAAAAAAACAAAACAAAGCAAAACAAAAACTGTGCTTAATAAAAGAGAAGAGTGATTTTTATGGAGGTTTATGCAATAGCCAGAAATCAAGACACTTTTAACACTTCCTATCCTAATCTCCTACATTAGGTAGGGAGAAAGATCGATTTTAAGAAGTAACCTCTGCAGAATAAGAAATATGTTTCTACTGGTTTTATATGCATTTAAAATATAGTGATAGATTAGAGGGTAGAGCAGGAGATAGTAGCGATAGATCACAGGACTTTCGTCATCGGGTCTTTGTTAATATTTCCTATGTCAATTACTTGTAAAATATCACTATTCTTTTACTGTAAAGTGCTGCGGAATATGATGGTGCTTTATAAATGCCAATAATAAAAACATAGAAAGAGAGAGAGAGAGAGAGGGGCATACAGATAAGAGTGCTAGCGTTGGATAGAGACAGAGAGACAGACTTTTTTTTGCAGACATGTACGCACCATGGGTTAATCCAGAAATGGATATGACCTCTATTGAGAAATAGAAACACGTTTTCTCAATTTATTATATAGGTACATACTTGTTTGAACGTTTTTTTTCTTGCTGTCCAGTTGGCATAGGATTATACTTATTTTGGTTAATATTAAATGTCCATAATCATTATATTCATACAGTATATATTTTGTTCACTATATACTTTTTATCATACATAGACCAATGATTGTCTCTGCTATGACATTTTGTTATGTTATATGTTATCTAGATGTAAGAGCCTTTGTCATCTTTTATGTCACTCTTTCTATTTCTATCGGTTTTACTACACTTTGCAGTGTTCACTTGGCATTGATTGTATTTTCTCACATCATTTCACTAACTTTCTAGTTTCTCTAGTCTGGTCTTCCAGACCTACATGGTCTCCTTTTTATACTTGTCTTTTTATCTGTTTTCTATTATTAAGGTCTACACATTTTTCCTTCTTTTTGCTCCGTATATATTTTTTTTTTGCTTTACACATCTTTCACTCTGTATTTCTATTTCTTTTCTCTTATTCACAATTGTTTTCCCATCACTTCTGTTCACATTTTTTGTTTTAATCCTCTCTGTGCTCTACTATTTCGGTTTTACACATTTTACAGTTTAAAATCCAGCATTTCGATCATCTTGATCATTTTGTATCATCTATTTCCTCCTATCTTGTTTTATCAGCTTTCACACAGGAGCACCCTGTACACTTATTGCACACTTTGTCTCCTGAGCGTCACCATGGTAACGGGACGCGATCATCACGGTCCCACCACGTAATTTTGATCACGTCATCACATGCAGGTACGCTCGCTCGTGCAGTCACTCCCACTTCACTCCACGGCGTCTGAACACCGCGGTAACACCAGCACTGGGTAAGTCATCACCTTATTATATCTTAACCCCTATATAAACTCTGCACTGACTGTTATGCATATCTAAATAAACGTTGATCTCTTCACCACAACACAAATTTGATTGAACAAAATCCATTGAGTGCTCTCATTTATTCAATATATATATATATATATATATATATATATATATATATATATATATATATTACTATTTACATTCTTTATATTGCTAGTTCATTCACTAAGCAAGCAGGATTTATGTTTAACCCCTTAACGACTAAACTTCTGGAATAAAAGGAAATCATGACATGTCACACGTCATGTGTCCTTAAGGGGCTAAACTTAAAGTCACCATGCTTCATATAGTTCATGACTATGTATACTGACTATGTAAAATGACTATTGTATACTGTATGTCTTGTAGAGCGCCCAATGCCGACTATTCAATGTGTACTAAAAACAACGTACGCAGAAGTCTTAGGATGGTGGAACTCACATATGTACATGAGCTTTCTAATACGGACTTCTGTATTATGTTTAAAAACAAAATAAAAAGATTTGTTAAAAATAAAAAATTACAAGGAGCAGGACCAAAATATCTTTACATGTTTTAAATTTATTAAAGTAGAAGCCCTAGGCCGAGTTTGACATGCCTTGTAACGTTTAAAGTGCGTGAATGGAATAAGACGAAGTTGGAATCCTTCAACGTGGAAAAATTCTAAGCGACAGACCTACAACAGCATTGTACCAGGGAGCAATATATTACTGCTAAAACTCAACTAATTGTATGTTCTGTAAATCTGTCCATGTAATTCTGCAGTGATCGTAACAACCACCGAATGATGTTGTCTGGAAGCTTAAATCGCTTACACTACATTCAAACACTGCTGGCTTTGAGTCACAACTAAAGTGATAATCTCTCTCACCTAATAAAGTTTAACTCACTCCTCTGATACGAAGCCATGTAACAGAGCTAAGTAATTAGGAGAGAGGGTGAAAGATGCTTTATAGCTTTGTAAAATCCAAGCAAAAACCGAATCAGGACTGAAATAAATAGTATTTAAGGGGGAATTACATGGTTGCATTTTCCTCATTAAAAGTAATAACATTAAACTGCAATTCCATATTTATCGGACAGAATTTAGTTTAAGAGAGGTTTCAGGCTAAAGCGGACTGATGTTTTAGAAAGAAAAAAAAAAAAAACTTTTTTTTAAATGATATAAAGGTGTGCTAAAAAAAATAAAAATTAAAATGAATATATATTAATATGTCACTTTACTCTGTCATCCTAAACAGCCCAAGCTTGTTTTTTTTTTGTTTTTTTTACCAGGGCATTGATGGTCTAACAGCTGTGGCATGAGGCGATCGCTTTCACCAGCCTCACAGCACACCCGTGTTCCCTGGTGCCCTGATAAATGCCTAACTGATAGAGGGCCAGAGTGCAGGTAACGTTCTCTTTGTTTAGAATATATAAATGTCAATAGGTTTAAAGTGAGTATCCTTAGTCACGGTACGTAAAGTGAAAAAGATATATATGTGGGCAGGGGGTTTATGTTATCAGGGTAAAAGTCTCGTTGAAACAATTAAAAAGACCATAATTTATTATATCAGGCAAAAATCAGATACGAAAGTAACAAGACTAAAGGGTTGGTAACAAAGTATCAGAGTATAGGTAGTAAAATGAGGTTAATACAAGGTTTGTTGATATACACATTACTTGATTTTTATTTTTAAAGCTGCATGATTAAAAGTTACATTTTATATAAGAGGCGGCTATTTTTTCCTAGTTATTTTACTTTGGTATGCAATGTTATAGAAAAATTTGGGGGTGCATTGGGGTGTAGATGGCATGTATTACATTTTAGATGTGTTTTGCGTTTTCACTAGCACTCTGCTTTAGGAAGATGTGAAAAGATGGTAATTGTACTACACAGCTAGATGTGATTTTATTTTTTTGAGAATTATTAGGCATTCTCTTATGTCTATTTTCTACAACAAAACCATGAGAGACACCCTAGAATGCATTGCACCAACACGCATACATACTGTCAAAACCCACAATAATGCACCGTGGTTTGATAGCACCATTGGAGAAATGAAGAGAACAGGCCGTAAATTCGAAAGAAAGTGGCGCAGGACATGATCCAGAGGATAAAGCCGCTCTTACCAAACATCTAAATGAATATCAATTCCAGATAAAAAAAAAAAAATAAATCTTTATTTTTATGACATGAAATTGCATTCTCCCACAATAGACCCAGGCAACGGTTTCTCACAGTAGAAAGGCTCTGCAAACCAGCATGCATATCCCCACCAAAATTTCTCAGGATAAGTGTGAAGCATTTGCGATCTTCTTCAGAGACAAGATTTCCTCAATCCGAGCCTCTATCACAGCAGGCTAGACAGTTACACACCAGATCCACGATAATGGAATGCCAGATTGCCCCAGTTTATGGTCCACCTTTACAAATGTGGCTATAAAGGGAGTTAAAAGAACCATGCAAAAGTTACACCCTACTACTTGTGGCTTAGACCCAACTCCAACTCTGCTTACATCTGCATGCATTGAAACACTTGCCCCAGCACTCACAAAAATAGTGCAGTGTTCACTAAAAACTGGAGACTTCCCAGATCCTCTAAAAGAAGCTGTGGTAAAACCATTCCTAATGAAATCTTTATTGGACCCAGACTGCATGGCTAATTACAGACCAATATCCAACCTTCCATTTCTGGGGAAAATAATTGAAAAAGTAGTGGCAACTCAACTGGAGGCCCATCTATCAAGCTTCAACATCTTTGATCCTTTCCAGTCAGGTGTCAGATGCCGCCACAGCACGTAAACAGCGCTAGTCCGAGTGCTAAATGATCTCCTTATGGCGAGAGACAAAGGTGATTACTCCATCCTAATCCTCTTGGATCTCTCAATTGCATTTGACACCATTGACCACAGGGTTTTAATAATGCGCTTGCAGCACATCTGTAGTCTAGGAGGCACAGTCCTTATCTGGTTTAAATCTTTCCTTACTGGTAGATCACCGAGAGTAACATCAGGATCAAGCTCATCGCACCAACAGAACTGTTCTGCGGAGTTCCACAAGGATCCACCTTGTCTCCCATGCTTTTTGCAATTTACTTGCTACCACTGGGGACATCATTAGGCTACATGCCCTAAGGTATCATTGTTACGCTGATGACACACAACTCTACTTTTCCTTTGCTCCAGATACCACAGACCCGAAATGCTGCATTAATAGTTGCTTAGCAGACCTTGTAGAATGGATAATTGCTAGTTGGCTTAAAGTGAACTTGGACAAAACAGTTACTCTTGGTGAGGGGACGCCAGGCAACAAAAATATCCCATGATCACCTAACTGACGTGGAGCTTGGAGGATCTGAACTCATCAGTTCATCAAAGGTACGAAACCTTGGAGTGCTGATTGACTCTGGACTATCATTTAAACAGCAGATTTCTTCCGTAATAAAATCTGCCTACTTTTATCTGAAAAACATAGCCAGGATACAACACTTAATTCCACTGGATGACATGCCAACATTAATCCATGCATTTGTATCCTCTCGGCTAGATTACTGCAATGTACTTTACTTGGGCTTCCCAGAAAAAGAACTCCATCGCTTTCAGACTGTACAAAATGCAGCGGCTAGACTACTGACCAATCAATCTCGCTCCTGCCACATAACACCTGTTCTCCACTCCCTGCATTGGCTTCCAATTAAATGGCGAACATATTTTAAAATTGGCCTGCTAAACTTTAAAGCCTTAAACAATCAAGGCCCACAGTACCTGAAAGAGCTCCTGACACCCTACATTCCATTCCACTCACTTCGGTCAGCCAGCAAAACCCTCCTGTCAGTGTCAAGAATAAAGACAGAGTCAGGTTCCAGGGCATTCAGCCACTCTGCCCCAACCTTCTGGAACTCTTTATCGTGCACAATCAAAGAGGCATCGTTCTTACATACGTTAAAAATAATAAAAAAAAACCGAAAGACCCGCCTCTTCCAATAGGAATTCAATCTGCTCATCCGACCATCAGAAACCGCAAATTATTATTATTATTCCTAAAACCGTCTCCTGTATGCCAGCTATTGCTCCTCTAGCATATTTCACTCCTTCAAAACAAAAGTGGTGAGCGTTACGGATTTTCAAACCAAATAGTGATTTTAGTTACAGCTTTATTTGGCATTACCAGTACCAAGATTTCTCCTTTTCCCTTTTGGTACTTGGATGATGGGGTTGGATCTATTCCCCACCATGGATTATCATTTTGATTGTGAATCCTAATAATTTTTGTGTGTACGGAGGAATTTATAGATTTTGCTCTGATTCCGTTGTAGAAATATAAACTCGTTGGCATTTACTTTTGGTTCTACTAACTGTGACAAGTAAGAGGCAAGCGGTGATAAGGAAAGACAATGAAAGTGAAAGAGTGCAGAGATAGGTACGATGAGCCCCTGGACAGAATAGATTCAAAGAAGTCAAGGCTGTGGAAGGTTCTCAAGGAAGTGAGGTTCACTATTTTGTTTCCAAACGCCAAAACTATAAGAGAATACAGTTATTGTTTAAAAAAAAAAAAAAAAAAAAGTAATAATTAAGTAGCTGGCGTGGTACCACTTGGCAGATGTTCATGTACCCAGGCAAGAAGGGGTAAAATTAATTTAAATACTTTAAGATATGGCACGAGAAAGACAGCACCAACACAATACTTCATTGCTGCTGGCACCATAATATGGTAATGATCACCTAAACAGACACACATGCTGAATAAATTCAGTCATCCCAACAAAGCATCCTGTCCCAGTGTCTCTGCTGTATTTTGAAAAGAAAATCACACTACTTCCTGTTCATGTAAATATAGAAAAGCAGCCTAAAGTCACAATATTCTAACAAAGCAAATGGTTTTGATTAGTTCAAATGTCTTTTGACCTCTGGGTGATAATAGGTATGTGTCTTGCCATGGGCTTGGCAGATTTAGACTCTGAAAATTACATGATCTGGCTCCCAACTCTGTATGCTTCATGGATTTTTTACTTCCGAATATTCAAAGTGTTGGGTTATGGAATAAACACAGCCACACAATTGGCAACATGGAACTGTAAGTAAGTGTTCTATTACGGCTTTCAACAGAGACCATGTGCAATTCATTAATAAGGCTCACTCGCGAGGAGTCACAATAAATAAACGGTCCTAACAAATTGATGTCGACAGTGACAGTAAACTGCGATGAGCATTTCATATGCAGAACTCGCTTGAAGAGTCAATGCTCGTAATGAAAATCATTTATAAGAAAGCAAGGCACTCAATATGAATTGTTGCTTTCAGTGTACAATAATTAGTGGGGCTATGGAGGTTTCAAGTTAGAGAAATTAGCTGTCAACAGAAAGTATTCGTACAAATTAGAAGACTCTCTATAAGATAACTGAGGATGCCTGGGAGGCCGATAAATATCTAATAAAATAATACTGGAAGTTTCAAAGAAATGCAAAACCTTGTATTGCCAGTCTTATACAGGGATTTTGTAGACATCCCCTATGCACTTTAGATGCTCTATATAAAACAGGGAACAGTGCACATCATATGCCCAACACTCCAAGATCCCCCTAGCGCCTTGAAACTACAAGGTGCCATTGATAGGCTGCTCAGAAGCATGATTATTACACCGTACTGAGAAAGACCTCTTAGAAAATATTTGGAGAACTGTGAGTAACTCTAGCAGAGGACATGAGCAGGCTGGCTTGCAAAAATGGGGATGATATGTTTGTAAGTGTTGATGATCCTTTGGAAAAGAGATGTGTGGTTTTTCTGAAGCATTAGCTGGGACTATTCCAATACCTACTAGCATCAACAAGTAGGAGCGTTTCAAAGCACAAGAAATACAAATTTAGTAGCTTGAGTAATAGGTGCTGAGGAACAAGATGCCCCAAGAAAGCAACTAGCACTGGTCTAAAGTACCACCAAGATTGGCAATTGGCCTTGAGTGCACATCTCTGAGCTGGGCTAGATATTTACATATTGCTTTTGTCCTTTGGTAGAAAAAATTACCAGTGATTAAGGGGTTATTTTATAGTTCAAACAACCTGTCCACTGACTCTTCATTAGGTTAGAGAATATAGTCTCAGTGTTAAAAATCCATTGCATATGTAATGAAATGTTGGCACAGAGTATCTGCAGTCAGATTTGTGGGTCTGTGCCATGTACAGAGATGTGTGGTATACTCTCTGCCAACGGCTTCTTTAAGGCATGCTGTGAGGCCGGAGACATTTGAAAATCAATGAGGTGTCGAGTGTGCTCAATTCAAAGTTAAGACCTGAAGGGCAGGGTGAGGATTAGGAACAAAAACAAACCAGCTGTCTGTAACACCCACTGGCATTTCATGGCAGGTTAACCACTAAATCCCCAGCAGGGTTCCAAAAAGGTCAAAACTCACCGTCAGGGTCCGAGATGATATCCAGGAGAGACTTGTCCAAAGTTGACTTGCTCATCAGTTTTTCTTCATACTCAAAGTAGACATCCAACTTTCGAGTCTAGAATGCAGAAAGCGGAGATGAAAATGATTTCCGATTTAATTGTACTAACGATAAAAATACTAAAAGATTCTCTTATGGCAATGCAAAAATAAACTACATAACATAAAGCACAGGAATGTAGGTGCACTAATACGAATACACAGTTTTTGGATGACATAGTATTCAAGGGACTATGGATCCATAAGGCAAGTCTTTGAATGCTTTATGCTTCTTCTTTTCCATTTCTTCCCTATTCCTTTTTCCGACTCTTCTTTCGGTTTTTGACACACTAATTTAAGATGCTTATCCACCCCCCCTCCACCACCCTTTTCTGTAACCTTGCCCCTTTGCAAATAATCTTTGTGGATAACGATACCCTAAAAATGCAAAATAAATTCTATGGTCAAGCAACATCAGATTGAATACCTCATTACTAGGGTCTTTTACTTCTCCCAGTTATGGGAACTCTATCAGGAAAAATTACCCATACACTATATTGTGTAAACTATAATAATAGTGATTTAACAATACAAATTGTTCTTTGCTATACTTTACTAAGATATAGTAAAGACATTTTTAGATGCTGTATTTGAATCTCTGCTTATTTCTGTACTGATTCTGTATTTTTTTTTCTCAATAAAATATTAAATGGCAAACATAGAAAACATTGAATTTGAAGGGCTTATCTATTATCTATCAAATCAAAATTTTTAGTTGGATACTTTAGTCACTTTCAGAACTAAATGCCTAACTCCGAAAAAAGGGAATTGGGGTGCACTCTGTACATGCATTTCTCATAAGTGGTGAAGACCAAAATTCATACAAAACACAGATTAAGTAATACATACAAAAATACATTTTTCAATTTTACAACACTACCAAATACAGGGGTTTAGTTCCACTATATGGCCATAGCACCCAGCAGACCCCAAGCAAGCCGTGACAAAGTAACTACTGGCACCATAACCACTACATGAGGAGCATTGGGTTAGACCATCATAGAGGAAGCCATGCCTTCTTGGAGAGTTGAGGACCCCAAACTAATCCTGGCAAATACGAGCCTGTCCCAACCAATAGAGAACTACTGAAATTGGAGCAGGGGTTAAAAAAAAATAAAAAATCTACTGATTTAAAGCACATGAAAACACTTACAAAGTCTATGAAAACCCTTTTTTTTTGTTTTTTTAAAAATCATCTATTTAGTAAAGGAAAATAAATAAATTTAGAACCGTTATATGTAACCATATTACAATGATTTTTGCCTTGGATTTCATATTTAAAAGATTTACTTCAATCACTATGAACACTTCAGTGCCTGGAGTCTGCATGTGAGGGCTTTGCTTTTAAACTCTGCACATACACAGTTTAACCCCTTTGCTGCTCTAGGTGTAACAGTTGTCATCTCGTTGCACAGAAGGACAGTCCTTGACCGAAAGCAGTTTGCTGATGCTCTCAGATAAATACATGGCGATTGCCACTGCTTCTAGCCAAACTGTTCTAGCTAAATAGTTAGCACCATCACTGGGGAACTGGGCTACGGTACTCCTGGCATCATTACAGCGGACTGCAGTGATTATGATGAGTAAATCTTTAATAATTAAAAAAGGTCAAAATAAAAAAGATGGGTTCAATGAGCCTGTTCAGCCATCTAAATGTCTGTGCTTCTATGTCTTTTCCGTAACCCATTGCTGAGAATTATGAGAAACCTATTCTACAGAAGCTAGAGTGTCAAAGGTGATCACAACTAATGAGGAGCAGATGTTTTACAGAAATGGAGTTGGTTATCTGGAATGGTCTCGCAGGAGACGTAGCAGAGACAAGCGTAGTTAAAATATTACAAAAATGAAACCTGATACTTTTTAAGTGTTTTTTAAGTAGTGACTTGGAATTACAATAATAAAAATAAAAAAAACTTTAGTAGTGATACAAGGGAGTGAGTAGGTAGAATAGGACAGATATGACCCCCTGCTGTTGGCTGGTGAGAAATTCTGCAAATTAAAGTGCAAATTAGCCCGAAGGGCAAGATTGGGCATCTCTGGTTCTCAAGGAGCGCCAACATTGCAGGATTCAAGAAATTCCCAGTTCTATCTCAATGGGGATTCTAAGCGAATGAGGACTTGGTTGAGAACCACTGATCTAGACAACACCATAAGAATGTCAAGAACCAATCCAGACATACAAGTGATAGAACATTTCCAATAGTGCAGAGAGAAACTTATGGACATTAGAGAATCAGACTACATTACAGCAATGCTGGCCACAAACGATATCATGCAACCTTGCTTGGAACCAGCCAGGCTCACAATCTAACGAAATCCAAAGAAGACATGGCGTGAAAGGCTAAAGAATATTAAAAGATTCCAAGCTTCCTTGCTTTCAGCTAATCGGCCATAAATGGTGCTCATTAAGCACTGACAAGTGGCCAGGATCCCCTCTTTTTGTGTTCCGGTTTCGTGCATGCAGATGGGAGTCTGGCTGGGAACACTTAACAGAGCATTTAATAGAAACAGAATAATAATCTTCGTAACAAAGAAAAACAAAGCAGCACTGAACACAGGAAAGCAGAAGCTTTAATAACTAACACATGATTTCTGGTCTTCTGGTCTTCCAAATACAATTAGTAACTTCAGTTGCATACATCTAAAACAGAGCAAATAGGATTAGATATCTTTAATGCTTTTTTTCTGCCAGAGGGGGCACAGAATATGCATATTCTTGAAAGAGGACCCTCCTCATTATGCTGGATGTATTTGTAAGGAGTAAAATGATTTGATTTACTTTGTATCCATTATAAGCGTCACAAAATATTACAATGCAATAATATGTATTTAACAAACTATATACATGCATTAAACATCAAATCACCAAGACTAGCATATCCTTAAAGGGACACTATGGTCACCAGGACTACTATTCCTAACCTAACGTACTGGTTCTGGTGTTTACCGCCTGTCCCTGCAGGCTTTTCAATGTAAATGCTACCTTGTACCCTACCCCAATCCTATTTCACTAAGACGGCCACTAGAGGTGCTTCCGATTTCAGCGATGCACTGTGTGCAGCGTTCAACGTGGGACGTTGAACTCTCCCCATAGAGATGCATTGACTCTATGAAGAGATGCTGATGGATGCAGCGGATGTGCAATAGCCTCCCAATGCTTTTCTACGGGAATGCATTGGCTTGGCTGAAATCATCAAGATCAACATATGATGAGAAGAAGCAAGGTTTTTTTAGACTTACTGGAAATGAAAGCTCAGTTATCTTGAAAACCGACAGTCTTTTACAAGTGCACAAAACCTCTTGGGTTTTGTAAAACAATCTATTATGTGAAATTAAATTAATGAGATGGTACATGGCCACTATAGACATTGTTCTACTTGTGACTTTATCTTAGATTAAACTCTGGCAGGACCAATCTCAGACAATGCAAACAATCTGCAAAACGTCTGGAATCTGAAAAAAGAACATGCACAATTTAAAAAAATTTTTTATTATTGTTTTATTAACCAGTGAAGAATTTTCTCTACAACACTATGAGGCTGAAAATGTTTAAAGGTTCGGTTTTGTTAGTTCTGGCTTTTCTCCGGTCTCCTGGACCATGTCTGTCTCCACTGATAACGGAAAAGAAATAACACCTGGTACTTCTCACACAGTTCCTTTCTGTCTTTGTAAACCGGTACGGGTCTATTTAAAATGTAGGAATCTCAATGCGCATTTAATTAAGAGACACTCACACTAAAACCTTTTTATTTAGGGAAGGAAAGATTAATTAGCTCCAGATTCATGTTTTGAAGCATCAATCTTCTAGCCTGGACGTTGCCACCTAAACCTACTTTTAAAAAGTAGAACCCATCCTGAATACAAGGCCTGGCTGATTCCTCTGTTTTTCTGGTGGAGAAGATTCTCGTGGATAAACAGACAGCTCTGCCAAAGGTGAGTGAACGAAAAAAAAATAAAAAAATCAGGGTCTGTTTGTTGAAATCATCTAACTTGTCGGAGTGTTCAGAGACACACAGACTGGTATTCCAAGTACTGACCTAATCAGTACATGAGCCAAGGAGCTGCCAGTATACCCAAGAAGGGCTGATTAATGGCCAGTTTCCTTAAGATGGTGCAAAACAATCTTGAGTAGCAGGGACATTGGATCACAAATTGTGGGCAACAGATGAAGACTTAAACTTCTGGAAAAAAGCACTTCTGTAAAAGGTACGGTCAGAGGGAGACGTATTCAACTTAAACGTAGTAGATACATGGTCATTTGCAATCTGTGAACATTAACGGATGATTATTTCTCAAATCATACACCATAATAATACAGTGTTTCACCCGATAAAAGAATACTATCTAACTATCTAAAAAGACGAATGACTCAATAATTGCAATAATCTGTGCAATTAATAATATGAAGCTGAAAACAGATTAATCAGAGGACTCCCTTCAACAAGTCAAGGGCTATCAAAATCCATGAGAAATGTTAATTTCTACATAAACATTTCTCGAATGCCTTTTCTTGAAACAGCTACTCAATTTTCTCAGCCAAGTCATCTACAGGTCTCTATGTTTCTCTTCGCAAATATACCCTCAATTTAGCCAATTTTCTCCATACTATCACGCGAAGAAAAGATATTGCAGTTAAACCGGTCTTACTACTACTACTACTACTACTAATTAAAAAAACAAAACAATAAACCAAGGCAATTCATTATTGCTAACATGGTTGTCGAGTGGGAACATAAAACCTTTGACTAGGATTCCTCAAATTACGGTACCCCCGACTGACACTAGTAACACAAACTTGCTTCTGACTCCACAGCACTTGCAGGTCTGTGAAGTCAGTACAAAGAAACCTTTGACACTACTCCTCAATTAATGGTACCTCTGACGTGGACGCCACTAACGCAAAATTGCTTCCCACTCAATGACTGTATCAACAGCCCTGATTGAGAAGTTATGCGAAGAACAAAGGGCCAAAAAATAAAAAATATTCTTTAGCTATTACAGTTGTCTGTCGCTCATCAATTTGAAACAAGCACATTTTGATTGGTATCTCAGTGTTCTAACAAAATCAAAACCACTTAAATCCTGGTCAGTGACCAAGATTTGCACACATTCAAATAAATGAATGGCTGTGTCCCGAGTGTTTTCAAAATGCAAACTTACAGGACCAATACAATTATTAAAGTGATACTATAAGCATCACAACAACTTTAGCTTAATGAATCAGTCTGGGTGTATAGATCATGCCTCTGCAGTCTCACTGCTCAATTCTCTGCCACTTAGGAGTTAAAAAGGGACACTACAGGCACCAAAACAACTTAATCTTAGGGGTTAAACCGTTCAAGAATGGTTTTATTTTGGTGACTTTTTTGGGGGCCATTTAAATCACTTGTTTCTGTCTGTGCAGCCCTAACCACACCTCCCCTACCAGTGAGAGAGAGACAGCCTGCATGAAGAAAAACAAAAGTTTAATTTTCAATCAGAGGTTAACTTGCTTTGGAAGTTTTCAGGTCCTCCTTAGTAAATAGCAAGCTATTAACAGAACAGGAGATAAATTCTAGATTAAACATAATTATTTTTCGGGAAGTGTTTAGGAAGGCTGTGCAAGTCACATGGAGGAGAGATGTGATTAGTGCTGTATAAACAGAAACAAAAGTGATTTGATTCCTAAATAGCAGAAAACTGACTGCAGGGGCATGATCCAATCACCAAAACTGCTTCATTGAGCTAAAGTTGTGTTGGTGCCCGTAGCATCCCTTGAAACAGGCACTGACCATAACATTTACACAGATGGTTGAACTTCTCCACGAGCGCTTTTGTATAGAGCGAAATTAAGAGGAAGTATTATCAAACTCTTTAAAGTTATTTTCCTGCACTACAGTTTCTCATAACGGTTACTGAAAGCAATACAACATATTAAGATTCTACAAACAAGTAAAGCTGCAGTAAACTCTAAAAAATAAAACCAGAATGCGTTCAGAAATAACGTAGCCTTCGACCAGATGGCGGATTCCTTAAAACATCTGGGCACATGAAAAAAAATGGTTTATAGTATATAAGTCTGTATGTGGTTTCTAATATGCAAACAGATTTAACATCGATTTGCAGTGTCTTTAGAAGCATGATTGTTTGTATAAGTGCACCCAAGTCAAAATATTATGTAATTAACTACTCATAAACGATAATAGCGAGTTGGAGCCTTACATTTAACATGCATGCCTGTAAATAAAATTATTTTATGTGAAGAACCAGGAAAAGAACAAAGCGGTAATACACCAGATTAAAACCGCGGTTTCCAGCGACTGTATGCTAATTTATAGAAGGCACTCAAGCACTACGGAACTTAAAAGGACGGAAAAATAGGCCAGGCCAGCTAAACATAAATCCAGTAATTTATACTAAGGGCACATCTCTTATGGAATAATCAGGAAAAGGGACCATCAAGGGAAATGGCATTCACAAATACTGCCAGGAACAAAGTTAATGTAATGTGTACATGAGATGCAGAGAGTAGGAATATATATGTCCAAACCAGGGTTTCAGAACACAGAATGTGGAAGAATCTTTTTTTTTAAATCATTTGCTCCACTGGCTTTATAATTTGTAAAGGTCATTTGTCACTTTTATGGAAATAACATTAAAAAGAACATGGAAATTCATCTATAGCCTGTGTTGTTTTCCCATGTGATGTCTTTAAAAATTAGCAACTGACCTCAAAATCCAGTTAAATCCTGGCACAAACATGGCACACACTGCAATGGAAGAGGAGTAAAAAAACAAACATGTTTTTCTGTTTCTCCTCCTCTGCATACTATGTTCAGTTACAGAAATGGGTAGATATTATTTAGTAATTGGTAGGAAGCCAGGGCATAGGGAACCATATTGGCTAAATACAGGGGATAAGTAAAAATATTCAATCCTGGTAAATGTCCATGTTTAAGAACTATGGCCTGCCACATATAAAAATCCCATGCATGCTTAAAGGATCACTATAGCCACCCAGACCAATTCAGCTTAATGAAGTGGTCTGGGTGCCAGGTCCATCTAGGTTTAACCCTGCCTGCTGTAAACATAGTTTCAGAGAAACTGCTATGTTTACATATGGGTTAATCCAGCCTCTAGTGTGATTTTCACAGTGAGAAGACGCCAACGTCCATAGAAAAGCATTGAGAATGCTTTTCAATGGACTGACAGTGCATGTGGCTCTTGCCACGCATTCAGCCGATGACGTCCGGAGGAGAGTCCCCAGCGCCGAGGGAGCCCGGCGCTGGAGAAAGGTAAGCGTTTAACCCCTTCCTCCCCCTTCAGCCCGGCGGGATGGGGGCCATGAGGGTGGGGGGAACCTATTAATACTATTGTGCCTGGAAAACAAGTTTGTTTTCCTGGCACTATAGTAGTCCTTTAAACTCCCTCACTGTGTTAACCTCTACCACATCAGCTGGAAGGCTATGCCATGCATCCACTACCCTCTCAGTAAAGTAATACTTCCTGATATTACTTAAATTGCCCCACTAATTTAAGACTATGTTCCCTTGTTGTGGCAGTTTTTCTTCTTTCAAATATAGTCTCCTCCTTACTGTGTTGATTCCCTTTATGTAATCTCTGCATAAATGTAAAACTTCCTTAGTGAAACACTTATTGAGAGTGGCTAACCAGCTTATCCCTATATTTTTGGTAAAGGGTAAATCCACCCTAGATAAGGGAATGGGTACAGAAAGTTAAATATGTAAGGGTAATGGAGGAACTATGCCACTGTTAAACTGGCAGATACACTAACAGATCAGAAGACTGGTTGACAACATATGCTATTTAACACTAATGATCTCGATATTGTCTCTTCCAAAGCTGCAATCAGATGTTCTTGGTCCTAGCGCAGGACATTTTTAATTCACATCAATATGTTTGTTTTCCTTTTGTTAATTTTCCTTACGAATAATGTCAACTCAAATTTTTACTTATCATTAGCATTATGTTTTACATCAACGACTCAGTTCGTGCCCGGTTGATTAGAGATCACCAAAGTCAATGAGGTCTCAGAGCTTTAAGTATCAGCTAACATGATTTTGTCTTTTTTGTCCCTTTAAATATGATTACTTATTTGTAATCTGTGACTACTATGTTGTCTCATACATCTCGCTCCCTTTATGATTTGTCTGTTGTAATGATTAATTGCTCAAGTGCACATTGTACTCAATAACTCTCTTATTTGCAAAGTTTAAAAAAAAAATTAACTATCAGAATTTAGAAAAACAAAACAAATAAAAACATCCTGCCATTTGTCACCGCTAAAGAGTGGCAGAAGAGGATATGCAGTGAATAGGTTTAATTCAGTTTAGTAATTATACCTAACTCACATTACTCTGCATTAAAGATGTTGTAAATGAGAACTCCAAAAACAATATAGTTCAATAGATCCACTGTATATTTAAACTGTGAAAGGACTTGGAAACTACATTATATGCATCAATTTTACTAGAAGCTTCCTCTGTGTTACAGATTGTGCCCTTCCAGAATTACGATAATTTTAAGATGTGTTTAATAATCACTTGGCTGTTACGTTTAAGCAAGCAGCTTTTCAAATAAAATATTTGGTGTGTGCTCTTTTTTAGGTTTTATTGCTTTTCATGTTTTCTTACTGCAAAATAAATGTTAAAAAAAATATAAAATTAAATCTCCAAATATACCCAATTTGGAACAAAAATTTCCATAGAAACCCTTCAATGGGTTTGATAATAGCATTCCCAAAAAAACAACAAATCAACCTAAAATACTATTTCACTAAAATCAGGGTTTTTAAAATGGTTATAATCCATCAAGCTCTTTCCAATTACAACGTAATCAAACAAATAACATTGCGGACCTAAAATGACGGGTGTCTGCCACCCGGGGTTCACAAGATTGCATGTCCATTCGAAAAAATGCTTTACCTGAACAAGGCAAGGAGACATTTTACCCTGCTTCAACAACATCCTTTAATGTCATTACAAAAGTACTCATATACAGTTGCATTGTGGGGTTTCACAGTTGAATAAATTGCTAGCTTTGGTGACAGACAGATGAAACCATATAAATCACAGTTAATAAACATGACTCACTTTGATATGTTCCAACACTGCAGTGGCTACGTTGGTGTGCATGTCTATGATTCTTTTCTTCTCCAGGAGTTCAGGAAGAGAGCTGAGGAGTCAGAGAAAGGATGTTTAGATTTCTCTTGGTTTCATTCATTTGCTTTCACGATGGTCCAGGATTCCCTCTCTTACTCTCGGATAGTCCGAGGTTCCCTCTTACTCTCGGATAGTCCGAGGTTCCCTCTCTCTCGGATAGTCCGAGGTTCCCTCTCTTACTCTCGGATAGCCCGAGGTTCCCTCTCTTACTCTCGGATAGCCCGAGGTTCCCTCTCTTACTCTCGGATAGCCCGAGGTTCCCTCTCTTACTCTCGGATAGCCCGAGGTTCCCTCTCTTACTCTCGGATAGCCCGAGGTTCCCTCTCTTACTCTCGGATAGCCCGAGGTTCCCTCTCTTACTCTCGGATAGCCCGAGGTTCCCGCTCTTACTCTCTGATAGTCCGAGGTTCCCTCTCTTACTCTCTGATAGTCCGAGGTTCCCTCTCTTACTCTCTGATAGTCCGAGGTTCCCTCTCTTACTCTCGGATAGTCCGAGGTTCCCTCTCTTACTCTCGGATAGTCCGAGGTTCCCTCTCTTACTCTCGGATAGTCCGAGGTTCCCTCTCTTACTCTCGGATAGTCCGAGGTTCCCTCTCTTACTCTCGGATAGTCCGAGGTTCCCTCTCTTACTCTCGGATAGTCCGAGGTTCCCTCTCTTACTCTCGGATAGTCTGGGATAGGGATAGGTTGGGCCCCTGTGGGATTCAGTTTTTTATTTACTTTTGTAACAATAAAAGTTTTTTCAACGTCCGCTAACTTAAAGGAACAGTTTTTCCTTCCTGGAAGTAATCTCTCTTCAAGATCATTATATGCTTGAATGCCATCTTTAGTGCATAAGTGTTATCTAATTTAGCGCATTGGATGGTTCTTATAGTCTGCACTTATTGTTGCATATATTTTCTTGTTTTCCACATGCCCTCGTTTGGAGTTTGAAGAAATTCTGATCAACTTATATTTTAGACACTCGTACAATCGATTTATTTATGTGAGTTTAACATTGAACCTGATATTCTATTTGGTCCTTACAATACTACTCTATGAGTTGTTCCATTCTCCCCTTTTAGTAGATATCTTTCTTTCTTTCTTTGTATTTTCTGTGAGGACTGGGAGGAGTCCTTATCTACATTGTGGGAGTTACATATAGGTAAAATACCCTATACGTTTTATCCACTTGTTGGTGTATAGTTCTTTCACCTTAAAGGGTATATTCTATTTTTTTTGCTTCTTCTAAGTTCATCATTACTCCCTTATTGTCATCATTTTTATATTTTATGTGCCCATCTTTATTGCATACATATTCTATAACTTACTAGGCGCTGATACAACGCCAATAGCTGCGACCGCAGTGCCTAACCAAAATATCATATCTGCTATGAGTGCTTAAAACAACAATACGCAGCTATGAAAATGCGTTATAGACAGCACTACTATTTGCCTTTTGTTAGTTTGCTATGTTACACATGTTTAGGCCTAACTAGACGCAGTTGAATTACACCCATCAGTGGAGTACTAAACTGATGCACCCAGGGTACTGCGGTATACCTTCGCAACCACACTAGCTTATCAAGGAACAGCGGCAAATCTTATCTACATACCCGATTAATCCAGCTGAACACTTTATTTTCTGACCAGATAGGCATAACTTAAATAAGTGGTAATATGCAGAGATTGCAACTGACCAACAGGTTCAGGCCTAGTGGACACGGTCAAACTGCACCCACCTAAGATTTATAAAAACCGACTCACGCTGTCTGACCATCATATCACACTAGCTATATCTTCCTCATTCAGCTGCGTGAGATCATGCTCAGCCACCGCCGGAGCGAAATAGGTGCATAAGACTCAAACTGCTGTTTTAAGATAAATGACAATGAAGCTTAACATTCAAGTGAAGCCAGCCTGGTGTGTAGCATTAGCTCAGTACAAGCAGTTTATGCTGTAATGCTTATAAGTATATCCCTGCAAAGTTCAAGTACGCCTATATGTTTTGATCAATACGCCTCTGCCCAGGCGATAATCTGCATTTATTCCTATGTGCTAACATTCAAGCCTCTATGTAGGCGACCTTTCACCTTAATGAATGCTATAAATTACTGTTTAAGCCCCTGCGTGGGCAACCTCTTGCTTTATTACGAACCAGTTCGCAATATGCACTTATATTGTGAAAACAATAAAAATATTCAAAACAAATGTGTAAGACTGTTTCTCTCTCTTAAATGTGTACGATGTACAACTGACCATCTAATTCTAGCTTTTGAAAGTGTGTAATAGTATGTTCATATTTAATATCCTCATCACCCATATAAAGTGACACAGCTATATTACAAGCAAATGCATGACAAAGCAAATACATATAAACACTTCATTTTTGCATTAAACTGTGAATGGAGTAATTTTTGTTTATGCATATTAATCATATCTGCATATGTACTTTATGCCAACGGAGGCTAGATTTACACTCTTAAAATAATTTGTTTCACTAATATACTGTAATGTGGATGGAGGTTGATTTAGAGCCAAATTAACTGCTGTAGACAAACTATATAGCAACATTTTTGTTTTTAATTATGCAATAAACATCCAAGACAAACACTACTCAACCACATGTTTTAAGCGAATTTAAATGTGAATTGCTTGCTGCAGGAACAAAAGAGGTCTAAGCTAACATGCAAATTCAATTCTGTAAACATAGTTACATAGGCTGAAAAGAGACATGTGTCCACAAGTCCAGCCTTTCTTACATCTGTTTTTGCTGTTGATCCAAAAGAAGACAAAAAACAGCTTTGTAAATTTGCACCAAATTAGTAAAAAAAAATGTATTCTTGACCCCAGAATGGCAGTCACATATCTCTTTGGATCAAAAAGCGGTCACCCCAGCTATTAATACCACAAGTCATATTAGTGTGAAACTTAAAAGTAATATTTTTACAATTTCTCATAAAGCAGTGCAGACAAGTTAAAAGTAATGATAAACAAATTGTAGTGGCATTGGATGTTAATTGGAGAGGCAGCTGCAGGAGCAAAGTAGATAATTGTTTCTCAAATCCCATTGAAGGGGTTTCTTCTGATCATTGCAACGCTACTACGTACACATTTGTCTTTGTCCCGGGTTCTTGCAGCTCTCTTATTTATACTAGTACCAACACATTATTCCTGATCGAAAGACTGTGTGACGTAATCACAGATGTATGAATACATCCTCCCAAAATTACAATCAAATAACCCACCTAACGGCAGAGGTCAACTTGGCAGTGTTATCTGACAGCATGCTTATTGCACCTTCATCCTCCCCTTCCAGACCCTACGAAAAACAAAATTAGTGTAGTGGCTGAGAATGCACAGACAGTTCATTCAGTGATGCCTTAAATTTTAATTGCACAAAATATTAAAAGAATATGTCAACCTCTCTTATATGGAGAATAAAAGCCATACAGACTGTGGAAATATAGCTTGAGATAAATACATTATAACAGAAGTTTACTTTAAGAGAGTTTCCAGCAACCGTCGACACAGGTGGTTCAATGATCACCAAAGGAACCAAATCAGCACCTTTCCAGTAGAGTCAATGGGTACTGACTGGAACAACATCCGAACCCCTAAAGCACTTCTGCTTTTACAGGTGCCACCTTTTGTGGACATTGGCACTTTTATAAATGGCCTAAAGTTGGACCCCACCAGCTGTCAGACAGCTAGGAAGGTGGATCTCCTGAGAGTAGAGATCATATCATAGAAACATAGAATGTGACGGCAGATAAAAACCATTCGGCCAATCTAGTCTGCCCAATTTTCTAAATACTTTCATTAGTCCCTAGTCATATCTTATAGCTAGGATAGCCTTATGCCTATCCCACGCATGCTTAAACTCCTTTACTGTGTTTACCTCTACCACTTCAGCTGGAAGGCTACTCCATGCATCAGCTACCCTCTCAGTAAAGTAATTCTTCCTGATAGTCTTAAATTAGAGGAGCAAAGGTTTAAAACTATGTCCTCTTGCTGTGGTAGTTTTTCTTTTTTTTTTTTTTAAATATAGTCTCCTCCTTTACTGTGTTTATTCCCTTTATATATTTAAATGTTTCTATCATATCCCCCCGTCTCGTCTTTCCTCCAAGCTATACATGTTAAGTTCCTTTAACCTTTCCTTGTAAGTTTTATCCTGAAATACATGAACCAGTTTAGTAGCCCTTCTCTGAACTCTCTCCAAAGTATCAATATCCACAGGATTACAGTAAGTAAAGAGTATTACTTTTGAGATACAGAAGGGTATTTATTATTAACACTTGAATATTTCTTTAAAAGAACACTACAGTTTTAGGAATACAAACCTGTCATTGATATAGTGCCCCTAACTCAAGCTCTCTACAGCCCCCCCCCCTCATGTGCCATAAAAATTAAATGTGATTTTTGAAGTTTTACTTGCCTTTTCCCAGCACTGAAGCTCCCTCTGTGCTGTTCACCTGTGCTTCCTCCGTGATGGTCCAATCCAAATGCTCCTCATGGAGAAGCACTGGGGACTTGACACAAATGCACGGTGTGTGCATCCAAGCTTCCCCATATTATTATATGCAATACTTTCCTATGCGCATACTCGTCCCTGCAGTGGAAGCGCCTCTAGTATCTGTCAGGAAGACAGCCACAAGAGATGGATTTAATTCTGAAATGTAAACATTACAGTTTCTAAAAAAAACTACAATATTTCACATTGCAGTGTTAAAAGGACAGAGCCACTGCACCCAGACCACATCATTGAGAGGGTAAGGAAGAGCTGCTCGGATGTGTAAGAAACACCTGAATTATAATTAAACCCTTACAACAAATAATTACTGAAAGACATTACCGGCCGTGCAAGTGGCTAGCAACACAACGTTAAAAAAAAAAAAAGTATTTACCATAATAGTTTTAAGGCGCTTCACTTCATCCTCCTGTGTCCGGTAAGATTCAAGTTCTTGCTGCACTGACTCAGCTACTTCAGGGAATGGACTGAAGAGAGAGTGAGAAACAGATCATATAATGTTTACAGCAAAGACAGTGGAAGATTAAACAGTCTCCAAAAGAAAAATTGTTTTAAGTCGGGGGAAAAAAAACTCTCTAGGACAGTTAAGACCAACTTTGGCACCCAAGACATTTGTAAAATAAAACAGTGATGTGATGAAACAGAAGTTCTTGTAGTGTCTAAGAGGAGCTTATTTGCATGTATCACCATAAGGTATGCTTTGATTTGAAAGAACCATTTTATTTGCAAGCACGCTTGCAAAATTTCTTTTTATTGGTTCAAATGATGTAATGAACATTTGATAGTCAAATCAATTTCATTAATAAGAAAATTATTATTAAATGACAACACAGAAAGTTCTCTAAATGCTACTAGGAAATATCTAGAACATTTAACGGTCTAATATACAAGGCCACAGAAATATTGTATATAAGAGACACTCCAGGCACTTAGGCACCATGTGTACGTTACAATAAGCATTGCAGGAAGGGTTCTTATGGCTTTGTATGTTGGTGTAGCTTGTGGGGCCGGCTGGAGATATCTGCATTGCAGGTCCTGCCAGAAGTCTTCGCGGAGGCAATTCAGCTCTCACAGTGTTCCAGATTCTCCCTCCGGATAGGGCCTGTAAAGTGCTTTCTCGGCCATCTTGGATGCTTCCATCACAGGAAGTCCTCGAGCCTCGGCAGTGTCGCTTGCCTTTTGTGAATGTAAGGAGCCCTTAATAGCGGGATCACCCCCGCCGGTCCAAAGGGGGAGGTAGCGGGGCTTTAGCTTCATCATATTGTAGGTCTGTGCATGTCGGGCAAGGAGATTGGCCGCCTCTCCCCCCGTCAGGCCTTGCTTGCAGTCAGCGTGGTTTGCAGCTTGGATGACTGCAGACCGACCCTCAATATAATGAAATCTTACCTTTATTCCAGTCTGCTTGTGCTGGCTCTGCCCCTGATTGGCTGACATCATCAGAAGTGAGGATCTCAGCCAATCACAGTGCGTTCCCATAGAAAAGCATTGGACTGGCTGAGATTGCCAATGAGGTGGGGCAGGGCCTGATGCCATCCTGGCCAATCAGCATCTCCTCATAGAGATGCACTGACACATTCTACACTAGTAATATGACAAATGAACTACAACTCCTAGAAACCCTTACTACACCCATAAAGCACTTACAGTGCAAGCTCAGTAATGATATAAAATGTTAAGTGGTGTGAATCACGTCTTGATTTGGTGATAGGTCACTGCAGAGCTTGGAAATGTGCAGGAACTTCAAAATGTACTTTTTATTATTTACAGTTAATGCAATTTTTTAATTTAAAAAAGAAAAATTAAATAATGTATATTATAAATAGAAAATAAGTCGTATCCAGTCTGGATTGTCTCTTTAATGTATAGGATAAATTAATGCAGATAAAGTGAAATAGAATTCTTGAAAAATAATGTTTCAAGAATTACTCCAGAACAGTTGCTAATCTTCTCTCCAAAGAAAATGGATCATAATAACTGACCTGCCCTTGTGTTTCTGCCAAAATCTATCTGAAACGGTCAAGTCATATGATTTCTTGTTTTTCTTTTTGGGGCGAGCTCCTGCTGGGCTACTTTCCAATGCTTGTGATTCTTCTAAATCCACTCGATTCAGGTGGAAATCCTGCAACAAGTAATACATTTTAAGTTACTCACACAGGTAACAGGCTGGGTATCAATTACTACTTCAGAAACATAGGGGGAGAGTTACCTAAGTGTTCTGTTCTAAAAAGTGATGAAAAAATTTAAAATGTCCCCAGTGGAATATGCCTGCTGGTAACACTTGTTTCCATGGTGACCGTACCACTTTTAGTACGTTAGACCACATTGCTAAATCCACTCCATGACACTGTAATAGCACAGGTTATAAAGATTTCAAAATGAAGCAGGAGATCTTTTACATAGGGTTCATATCATCTTACATCACACAAACTGTTTAAACTGGAAACGGCAATTATTATTTAAAACAAGTCAACTTTTTCCTTTTTGGGGATGGGGTGGGATGGTTACTCCAATTCAACTATTGTCCCAGCTTGGCTATATTGGCCTAAAATTTGCAGGTACATTTCAATGCTTTCCTATGGGAATTTCACAGACACTGGATGCTCCCATGCGGAGCGTAAGGACGTACACCGTCATATAAGAGACTAAGAGTTCCTGAGGATGCCAGAAGTGACTCTAGTGGCTGTCTGACAGCCACTGGATGCAGTCTTAAAAGGTAATTATTGCAGTTTCTCTAAAACTGCAATGATTTACATTGCAGAACTAAGTGAGACAGGGACACTGCACCCAAACCACTTCAATGAGATTAAGTGTTTTGGGTGACAATAGTGTCCGTTTAAGTTTGTGTGTTTGTATTTGCTTCTAAATTATGCAGCTATGTTCCAGTGATCCAAGCCACCCCTTATATGCTCTAGTGAGGATTAACCAGTGTATAGGGTTATATAATAATGTTCATTTCCGTAGGACTCACTGAAGAGGTTTGCCTTGATAGGACAGGCAAGCTTACACTGTTAAGACAATCAGTGTGATAGTAAAAACCTGTTATTTAAATGTGCATTTGTGATAATGCACAGGTAATTTGTTTTTTGCATTTATAAATACATTTATAATTTATTTTATTTTTTAAAACATTTTGGTCTTAGATTCATGCCCTCTCCCTTATAAAATAAAATAAAAATAAAAAAACAAACAATACCTATAAACTTACCTTTAATCCAATGCCAAGTCAGTCTCCTCTGTTGTGATGATGTTGATTCAATCCAATGCTTCTTTACGACCTATAGCTCACTCCATCAGTCTGATGTCTCTTATAGAGAAGCATTGAATCCACTACTTCTAAATAAGAAGACCCATGATGCATGTATATGGCTAGGAATGAGTTTGCCTTAACTCTTTATTTAAAAAAATATATCCAATTACTTTCAAAACGTAACGAAAGCATTATATTAAAAATTTGTTTTGAGGTGACAGTTGTCTTTTAAACATATCCTCTAGGAGTCCATTTCAAATTAAAGTACTGAAGAAAAGAACCTTGGAGACGTAATGATGTTTCTGTAATAATTTACACCTGTACAAGGTGCAATAAAGGAGATACAGGATATGACAAGTCTAGATAAGAGCTGTGAGAAGCTTCTCAGGGCTACCAAGTTGCATTTATATTAATGGACCAAAAATAAATGAAACACTGACTGGCAATTTCAGGAATGAACAGAGAGAAGGTGAGCGTAACCTTGCACCTGAAGAATGAGGAGAGGACAGTAGGGTTGTCAGTCATTACAAGAAATTGGGGAAAAGAAAGAAGAGTTATTAACGAAGTACAGTCTTGTAACATTGGGCACTTATGGGGCCGAAGAGGAAGAGGAAGAGAAAGGATGACATTTTATCCTGGGTAGAAATTAGGGAAACAGAATCTGGCAGTGGACAAACACTGAACATACCAAATAGAACACCTTTTTTCTCTTAAGCAAAAAGCATGTACTGAGCAACGAGCCTGTTTATCAGTAAGCCAAAGTGTGAAATCGTTGGCTATAAAACTGTACAAACCTCCTCACTCCATTTCTCCCCGTGGTCCTAATGGATCAGCCTTCACTAAATCTCCACTATTTCCCTAGAACAGTCACCACGTTACTACTATACAAGTGACCTGCAAACAACCAGGACAGACATCAGCCACCTCCACCTCAATACGGCCCATTGCAGAGAATAACGAACAACAAATACGCTCGTTTGACACCAGGAAAAAAATTCAAAACAAACATTGCCTTCTGAGAAATACCTTCTCTCACCTTCCATTTAAAGGGACAAAAACACTTTAACCCACTGAAACAGGTTTGCATAAGAAGGACGATACAAAAAATATACCAAATGAAAGTAACTCCTTGTAGTCCAACAGACTCTTTAGCAGAGAATGTGTTAAATGTTAAACAAATATTTGAGATGGTCAGAAACCGGATTTTGAGATTTTCGTTTTTTGAGTACTGTAAACCTCTATTTATTCCGATACTGCTGTGTAATATGTGTCCTGCATACCTCAGAAACATATTTCCTATAAATAAAATAAAAGATTGTTGGTGGCCGCCATGAATAATTGTACAGACAATGATCAGAAAGGTAGCTATAATTCTATGAATTATAATAGAGTGTGTGGAGACCTCTGGTGGCAGAGAGGTGGTAGTTTGAGTAGAACCAATATAACAGACTCTTCTCCTGGGAGGGCAAAAAGAAACAAAAATAGTAAGTACTGCAAAGTACTGTTTACAAGAAAAAATTAGAAATTGAAATGTAAATCTCAGAGAGAGGTGCTGGGTGTCCAACACCAACCACCCAGCTGTTGCTGAACTACGCACATTCTCTTAGCTCGAGACTGATTTTTTCATCTGATATAAGTTTCTATTGCTCATAGCCTTGACACTCCATATGAATATTTAGAGATTGCATACGATTACAGTTACACATTTGTGATGCATTCTCTAAGGCTAGGCTGTACTGTTTATAAAAATTCTTATCACATCAATATAAGGGAGTACACACATTTAAGTACCGTTTAAACACCCTTTTTAGAACACAAGGTCACCATTAAGGGTAAGACCTGTGAGTAAATTGGGTTCCCTGATTTTTTGTCTTTTGCACAATGGTATACTGGAATTATTTTGCATTGTGCTTTGCAATTCCTTGTGTTATTTTAAATTGAATGGCACCGAATAAAGAATAAGCTTTTAAATGCAGTTCGAAGTTTGTGCTGCCTTATAGTGTTGTGACTGGGATGTGGTTAAGAATGTACAGATCTCAGTGATGCCCGTCAAAATGGTGAGAATATATAACAGGATGTTCCACATGACATCAGAATTATATTACCTCGTCTGTTTTGTTTTTTTTCCTGAAATTTGGGTAGGGATTTTTATCACCTTTAACGACTGAGTAGCAAGCTGATTTTTGCTGTTTGGGCACAAATGTAAGAGTATCCCAGGAAAAAAAATGTAAAACTTGTTGTCAGCAGTCAAAATGGAAAAAATAAAAAAATGGTTAGGTTAAAAAAGTTTACACAAAAGGCTCAACACATCACTGATCTGCCTCCACTAGTAATTCACCATAGAGATAAATTATATTAAAAATTTAGTGTTACGTTGCCTTCCCTTCTGGTCCAGCACCATCAAGTCAACATCATGGGTGTTAAACGATTAGAATACTCAACCTGGTGGGACTGGAGGTATGATTTGCTTATCTGCCCTTGGGGACACTTTCCCAAGCAGGGCAAACCTCTACCATGATGCCAAGATACTTGCGTGTGAAGAGCAAGACAACTAACCATAGCAACCAGAGATCACGCACAAATTTCCTGGTACAGACATACCTCATGCAAATTTCAAAAGTTGCAAGACTGCCTGCACAAGTACATGCACAGGGAATCGTCGGAAATGTATTTCTGAAGCATGCAGGTTATCTTGGGAGGATCGCTGAGCTAAATGCCTGAAAATGCTTCACTAGTCTTTACAAGTGTGAGGTGTAACCTCACCAAAAATGTAACAGATCATTTTAAGTTACTTCCATCAACGTTCTTTCAATGTATGTGGAGTATACCTATCATATTGTGGGTACATTAACAGTTCTGAGTACACACCTCCATGCAGTGAACCCATCTCTAAGTGTCTATGTGGGTCACCACAGAAGTATTTTAAGGTCAGAGTAGCCCAAACAAGGCTGCACAAGTAGTCCAAAATTAAACATAACATGCTTTTGCTTGTGATTTTGCAAGCATGATGTAGAGATCACATTATAATACTTGCATGTTTAGTGTATGACAAACATTTTAAAAGTAACATGTACAGTGATACAGAGCAAGTCCTTTGAATATCCTATGCGCTCTTAGGAATGCAAACTTGATATTTACCAGAACATCGTGGACCAGTGCTTGGTATGTCCATGTATGGTGAAGTGGAGTAGCCAAGTCTATGTTTCTGTCGACAAGAACCAATAAAGGTCTTTGGAAGCTGCACAAAAAGAAAAAGATAAACGGTCACCAAATATTTTCAGAAGATCTTCAAATTAATAAATCTCTCAGGCACATTCCCTGTTCTAAAGAAACTATGTGGCTCTTATGTGACAATCCTGAAATACAGTGCTTGGGTATTTTAGGTCAGACATTAGAAAAATATCAGGCACTCTTTACATTGTTTAGGTGACAGACTGCTTTGAAATGGCTGTAAAGCCGGAACACAATTATAAACTAAAGCAGTAAATCTACTACTCCTAAGCACTAAAGGGCAATCTAGGTACCATTACCACAACAGCATGCAGTAGTGGTTATGGTGCCAGAAGTGCCCTGGGGATGTTCCATGGTAAATAGTTTTACTATTACCTGAATCCACTCATCCAGGCTCTCTTCAGATTACAAGAAAAAGAAAGTTCCCCTTCTTCAATAGATATATGAACTCCCTCCAAACATCAGTAGAAATGTCACTAATTAATGATTTCGCAAGAAAAGGGTGGACTGGATGCACCCAAGTAAGTGTCAAAAAAACTTTCTTAAATAATATGACTCTTGCCTAAAGCACTCCTAGAAAGATAATGACAACAGCACGCTATAGTTGCTATGGTACTTAGACTACATCATAATGTAATTAAACAGGCTGCAGGTAATTCATGTATATGTACCCTTTCAGGAGAAATTGCTGCATGATACATCGTAGGGGACAGCTGCATTACGCTCACTAGCAAAGATGAGTTTGTATTAACCCGTGCCATGGACGGCTGGCTTTGGGCAACACCGTTATAGTGGACTCATTTGATCATGATGTTCAGCCAGTCAGTCATTGTGCTGGTTAAGCATTATGGGAAATGCACCCCACATCAGTTCCAGGACAAAGGTCAGCCATATCTAGCTCATGACCTTCCTACAACATTGGAAGTCCAAAATGCAGAGTGTGGACATCTGACTTGGGACCCTAGTCTCAGCTTAAAACAAAAGTTTATAAAAAAAATAGAATAAATGATATATACAGATGTATTTCTAGTATAGTTACATCTGGTTATATAATTTCTTTCATATCTGTCTCTTTAGATTTTAGAATTTTCTATGGAAGGTACATAGACATGTGCTGGAGCACTGTGAGCTGTTGAATGTTAAATCACATATGAGAGACTGTACACCAGGGGTGCCCAAAAGGTAGATCCCAAGATGTTGTATAACTACAACTCCCATGATGCTTTAAATGCCTTTAGAATAACAAAGCATTGTGGAAGCTGTAGTTTTAAAACATCTGGGGATCTATCTTCTGGGCACCCTTGCTGTACATCTTATCAAAGAACAAAACTATAAATCTGCTCTAAACACGTACCTGAACTGTCCGGCTGCAAGGTTATCGCCAGTAAAAAGGCTGTTACGGGCATCTCGGAGGTTTTCACGCAGCTTCTTATCCAATTTCTAGGGGAGCAAAGAAGTGAGACGTTAAAGGTAAAGGAGTATTTCAAAGAGTGTTAGTAAGACCCAGTCCTTAGCAGCACTTTATGAAGACTGTTATACAATAGATACAAAGTTTACCAAAGTGTAGGCTATCATCTGAGGGATGTCCTATGTTACATGTCATCAAGGCTAAAGGATTTAGCTGACTGTGACAATGCATACTCTGCTCAGAACCAACATTTAGGTGGAGGGAAGGTAACATTCTTACAATTGCAACCATCTCTGCAGCATTTCCTCTTGGACATCTTATGATGGGTACAGCACCTATACAGGGGAGAGGGAAAAACACAAAGGTGAACTGAAGTCCAATCTCCCCATATGCAACTACAACTTTTCAAATTTAAGATCAATAAAGTTGAACTGGAAGCACAAATTACTTGAAATCTTTTTGTAAAATTTTGGTCTTAAATTTCAAATTTACTTTAAATTTACTCTGAATCCCCCAAAAATGTTAACTTTTGTGAACAAGTGTATAATCATGTTACACTAACCAAAAAAAAAAAAAAAAAACAAGGATAACAAGATATAGAAATTATTATAACATCATGGGCTATAATTAAAAATGCTACAATGGTGATGCTTAGAGTAATACCTCAAGCACCCAAATCACTACAGAATGCTATAGTGGTTATAGTACCTACCCCCCCTACAATGTAACTAAACTAATTACCTAGGGTCCACTGAGCGCTGGAAGTTCTCTACATTGAGCTAATTTTGGCTGTGGGTGGCTTCGTTCACTTGGTGAGAGTGATAAGCTGTGTCAACCAATGAGGAAGCCATGCATGGCAGGACTTTAGCCAACAGAACTCTGTGCAGGTGACCAGTGGAGGACAGGTAAGTTGTCAAACCATTTCCAAATAATTTACTTACATTGGGGACACCAGTTCACATTAACAAGAAAAAAACAACAAACTACACCACTTCAAATGGCACTTGTAAATTATAAACCATTTGCGTTGAAATAGAAATAACTGTCTTGGCTTAACATATTGAACTTTTTGGACTAGTCTTCACGTATTGCACTTTTTGGAGAAGTACCATCACCTTTGCTAAACACATATCCCGAGACGTGGATTGTACCGTCAACGCTTAATGCAGCAGAGCTCTTAGAAACTGGAAAAAAGTGTGAGTGTGTGCCTTTGTTACAAAGTGTTATTCCATTTTCAAATAAAATATTGCACTATTATTGTGTTTGCTTTTTTGGGATATTTGACACTCCGTGACAAAAAGATCTTGTTGATTGATACATGTATGTATATGTTTTTTTTTTTAACTCTTTATTTTTTGATATGCATTGAAGGTACATACTTACCGGTATTTCCACAACGGCAGACACCAGCAGCTCAACGTTGAGCAACATATGACATGAGTTAATATTGCATAATTGTTTCTAATAAACAGGCTTATAACAAACTTTGCACAGTTTATGCACGTAAGAAAAATAACTATTCCGTGCTTCCGTCAAACTCAATGCTTATTGTGACGAACTGCCCTTCGCCACTTGTGCCTGGAGAGGACTGCTTGCCCGCCTCTTGCCCTGTGACTATGGACTCTGGGAGATTTGGCCCGTTCAATTCAGTATGATAGGAGTTATGTATTTTTGTATCCTTTTGTGTTTTACTGGGAACATGTGCTCAATGGAGTCTGCTTCTATCCCTGGTTATTTGGATTACTTTCCCCATTGTCTCCAAGCTAGAGGGCTCTGTAAAACCAGTTTGGGCCAGATATCCATGCTGCCAGCCAGGCCCCAAAAGATACTTTACTAACTTCTGAACCCCTGGTCTGATTCATGCCATTTTTTGATATGTTGTTTCCCTGAATGGATTGATTGTGAATATATAATTTTTATGTGAATGTGATGTATATTTTAGAAGTTATGAATGCTGTAAAAACTGTATTATTTCTGGCCAGCAGATAATTGAGCTTTGTGTATTGTAGAAACTCAATTATCTGGCCTGGCCCAGAGGAGGAGTTTTGTATTGCATAAATTGTGAGTTCTGTTTGCCAGTAAATCAGTCTTGTTCCAGCATTAAGCCTTGGCTCATGTTTGGGGGATTGGAGAAATACACTCTGGGGATTGCTATAATCACTATACTCCCCAGGGTATGATCACTAAGTTCTGCTAAGAGCTTGTTCCTGTTCCTGTTCCTCTCTCTGGGGAAAGAGAGGTTCACCCACTGGAAGCTGGATCCTGGCCTTGGGTCCAGGGTGGGTGGAGACAGCAGAGACCCCGGCGCAGTTGCATCGCTGGAAGTGGGGTCTGCAGTGCTGATGGTGTCGGTTGGAGTGCTTGGAGTCCTCAGCGAGCACTAGGAGCATCGATTGGCGGAGGTACTCATTCGGAGTGCCAGCGGTCCGTCACACTTATATCAAACACAATGCTGGTTTCAAATGCTATGTATATATCAAATCACTTTGCTTATATCAAACGTTATGCTTATATCAAACGCAGTGCTCATATCAGTCACAATGCTTATATCAAAAGCAGTGTTTATATCAGACGCAATGTAAGTATCAGCACCGTGCCTATAACAACCTAAATGCTTACTTCAAACCACAATGCTCGCATCTAACGCAATACTTCTATCAAACACAGTGCTAATATCGACTGCAATGCTTATTCAGTTGATGGTATACTTTTGTGGTGCATGCTAAACCGTTAATTGTATATCGATATGAAAATACATTGACAGACAACAAAATTAACAGTAAGGGTATCAATATGCTCCGCAGTTCAGATCGTGTGTTGTGCCAAGGCCACAGGGTGCCATTGGGACCACAAGGGTAGTTAAAAGAGTCGAGGCCACGGTTGGTGCAAGTCAGTCATGGGTCTAGAAGCATGGCAGCAACTGAGATGCCCAGATAGTGCTTTATTGGAGTGTTATCCTGTCCCCTGCCTTGGTGCCTGATCTCCTTGGTGAGCGATAGTCTCAATAATAGTCAGTCTCTGGCTTGTGTGTCCGTCGAGCCTCCGTGTGAGCGCTATGGGTGGTCGGTAGTGGTAGCGGATTCGGTAACCGTTGAGTAGCACCGGTATCAGAGGGCCAAGCAGTCAGCCGATGCCTGTAGTGGGCCTCGTTTTGTAGTCTCTGTCCAGGTGGTGAGCCATGTTGCTTGTCAAGGGCAAGGTAACCCCCATGCCTCAGGCCTGTTCCAGAGCCTGCACCTTGTTACCACGAACTTGGGTCCTTTTTGTGTCCAAGTTCTTCCCGGCCGGGAAATTGCAGGGAGCTTTACTACGGTGGCTGCGGCTTATAGTTCTCTTCTGCTTGTGTGGTCTGTGCTTTGGGGGTGATCCCCGGGTGGCTCTAGGCCCAGGAGGGTTTAAAGTGGTGTGTTGTGCCATTGATGCGACTGTGTTGCCTTTGGGGGGTCTCTTGTGCCTCTTCTCACCGAGTGTCTGCTCTCTCATCTGTGGTGATGGTGCAGGGGGCGCCCGTTTAATCTGTTCCGTTAGACTGGCCCAAAAGGTATTAAAGGCTGCGTCCAGTCGTGCATCAAAGTTTCCGAGCGGGTCAGAGAGGTCGGCTTGATGTTGCACCGTTTCTTGAGGTACAGGCGCATCCGCCATCTTGGGTGCCAGCGCCTGGCTCATCTTGTTGCGTGGGCAGCTCACATTGACCCGGGAGGACCTTAGCGTTCAGCCCAGCGGGGACCGGGATAACCCCCACCAGCCCAGAGGGGGGGAAAGCGAGACCCAGGCTGCTTGCGAGTCGAGTAGTGGACAGAAGACCGGCCGCGTCTCCCGCCTGGTATCTCTTTAAAGGCCGCAAGGAGCCCTCTTCACCACGTGTGCATTCCGCCATCGGATTTTCACTCTGCTTTGTGGTCTGTGTGCCTCCACTTCGAGGTACCCCCTTGGTAGTCGAAATTTTGAGGTGGATTGTCCCTGTTTTGGCGTTAGAAGACATTAGGGTTGAGGAGCTTGCCAGTCAGGCCCCGCCCCCTGTTGTATATGCTTTGAAAGGGTGATTTTACTTAAAGGTTATAATAAAAAAAAATTTTTTAAATTTAAATATCAATTGTTTGTTCTATTTATCCTGTATTGACGCAAGATTGGGAAATCCTTCACTACAGCCCTTCTCTCTCTATTTAGTATATAGTGAGCATCTATATTTATTTGTTTTTCAGAAATAATCTCCTTAAAGAAAAATATCTGCAGATCTGTTCTACTACAGCAGATGTCTTTAACAAGCTAGCTTTCGGGTTCTATAGCAATTGACAAGAAAGGAAAAACAAGGCTTAGTATACCCAATATATAAAATCACATAAAATCGGAATTATCTTAAATGACAAGCTAAATGCTAAGCCCACACACCAATGGCATGGATATCAAATTTTTAATTTGTACAGCTTCACGCTATAAAGAATATATCCCTTCTGACCTTCACGGATAACTCTCCTGGATATTCATACAAATGCATAATGTCTCCAAACACATCAATGAATATTAAAAGCAGTCATTATAGGAACATTATATAGACTAAATGCGTTCTATAGTCGTAAGACAAATACATTATATAGGGTCACCCAAGCACCCCACGTCCGGTACAATGTATGGATTGTTTTACATTTAGTTAGGCTGAGTGAGTTTGGTTTGTTGCTGTTCTTTAGTTACGTATATATTCCAATATGTATATTAGGTAACTAAAGAACAGCAATATATAAATATAATATATAAATAAAAGGTTAAGGTGGGGGAAAACATTTGATCGAAAACCCCTTTCACCTTTAGTCTGTGGATAGTTAATACAATTTATACATAAATCTGCACAACAGTCAAGCCATAAATGAAACTTATTATCAAACTAATTTGCATATGCCCACCCAGAATCCTTTGCAGTACTAATATCACTGCAGAACTGTGATTTCTGTGGGAAAATGAAGTCTTATGGCTTTACTGGTGTGCAGATTTTTGTTTAACATTGTATAAAAAAAAATATATAAAAAAAAAAATAAAAAATAAAAAAAAAAATATATATATATATATATATATATATATATATATATATATATATATATATATATATATATATATATATATATATTTGTGCTCGGAATTTAAATACGTGATGGATAGTAACTGTGAGCAAAGTTGGTTGTGGTGTGCCGAAACCAACGTACGAGTGGGCCTGTAAATAAAAGAGGGCCCACCAAGGATAATGTAGTTAAAACAGGGTGTAGGTGGGTGGGGACAATCAGCTGAGCGGCAGCGGTGAGTAGGGGCTGGGAGCTTAAGTAGGGGACTTACTCCTCCCACAAATTCAGGCCTAATGGCCTTTCTACTTGTGCTCGGAATTTAAATACGTGATGGATAGTAACTGTGAGCAAAGTTGGTTGTGGTGTGCCGAAACCAACGTACGAGTGGGCCTGTAAATAAAAGAGGGCAAAAGATAAATTCGAGAAAATACACACTTTATTGCATTTTACAAGACCAAGTTTCTGAAAGCTTGGCGAAGCTCTTTCTCTGGTTGCGGAATATATGCGTTATATATGGAGGATTTCCATCGCCCGAGCCTTTTGATGATGTGGACCGGTGCGTTTGTGCTTGAGGCTGCTGAGGCGGCTCCTATGCGGAAGGAGTGCCCGGAGAATGCAGCCGGATTGTGTCCGAGCTTAGATAACAGGGTTCTGACATGTGACATCAATTTTGCCGTGGTAAGCGGGTGCCCTTGTAATGTTAAGAGCGGAGAGTCTGGCAGGTGAGTGCGAAAAGTAGACCGTAGTTGGTCGAGAACTTTCACCGGACACCAGGCATTATCAGTAGGGAAGAGAGGAATTATTGTAGGATGTATTGACCGGTTGGTTTTAGTGGTAGGGATAGAGAGGAGGTAGTGATCCTCTACCTTGGTGAGGTGTGAAGTTTTAAGGCATCGTGCGATATCTCCTTGACAAATCACTGTGAACTCTCTAGGTCTGAGAAAACCGTAGAAAGCGAGATATATGGCAGATTTTATCACCATATTGGTGTAGCTATCAAATGGGGCTGTGTCAAGGAGATTGCTAAGAGACCTGAAGATAGGCCCGTCTATGGGTAATCTAGTGCTTGCGAGTGGTGGTGAAACCTTTGATATACCTTTCAAGACCTTTTTTATGGGGTATGAAGACAAAAAGGGGGTGCTGTTAGGAAAATTGGTGAGGCTGTGGTGCTGAACCCCGGTGAGGTAAAGTTTAATGGTGTTGTGTGACAGATTAAGGTGTAGGTGGCAGAAAGAGGCAAAAGACACCATGGTTTGGATAGAAAAGTCACCTTGTAGCCCGAATTCTGCAGTGAATTTGTTAAATATGTTAAGTGCCCTATTGTAAGTGATAGCAGTGTTGGGTGATAATGCTTGGTGAGTGAGTGATCTAGCGTGAAGCAAGAGTGTGCTTAATCCAATATTAGTTCGTGAAACCGTGGTGTCCTGGATGGCTGTTGGTGAGCTGCTGGGAGTGCCTGAGAAAATGCCTGGAATCGAGAACGAGAAAGAGCGTCAGCGGCGGTGTTGTGAATACCCGGGATGTGAGAACATACTAAGTGAAACTGATTGGATGCTGCCAGCCAGGTCAACTTGCGAATCAGCCGCATGATGGTCAGGGATGATGAGCGCCCTTTGTTAATAATATCGCAAGCTGCCGAGTTATCTGAGTAGCATTTTACTGCCTTGCCGGACCAGAGATGACCCCAGGTGTGTGCGGCCGCCACAATGGGGTAAATTTCAAATAGGGTTGAGGTCTCCCTGAATCCTGGCAAGGCATCCGTCTCAGTGGGCCAGTGGCCCCTAAACCAGTGGTTCCCGAAAATGGCTGCGAAACCGGTGTTGGCTGCTGCGTCTGTGTGGATGATGGGTGAAGAGGTGGAGAGAGGGGGGATAAACATGGAGATACCATTCCAGTCTTTCAAAAACTTCCCCCACATAGCCAAGTCAGCCTTGGCGTGGGGGTCCAAAGAAACTGTGCCGGAGTCCGGGACTCCATGGAGCAGGCAAAGAAGTCTGGAAATAAAAAACCTTCCCTGCGGAATGATGCGCATGGCGAAGTTCAGAGATCCAAGAAGGGACTGAAGTTCTCTCCTGGTGCAAACGTCATTCCGCAGGAACGTGTCTATCTCCCCTCTCAATCGTGAAAGTTTGTCGTGTGGAAGGCTAGCTCTGAGTTTGACAGAATCGAGCTCTATGCCTAAAAAGGTCAACTTTGTAGTGGGTCCTATAGTTTTGGCTGGGGACAAAGGGACTCCAAGTGTGGAAAAAGTGCGGTAGTACTATTGATTGCTGTGGGTGTTGATGACCCTGGCTCTATCAGTAGAAAGTCATCTAGATAGTGAATAACGGAGTGACACCTGATGACATTCAGAAGCAGCCAGCATAGTGACTCAGCGAAAATGTCGAAAAGTTTGGGGCTGCTTCGGGAACCAAAAGTGAGTCGTGTTGAGAAGTAATAATACCCTCGCCATTTAACACCGTGTAAGTGCCAGAGTGAGGGTGTATGGGCAGTAATTTAAAGGCGTTAGTGATGTCTGTTTTGCTGAGCCAGGGTCGATTACCAGATGTCATGATAGACTGTATAGCGTCGTCGATGGTGACGTACTGCAGAGAGAATTCGTCTGCTGGAATGAGTGCGTTTATGCTTGGAACAAAAGAGGAGTGCGGTGCCGATAAATCGATAATGAGACGTTTTTTATTAGAATATTTGTGAATAGCAATACCAATAGGGTTAGTGCGCCAGGAGGAAAACGGTGAAGAGGTGAAAGGACCGATCATGAAACCGTTTGTGGTTTCTGCGGAAATGAGAGTGTCTACAGCGACTGGGTCTAAACGTGCAGACTGGAGATTAGGACATTCTAGTGTACCTGGGGGAATGGCTATTATGCCTGTGTGAAACCCTTGTGAGAAACCTGTGGTGAGAAAATCCACTAAGTGCCTGCTGGGGTGACACCTTAGATAAAAAACCAGGTTGTCGATATTTATGTCGGTTAGTCATTTGTTTGGTGACAACCTGGCTGGACACATGGTCTTGGTATGTGCCCTGAAACATATGGAGCAGATGTGCAATAATCTACAGGCGCTGAAACTGCAGGAGCCTGCGTTGAAATTATTGCACACCTGTGCTTTACCTAAAAAGGAGATGGGCCTACCCAGCTTATCCCGGAGACCACCCGCTGGCTTGTTGTGAGGGGTGAAAGAGGAGTGAGGTGTGAACGTGGGGTGAGGGGTGAGAGTGGAGGTGGTGGGATCTGGTTCGACGGGACATAAGTCCGCCATGTGGGATGTGGAATTACAGATGGCACAAGCCGGGGGCCTGAGTCCGGCGAAGTGGCGACAGAAAAGTTCAGTGTCCATCTGACCCCAGTTCATTCTAATGTTGAACTGCTTGAGATGGGTCGCCGCCTTCGCTGAGACTGACTTGTGGTAGTCATAGAAGGAAGAGCCCCCGTACTTGATGCCTAGATCCACTACCTTGTGGAGATAGAGATCTAGCTCTTCTCTCCTATGGGGATACACCGTGCAAATGACGTCGCGGTATATCCCGAAAGCTATCACAAACTGTGGGATAGACAATTTTTTATTAAGCCTGGGATCCCTCGTTTTAAGCACAACAGAGATGTCACCATAATTGTCTGCCTTGTTCTCGAGTACATCCTGAGAGGCTATGAGTAAAGACACCAGACACACATCCTTCCCGTCAAGGATATATCTTTCCTGATAGAATCTGGGACGGAGTGTGCTGGTGACTCGAAAGGTGTGATGGCTGTGCCAGGTGCTGGAGGGGGGAGTATAGAGGGACATGAAGGTATGGCAGGTACAGCCGTGGTAGAGACTGGGACTACGGTGTTAGTACCTGAGGAGGAGATGGCGCTCTCCACCTTAGACAGCCTGCTATTGAGGGCCTGTAGATTGGCCAAGATATCTGCCAGGGTATCCTGGGTGGCCGTGCTGTTACTTGGTGGTTGTCCTTGAGAGCTAGTTCCCGGCCGAGGCTTGGTGGGTAAGCAGCCTGTAAAGTTCTGCCTTTCTAGCTGTGGCCGGAAAGGGGATTCCCCTGAGCCTAAGCTCGGCTGTGATTTTGGGAATAGTCCATGCTCTCAAGGACGTGGGGGTTGAAAGAGTGAGTGATTCGCCTGGAGACACGGGTCTGATTGGCGTGAATGGTGCTTCTTCTGTCAGTTCTTCGGTTGGAATTGGTTCTTGGGACATTCTAAAAGGAATGATTATGTGAAAGATATATTAGAAGGGGAGTGAGGTAAGAAGGGGGGGTATGGGGAGTGGTGTGTCTTGAAGAACTGGACTTTAATGCTAGATGCCGAGGCGAAAAACTTAACTATTGAATGACTGGATAGGTGAGGCCCTGCTAATGCCAAGTGGCGATGAGAGGCTCTACCTATGATTTGGCTTATGACGTAGGTGCCACAGACGTGGTGGCGGGATGTTGGCCTCTCGGTGACGATAAGAGAAATCAAAACGTGTGGCCGTGACAGGTGAGGCCCTAACTAGAGCCCTGTAGTAAGGCATGCGAGGCTTATAACTATGATTTGGGCGTGGGGCCGTACCTCCGTGTTGAGGTGGGGTGGGGGTGGTAGGCCTCGCGGGATCAGATTTCCTGATAGGGTGGGCTAAGGCATTAGCCTGTGCCGTATAGCCAGTTCGATAGTATGCTAATGTGTAAAGTTAGAGGACTGGAATGGTGTGTGGATACTAACCTTGAGTGGTCGCAAATGGTATCTGGAGCCTCCTGGTAAGTGTAGAGAGTCTTGTCTTAAATGTTGTCTTTGAGGAAGAATCCTGGGGGTTTAAGACAGATGTTGATGTGTTTATACGTATCGTGATGTCGTATGAATAGTATAGGGAGAAGGTTTGTTAGGGGCACCACGTGAGATCCTGCATTGAGGGATCTGGGAGGTTTAGGTGTAGGAATGGGATGATTTTGGATATGAGTGAGAAGGCAGAATGAGGCCTTGGGGTAGCGAATGGACGTACTTGAGTAAGGATGTAAGTACCTGAAGGTATGGCTGAGTACCGTGTCAGGTTTTTGGTGTCTTCTTGAGCCTGGTGGCCGTATGACCGAAAGTCTGTGTAGACAAGTAGTAAAGAGATAACGTATCCTGGGCGTAAGCCTGAGGGAAGGTAGTAATGGAGTTGAGACCGCGTGAGGTCTAGTATTGAAAAGAGAGTGAACTATACCTTTGTTTAAAGTACAGAGATTGTTTAATCGTGGCAGGTTAACTGCGTAGAAACGGTGGAATCTTAGATTAGTACAAGGATCTAAGGGTTTAACCAAGAAATATACCATAGTTAGCAATAGATGTGAAGATAATTGATAAAACCTGATAACTCAAGGTGATAAAAACCATACCTGTTCCTGTAATAAAAGGACCTTGAAATAACAACTTTAATGCAGAAAAGCAAGAGACCGATGCAATCTGTAAAAGCCAAAAGATGTGACAGCGTGATTTATGTGCAAGGAATAGTACGGATTATGTGTAAAGGGTATAACTTGTAAATAGTGTTTAAAAGACTTATCTGAGTGTTATTAGGAAAGAATGTTATAGCTTGAATTTAGACACGTATGAAGTTATGAACCGTGGTGAACATTATGTTTATAACAGAAAAATACTTTAAATGGTTTAACAAGGTAGAAAAACACAGGGCTGGTAGTTAACCATATAATGTAACCGCAAACTCATATAAAGGAATAAATAATAGTAGGACTGTGATTAGAACTTATGCCAGCTTATCTTAAAAGAATAGAAATAACCGAATGTAAATTAGTAAGATAGTGTACGTGAATTAACCATACGAATAGGTTGGTGCTGAAATAACCGAACGGAAAAGTGAATATAGATAATAATGAGCTTAAACATGAAATATTTATTCGGTTGTTTCCGTACGAAAAAGCATAAAATGATAGCGAAATGAGCCGAACGTTCGTGCGTTTTTTGGCGCGAATGGAGATATAAACGAAAGCGTGTATTCGTGAAAATGCGAAAGAGGGAGCCTACCCCTACGTTTTTAGGCCCGAACGGCGGGGAAATAGCGAACGCTAATTCCCACGCCTTGCTTACGTGAACGCGCCGGTCTCGTGACCGGAAGTCGGGTACCTCGACCGGAGGGAAACGGAGTGGAAGGACCTCGGACGGACGGAGGATTGCACAGGGCGTCTGGCTGCTGGAAACAGGTACAGTTCTGGCGGGAAGCTGGACCGGAAGTGCTGGTTGCTAAGGACAATCAGCTGAGCGGCAGCGGTGAGTAGGGGCTGGGAGCTTAAGTAGGGGACTTACTCCTCCCACAAATTCAGGCCTAATGGCCTTTCTACATATATATATTAATTAAATGCTTTCTTGTTGTGACTTTAAAAATGTATTTTTACTATCACATCTAGGCCTTGATAATACTAGGCTGCATGCTTTCATTAGACATCTTCCCAATTGAGGTTAACAAGTGGTTCTATTTTCTATATACCGATTAGCAATAGGTCAGCATGCCAAACTTACCTTACATTTATATATAGCCAGCATGTCCTGCACACATCTATAGCCTGCATGTTTACCAATTTACTTACAAGGATTTTCTCTGAGTTTCTCCCTCACCATTAGTATTATTATAGACCCACAAACTCACATTTCTTTGCATTAATTGTATTTACCCTTTGATTTGCTTACTTCTCCAATAACGTTCTATGGTATTTTCTTCTGGAGTGTAATGTGTTTTTCCATGATTACCTATGTGTCTCTCCCTACAAAAGGTAGTTGTAACTATAGTTACGTAACTCCAGTTGGACAGCTGGCGCTTTGACAAATGTTGTGTCTTTCTTTACCCTCATCACTCTATAATATACAGGCGCTGTTTACATTGCCCTTCACAGCAGGTATACTATATTTGTTCTCTTTACATGTTAGAATCTACTCTACTATTCTGCACATTCCACATTTTGATACAGTTTTGAAAACATGAGTGCGTCTCGCATGAAGAATGTAAAAACAATTACCTAGTGTGACAAAGAAGCAGAACAGACTGTCTACTATAGTGTCCATCACCGTGTCCATTTCTGTGTCGGTGATATCAGATCTGTTCAGTGCTGCGTAAAAAGGAAAGACGGTATTACCCCAACACGACTATCAAACAATATGGAAACACTCAAAAGCATGTTCCCAAAAATATTAAACAATAAAAATAGGAGATAACACTACATTCAGAATAAAACCAGGTGTGATAGAAGGTATAGAGAAAAAAAAAAGGGTCAATAAATATACACAAATCACATTTGTTAAATGCCAGAGATGTATATTTCCAAAATTATATAACCAACACATAGAAATAAGCATAAAATGTACATGTTGGAATTTCTATATGTATATGAAACTGGCAGAATTTTCTCATATAACCTTCTAAATCTCATTGATTTAGCTATAACATAGCTACCTCTGTTAGATGTGGTGTTATATAGCTGAAAGTGATTGGTGCAAAGTATTACGGCTAAAATAGACAGGGCCCGTGGGCTCTTTGTACTACCCATTTAAACTGATTTTTAAAAAGGGTAATTTTAAGATCTTCACGTCAACCAACCTCTGTAAGACACCAACTCCTTGTTCTGGTTACATAATACAAACATATCATCCTCCAGTGTGATGAAATTGAGATACTGATCAAACACCTGAGGGGAAAAAGAATGAATTAGTCACGTGTTTTGGGGAACTTTCATCAACGTGAAAATATTTTTTGCCAAGACAAAAACAGCCTTACACTATAAATTTATAACCTCACCGGTGGTGTGTGTGTGTGCGCGCGCACACGCACACACACACGCGCACACGCACACACACACGCGCACACGCGCTACAACCTCATCGTCCATGTTAAATGTTGACAGAAAAAATGGGCAATAGAAGGAGACATTTACGGCTATGATTGTAAGTCTGTACTCTGCACAAAGAGATATATAATGTCATTGTTGTCTCCCAACAGCTAAACAAAGCACGAGCTTGCGTTACCTTTGAGACATGAGCCACGGTGTTGGCAGTGAGTGCTGCACTGGCAATGTCCTCTAATTTGCTGCGGGAAATGGCAGAGATGAAGTTTAAATAATATGACTCGTACAGCTGTGTCCTCAGATCCTGTAAACAAGAAGCAACGCAGAGTGAAAATCTAGAACAGAGGAATGCCACAGTAATTTAGGAGAGCAGCACCAAAAACTCAGAAGGAAAGCCTTTGTCATGCTGAGCATCCATGATAAAGTGTTACATCATTATATATGAGTAAAGAAAACTACTAGCAACACTTATCAGCTACTGAAGAATGGCAAAAATACCTCCAAGTAATATAATAAAGGAGAGGAATAGAGAGGGGAAGGGGTGAGTTGCTGCTGTATGGTGGTTTTTAGGAATGTATAATCAACACATGAGACAGGCCAACACGGAAGAAGAATATTTTTTTGTCTTACCCTGAAAGCTCCTTAGATTTTCTGAAGACCTCGACTATTTGCACCTATTCATTCAAAGGTGCAATAAAGCTGGATTTCCAGTAGAAGATGGTTAAATAAGCTTAGACCAATAGAAGGTATTACAAGAGAAAGTAATTACAGGGAAAGAGCTAAGAAAGTGTTGTGTAAGAGCATTGAATCACGTGTGAAAATGGAGTGGGTATTGGGTTAGTAGAGATACTGTACTTAGAACTAGTTTCTTAACCCCTTAAGGACCAAACTTCTGGAATAAAAGGGAATTATGACATGTCACACATGTCATGTGTCCTTAAGGGGTTAAACTAAGCATTTAAGAAAATAAATCCTGCCAAAAGTAATTGAAATAATCTTTACTGATTCCACAAGCTCTAGCGAGTGTCAAAAATGTTTTGATTTAATCAAATATTGGAAATCAGGTGTCCTTACACAACATTACTGTGAGGATCTTATAATCTGTTTCACGTGCAATGACAAAATATAGATGTATGGGATAGCAGGAAATATGTTGTACCATTACCCCTGGATCGAAACAAGAGTTGCAGAGAACTGACAATTTACCAATGAAGTGGCTTTGTGGAGGTGTGCATATTTGTCAACAATTCGAGATATGCCATGTGATATAAAGGATCAGATGGAAATTAAACAGAATGTTTTCTAGAAATTGGCTCTTATGCCATACCATCCATCCTCATTCACTATCAAGTATCCTTGCAACTCTGCGTAGACATTCTAAGAAACCAAAAGGGAAAAATTTATTTTCTGTATTGTGAAATAACTGGAGCAAAGTTCCTGAACACATCTCTTGTTAAGGACAAATGGGAAAGAGACTTGGATGGGACACTTATTGACAATAAAGATTGGTCTATTTAAACACGCACTCCATCACTTCACCCATCATGGTTAAAGAGAATGCATGCTATATTAAAATGCAAGCCATGTAGTACATGTCTTCAGATAGGATTTATCACATGTGAGTTGTTTCTGTAGACGTGGGTTTATCAGCACATATGTCCATGTGTGCTTGGACTAATCAGTGATTCACTCTCGAAAGGACAAGTTTTTGTGAGATTGGAGTTGAGCTGACACCCAACCAATGGTCTGCATAAACACACAATATGACCCTCAAACTCTTGACTCTTAAAAGGAACAATATAGGGTCAGGTATACAAACGTGTATTCCTGAATCAATGTTAAAAACACGCTAGGTAGCAGTCTTTACATTACAATGCCTGCAGGGACAGGCTATTGACACATTAAGCTGTAGTTGTTCTGGTGACTATAGTGTCCCTTTAATTGTCTATGGAAAAGCCTTTAGTCTTTTTACAGGACACTTATTAGAACTTTCTGAGAATATGGATCCTTAGATTGATGCTTTCCGGTTCGTCATTCAACCCTTTGCCAAGGTCATTCCTTCCAACTCTACCTACTTGGGGCAGGAGGAGTTAGAAAGAAAATGCCCCATTTTATTTTCTCTCCTTTTTCTTACTTCTTCTAACATTCTCTCCACTTCCCTGTCTTCCATTAATTCTTAACCCCTTTAGAAAACTCTAAATGGTTCTGGGCCTGCCCCGTTTAGCTAGACAGAATGATTATGCTTTATTATTGTTTGCAGGGTTATCTTCTTTTTGCTTTGCTATTCACCGACTGCTGAAACACCAAAAACAGTAATTCCCAATAAAATATTTACGAAAATCATTTGCAAGAAGGATATCATGGTGAGAAATCAAGAACGTAAGGGAAGATGGCACATGGTTAAAATGGTGTAATAAGATTGTAGAGATCAGTTAATTACCTGACAAATCCTGTCTACATTTTCCTCCGTGGGCATCACGAAATACACAGCGGGGACATCTGGAATTGCATCGCGGTCTGAGTGCAAAAGCCTGACAGTGAAAAGCAATTAAAAATATTTTTAAAAATACATCCTAAGAGTTTGTGTGTTTACAGAACACACGCTATGTCAGCACCCAGTGGTAATAGTCCTTGCATGAAGAAAGACTAAATATTTAGATTACTGCTCCTGGGTCATTTCAGGCTATGAAGAGTTATATCTTTCTTGCAAGTGTGAATTTCTGAAGGTACTTGGACTATTTTTTGGTGAGACAAAATACGACTATTAACAAGAGAAAACAGCTACTAAATGCCAAACTAAGTTAAATGGAATTAAAGGAACACTCCAAGCACCATAACTACTACAGGCTGGCAGAACTTGCAATTTTCTGGTAACCGCTAATGATGCCCAGAGTTTGAGACTGCGAAAGGATACGCAGTGTGCATAACACAGAATTACAGGGAAGAGGTACACGTAACATCAGAGACCACAGATATATGGATCAAAAAGCTTTACATCTACAACTCACAAGTGTAAAGTGACTCCCATGTCTCGGAGCTCCTTCACAGAAAGAAGAGGAGAAATTATATCCTGGCCAAAACGATCGTATATTAGGACCTGAAAGACAAGATGAATTCATAACTGAAAAAAACAGGTTATAAAATCAAAGCATTTGGTAAATGGAAAACCAAAAAGAGCTACATATTTATGGTCTGCTATGGTATATACTTAAACTAACCAACCAAAATTTTTTTTTAAAAATCATACATAAAAGAAGGCAATTTAGCTCCCAACATTTTTGAAACCAGTGGGTATCCGCACATGTGGAAGGGCAATCTTCATGAAGTTCTCTTTAACACACTAGTTCACTTTAAAGGGACACTAGAGGCATCCAGACCAATTCAGCTCATTGAAGTGGTCTGGGTGCAGTGTTCCTGGTCCCTTAACACTGCAATGGTAATTATTGCAGTTTTTAAATAAACTGCAATAATTACCTACCAGGGTTAACTGCACCTCTAGTGGCTGTCTACCAGATAACCAGCATCCCCCAAAACCCCATAGGAACACATTATACAATGCTTTCCTATGGGGAAGTCCTAATACGAGCATGGCGATAGCTGTGCATGCGCATTAAGTCCCCCCGCCTGCCAACGCTGGTGAGGGAGGAGCAAAGACCGAGTCTGGAATCCAGTAAGTGTCAGAAAAGAGAGGGGAGTTATAGAGAGAAACTTTGTTTTCCTGGCAATATAGTTTCCCTTTAAGTTACTGCAGACAGTTTAGAGGAATATGGAGCAGTGTTAGGGTTTGGCTCTGAAGCTGTGCGCCAGGGAAGATATGCTGCAGGTACAGGGTTTGTCCATCACCTTCAGTTATAAAACCTCAGAAAATCAGCTATTCTAATCCAGTGGTGCAAATGTACGTGTAAAACAAACAATTACTAATATTAGCCCAAGACTGTAGGACACTTGAAGATTGTTAAAATATATAAACCCAGCTTTATCGAAATATCTAAAAAAAATACAAACATCTGAGTGCCAGGTTGCTAATCCAATAGCCAAATAGAATCGGGCACCAATTAACGGTATCCTGGACAAACCAGGGAGATCAAACGGTCACCCCAGATTACATAGTTACATAGCTGAAAAGAGACTTGCGTCCATCAAGTTCAGCCTTCCTCACAAATGTTGTTGCTGTTGATCCAAAAGAAGGCAAAAAACCTGGTCTGAAGCGCTTCCAATTTTGCCACAAACTAGGAAAAATTCCTTCTTGACCCCAAAATAGCAGTCAGATGTCTCCTTGGATCAAGCAGCTATTACCCCACTAATTAGAAATTATATCCCTGTATGTTATGTTTTTGTAAGTATTTATCCAATTTCAGTTTAAACATCTGTATGGATTCTGACAAAACCACCTCTTCAGGCAGAGAATTCCATATCCTTATTGTTCTTACTGTAAAAAAACCTTTTCTTTGCCTTAGATGAAATCTCCTTTCTTCCAGCCTAAATGTATGACGTTGTGTCCTATGTATAGCCCTGTTTATGAATAGATTTCCAGATAAAGGTTTGTACTGGCCCCGAATATATTTGTATAAAGTTATCATATCCCCTCTCAGGCGCCGTTTTTCAAAACTAAACAGATTTAATTTTTTTACCCCCATAGACTGCAAGTGAGCAGGCAGTCTGTGTGTGATGCATTAGCTGAGACTCCCTCTAAGTTCTGAGCAGCATACGGACTTTTATATTGATCAGTAGAAAGGGATATGACATCACTTATTTTTGGCTCCTCAATACAGCACCCAAGAGAGGTGCACACCAGGGAACGCACTAAGTCTACGGACCTCCACTCCCACTTTCTATTATCACAAAGAAATGAAGACATGCAACTGCAAGTGTGTGTCAATGTGTGTCTGCAATATATGAATTTATGTAAATGTGCATGAGTCATTTGTACTTATGCATGTGTGTGTGTGCAGATTCTAACGTCTGCTTATTGTATCCTCTGCTAAATCAGGGTATAGCAATATGGCAAAGACAGGTGTTAGATACAGTCTTAGGCTTAGCTGGTAGATTTTACCTTCCATACTGGTTCTCCCGTGGTACTCTTTACAACAGGAACATTGAAATTCAGCATACGCTTTAAAGCAGCTGCAAAAACATGCACAACAATGAACAGTGTTATAAATATAATAATTGACATGCCACCCGCACATTCCGCTGCAGTGAAAATTTTGATTATCTGACAAAAGTAAACCAACACAATAGAGAGTCTTACCCTCAAGATCACAACAAACCACCCTTTATAATCAGAAAGAAAGAAAGAAAAGAAAGAAAGAAGCGTTTGACAGCTATTGGCGTGGTACTAAAAACCTCATGTACTTTAAATGTGAGTAGGGATTTGGGATAGTGCACAGTAACTTTTTTGCTTTTGTTCTATGTATTTAAGCGGATGCACACTGTACTCCAATGTTGTTGCCACCCAGGGGTAGTGGGAGTTTGAGCACTTAATTTTGTGTGTTTGTCTTTTGAAATACAAAGCCATGTTACGGTGCAGCTGCCCAGCCCACGTGTTCCCTACTAAGGGTTAATAAATGTGTGGGTGTTTAAAAGATACACATCTCTGTATCATTAGTGACAATCTCTTGTTTGCTACCTTTGCAAGCCCTCTGTTCTAGCCCGCCCAGAACTTCTGTGTCTGTCCAACCAAAGGCTTCCTAATACAGCATAATGAGAATTTTTTGCAAGGCAGGTGCTCTTGGCAATTGCTGCTTCGAGTTTAGCTAACCAAACCAGGAAGTCATAGGACCAGTTGTCTGATTGACAGCCAGGGGGTGTAACAAGGTTAATTTATTAAAGTGCCAATTTCTATAGAAATCTTTTTGTAAAATAAAAAAAAGAAGACACTCTTTACACATAACGAATTTCAGCAAGCTGAAGTGCTTTAGGGATCTAGAGGGTCCCTTTAAGTAGATCTTAATTATTGCTCATCAACTTTCCAGCAAAGCCAGCAACACTAGGTTCTACTACCAATGGGCGTTTCACTAAACTCACCCTCCAATCCTACTGAAATACTGCTTCCCTCCAGTACAATTAGTCATGATCCCAAAAAAACGTTCATCCACAATCATACACCCAATGCAAAACAAATCTGTAGCGGAGCTCCTTATACCCTGGCTGGGTACCTCCGCCAAGGACCGCTTCCTAACTGAAACCAGGGAAAACCTCAGTGCTTCTTCCGCATTTGCCGTGGCTTGACTGGGGTCCTCCCTCCTGGAGCCTCTGCCTCCTGGAACAGGATAGGGGACTAGCTTTATTTCCTCCCAGTGACTGGACGACACACAATCCTGAGAGCTATAGTCCTTACAAGTACTTTCCCCGCTGAATCCTCCATGAGCTGAAACAAGGTGCTGAGCAGTGATTTGCCCTTTCCCTTCCCATTTACTAGAGCAGGGATAGGCAACCTTCGTCACTCCAGATGTTGTGGACTACATCAGTCATAACGCTCTTACACCCATAATGCTGGCAAAGCATCTTGCGAGATGTAGTCCAAAACATCTGGAGTGCCGAAGGTTGCCTATGCCTGTACTAGACGACATATAGCTCTGGGAGTACAACTGGTTTTAATGAGCCAAACTCGGCCTTTAGTGCACAGACCCCAGCTTGGGGTCTCCATTGTATTCAACACCAGCCCCTCCGCAGAATCTCTGCGAGATAATGGAGTTAGGTAAGCTAATTAGCTCCCATGTACAGAAAGTCCAACACAAAACATAAATGTACCCCCAAAACATAATAAAAACATACAATGCATATTATAAATCCCTAAATAGCCCTGATCTGAGTGCCAAAGCTGTCCAATTAGCATTCAGATCTGTGCAGTGTAGGGGAAACGCTAAAGTAAAATTTTTGACCAGCACACATTGTCCCAAGCCCAAAATAGCTCCAGGGCATTTGGTGCTTTTGCTGGTCAACTTTCGGAAACTACTGCGGCCGCAATACGGGGTGCTCCGCCTAGCTCTCATGTAAAGTTTGTTCCCTTTAGTCTCAGGCATCCTCCTTCCAAAAAGCGCTCTCCTGGCTGGTTGCAAAGTGGTTCAAAACCCCGGACCAAGTTGACTGGGGACCCAAGAAATCCACATGACGAAATAAGTTCCATAGCGGTCGCGGCTAAGTACCGCTGAGGACCATTCATGAGTCTGGTTCATGCGATCGGCCGCCAGTGAGCTAACGTTCCATTCCATTCGAATGAAGGGAAAGTGCCGAACCAGGGGCACCCAGGGAAAGCTGCTAATGGCGGCTGGGTAGGGTAACTCCCAAACGGTAATGGAGGATGGGCATGAGGCCAGCTTTTACACTCCTCCAGGAGTTTGTGGAAAATGTTTGTGGGATGGAGCGTTTTTCACTGCATCTATTGCATTGGGGGGGGAGGGGGGAATCAAAAGCGACAGAGCCACAAAATACTTTGTGCCAAAATTGAATTGTTGAACCAGTGTGGTTCTATATTCCACAATACTGTACAACAGGTAAACAATACATACAAGAAAAAGCGACAAATAACTTATTTAAACAGGAACAAGAGGTGACAATAGCCCTGTAAGCAGAAGTTGGGATAAAGCAGAAGAACCGGTTTTAGCAGCCTAAAAACAGACACTGGATGCATTTTTGAGGATATGTATAATGGGATACAGGAATGGAGGGGTTTGCAGGTAAAAACACAGATGCAAAGTTTAATTCTGGAAGATACAGGATGCTAGTGCAAAAGCAAAACACACAGAGAGGCAAAAAGTCAGGAAGATTAGCCTGTCTCCAGCATTTTTAAGAGGATTGCTAGAAGTTAATCCGTGAACCCACACTGCAAGGAAGAGTGAGTTCAGACAGAATAAGAATGCATGAACAATTACGTTGGTTGCCTCTTGAAATACATAGCAGCAAATGGGAGCTATATTTTTAAGAAGAAAGTAGCAGGACTAGGAGATTGATGAGATGTATTAAATACTAAATATATTTAACATATTAAAATTATTTTAAAAGTGATGCAGCAAGCTTATATGGCTACTGACAAAAAGGGAAATGTTTTGCATTGGAGAGCTTGATTTTAAGACAACTGGAGACTTGATCCAGAAACTGAAGTACAGTCAGGAAAACAAAGATTTGAATATCATCAGCATACTGGTGTCAATCCAAAACAAAATTTCAGATTACTAAAAGAAGCAGCGCAAATTAAAAACAGCATGTAACTTAGAATCAAATCTTGCTGAAAGTGGTAAAAAAAGAGAACAAATAAAGATCAGTGATAGAGCCTCTGTAGAGCAAAGGGGAATGTCACCAATCTCGAAAGCAGAAGAAAGGTCAAGGGGGAATGACTAGGGTAGTGAACTTGGAATATAGCAGAGAATGCATTAATGGTTAGTTTGAATTTGGTTCAGTTAATGGTAAAATTGTAATCTAGACAACTGGTTAAGCAAAGAGACAGAGTTGAGAATGTTAGTCTGGTATAAACAATATGATCAAGAAGCTTGGAAGTGAACTGAAAGGAAAGAGGTAAATTGAGAGAGGGCTGCTTTAGAATGGCCAAAAAAAGGGGACGGGGCCACTGCAGCAAACCATGTGACTGTGAGTGCCCAAATAGGCAAGTTGGGTTGTCTTTAATCACATTTGTTGGCCCCATTGAGGGTGTGCCATGCACAAAAGCAATGCTACTGTACTCTCTGCCTGTTCCAAGTGCTCATAGCATAGAGCAGGGGTAGGCAACATTCGACACTCCAGATATTGTGGACTACATCTCCCATAATGCTGGCAAAGAATCACGGGAAATATAATCCACAATATCTGGAGTGCCAAAAATTGGCTAGTGCTGGCATAGAGCACGCTTGTACAATGGATTCAGGACAGATGGGATGATACCAGAAAAGAAAGAAAAAGATAATGAATATGTTTAACGGACTACTCAAAGCACCAAAACAACTGTAGCTTAATGAAGCGGTTTTGGTGTATAGATCATGCCCCTGTAATCTTACTGCTCAATTGTCTGCCATTGTGGAGTTAGATCCCTTTATTTATGCTGCAGTTCTAGCCACCTTTTTGTGGTTCTTAATCTTTTGTTACAGGGACCAAAATTATGTATACATGATTAGCTTAGTGACCTGAAATCCAATTTTAAAAAACAGTGTGACACTCACGGAACTCTATGAATGGCTGCACTCGAGCAAAAGACAGAAGGTAAGAACTACAATAACTCCTAATAATATATAATTTACTTTATAATAAGTTATATAATTACTGTTATTATTAAATGTTGAATATTGCATGACAAATATTATGTTACATTCCAATATTAACACAGGAGGCATGTATCCCTGCATTCATTACAAGCGATCAACTGCACTGACCATTATGAAACAAAAAAGGTTAATTACGTTACGTTAACCAACCAATATAAGCAGCTTGAATAATTATTTCAGCAACATCTTTAATGCTACAGTTGAATGATTTCACTGGCATTCTCCCTTCTCAAAAGCCACTTTCCTTATTCGCATTTCTTCATCCTTGACCACCACTTGCCTGTCACACAAGTTTTTATCTCATTGACCACCATTGCCCTGTCTTGCAGCTTCAATCAGGAGTTGCCATCTCACTCTCTATTCTTTACAGCTACTTTCCAGTCTACCAACAACTCTCTCCTATATTGTCACTTTTCCCATTCCAGTTTTCCTATCCACTAATTCTTACCATTCTGTCTCTAGGTCGTCTACTGTCTCCAGTCTCCCAGCTTTCCCTCCTTATTTCACACTCCTAACCTCCGCCTTTTCTAATGTCACATCCCTTCCCTAATACTCCCTCTTCTAATGTCAAGTCTGAGTCCCCATCACTTCCTCCTCTGCCATCACTTTCCTATTCCCATCACTCTCCTATTCCCAACACTCCCTTCTCTGCCATCACTCTCCTATTCCCAACACTGCCTTCTCTACCATCACCTTCACATCCTCCAGTCCCTCTACTATCACTTTCTGTCCCCAATCTCTACCTTCTCCTGTCATTTAACTCCTGAGTTCACATTTAAGCCCCCAATCCTGCATGCCCCTCACGTTGTCCTGCTCCTCATATTACCCAGCGCTGCCCCTCACGTTATCCTGCTCATCACGTTATCCAGCGCTGCCCCTCACATTATCCTACGCTATCCCTCACATTATGTATTGTTAACCTGTTGTAAAGTATTGTGGAGTATAGAACCGCACTGGTTAAACAATTCAATTTTGGCACAAAGTGTTTGGTGGCTCTGTCACTTGATTTCCCCCCTAAATGCAATAGATGCAGTGACAAACGTTCATCCCACGAACATTTGTCACAAACTCCTGGAGGAGTGTAAAAGCTGGCCTCATGCCTATCGACTATAGTCCATTACCGTTTGGGAGTTACCCTGTCCAGCCGCCATTAACAGCTTTCCCTGGGTGCCCCTGGTTCGGCACTTTCCCTTCATTCGAATGGAACCAAACGCTAACTCCCAGGCGGCCAATCGCATGACCCAGACTCATGAATGGTCCTCAATGGTACTTAGCCACGACCGCTATGGAACAAATTTCGGCATGAGGACTTCTTGGGTCCCCAGTCAACTTGGTCCAGGGTTTTGAACAACTTTGCAACCAGCCAGGAGAGCGATTTTTGGAGGGAGGGTGCCTGAGACTAAGGGGAACAACCATTACACAGCGCTGCCCCTCGCGTTACCCAGAACCGCCCCTCGCGTTATCCCGAGCTCTCCCTCACTTTATGCAGAGCCATCCCTCACTTTATCCAGCGCTCTCACTCACATTATGCAGAGCCGTCCCTCACATTATCCAGCGCTCTCCCTCACATTATGCAGCCTCGTCCCTCACATTATGCAGCACCCTCCCTCACATTACGCAGCACCCTCCCTCACATTACGCAGCGCCCTCCCTCACATTACGCAGAGCCCTCCCTCACATTACGCAGAGCCCTCCCTCACATTACGTAGAGCGCTCCCTCACATTACGCAGAGCCGTCCCTCACATTACGCAGAGCCCTACCTCAAATTACGCAGAGCAGTCCCTCACATTATGCAGAGCTCTCCCTCACATTACGCAGAGCTGCCCCTGCTCCAGGTAAATTCTCCCCCCGGCATTCCTCTCCTGCCCCCAGGACCCCTCATCCTAAACACCTGTCACCCCACTGAACTCCTTCCCTGGGCTCCGTGACTGGGGTACCCGGTGACCTGCCCCCTCCGGTGCCTTCCCATGGCCCTCAGTGAGGTTTCCGTGTGTCCGGTTCCCGGGCTCCCTGTGACTGCTCGGTACTCACCGGTCTGCTTCTCCCGTATAGAGGCCGCCATGTTTCTCGCTCAATCCCCTCCTTTGGCCGTGACGTCAGCAGCAGTGACGTGGCGCCCATACAAACCCCAGCTCGCAACGCGCCGCGCGATCAGCTGCCCGGAGTTTCCAGGACGACAGAGTCCACGCCCTCTCACTGACCTGGCATGGTGTGCGTTCCAAGCCTCGATACGAACCCGGAACTGTGTGTGCGTTCCACGGATTGTTTATCTTTTACACTTAGTTCAAGGTTTCTCCAAAGCCTGGCCTTCCAGGTGTTACTGAACTGCAACTCCCTTCATTCTCTGGCCATTCCATTCAGAGAATCATTGGAGTTGTAGTTAAGTCACATCTGGAGAGCCAGGGAACCCTGTGAGCCCAATGGGCATTCTAGATTTTGTATGGCTGTTTAATGGGGGATTATTCACTGAACACAAAACTACAGCGAATTAGGATCCAAATGGCAACATAGAGGCCAACATAGCAAAGCTCTGACTGAGTTATTCACTAAAGTGAGAATTCAACATGAGTTTCAAATTCAAAATTGCCAAACTGTAAAAAAATAAAAATAAATATCCAAGTATGCTAACCTTTCATCTTAAATGCTCTGGCCTTAAATTTGACATTTACTTTGAATTCTCACACTAGTGAATTACACTGAATATTAAAGGACCACTACAGGCACCCAGACCACTTCAGCTTAATGAAGTGGTCTGGGTGCCTGGTCCAGCTAGGGTTAACCCCCTTTTTTTTTTTTTCTTTTTTTTTTATAAACATAGCAGTTTCAGAGAAACTGCTATGTTTATAAATAGGTTAATCCAGCCTCTGAAGCCTCTAGTGGCTGTCTCACTGACAGCCGCTAGAGGCGTTTGCGTGCTCCTCATTGTGAAAATCACAGTGAGAAGATGCAAGCGTCCATAGGAAAGCATTATGAATGCTTTCCTATGAGACTGGCTGAATGCGCACGCAGCTACTGCCGCGCATGCGCATTCAGCAGAAGAGGAGGAGAGCTCCCCGCTCGGCGCTGGAAAAAGAGGTAAGCTTAACCCCTTCCTCTCCCCATATGCCCTCCTTTGCTATAATTAAGATCATTAAGAGTAGTCCACAACATTCTGGAGTGCTTAAAGGGACACTGTAGTCACTATAACCATTTCATCTCTTTGAATTGGTTAGAGTGCCTGGAGTGCCCTGGCACTGTCCCTCCATTCAGTGTTTTACCATGTTCATGCAGTATGCCACAAAATAAGAGTCCCTGGCCACCCACAGTCCGGCCCCTTCTGTATGTGTAGCTAAGGACGTAAAAACCCAAGGGCAGAGTACAGAATATTTGATAGAGTCCTAACCTCAACATATGAGGAAAGGGATTTAGGGGTGATTATTTCTGATGACTTAAAGGTAGGCAGATAATGTAATAGAGCAGCAGGAAATGCTAGTAGAATGCTTGGTTGTATAGGGAGAGGTATTAGCAGTAGAAAGAGGGAGGTGCTCATGCCATTGTACAGAACACTGGTGAGACCTCACTTGGAGTATTGTACGCAGTACTGGAGACCGTATCTTCAGAAGGATATTGATACCTTAGAGAGGGTTCAGAGAAGGGCTACTAAACTGGTTCATGGATTGCGGGATAAAACTTACCAGGAAAGGTTAAAGGATCTTAACATGTATAGCTTGGAGGAAAGACGAGACAGGGGGGATATGATAGAAACATTTAAATATATAAAGGGAATCAACACAGTAAAGGAGGAGACTATATTTAAAAGAAGAAAAACTACCACAACAAGAGGACATAGTCTTAAATTAGAGGGACAAAGGTTTAAAAATAATATCAGGAAGTATTACTTTACTGAGAGGGTAGTGGATGCATGGAATAGCCTTCCAGCTGAGGTGGTAGATGTTAACACAGTAAAGGAGTTTAAGCATGCGTGGGATAGGCATAAGGCTATCCTAACTATAAGATAAGGCTAGGGACTAATGAAAGTATTTAGAAAATTGGGCAGACTAGATGGGCCGAATGGTTCTTATCTGCCGTCACATTCTATGCTTCTATATGTCTAACGCAGAGATTACACACTTCCTTGTTGTCATACCCATTCATACCATCAGTTGGAGCTTTGACAGTCAGCTGACACTCTCAGCCAATCACAGTTGCCCATTGCTGCACAGGCTAATACTTCCTTATTAGCCAAAGCAGCCCAGAGGGGATGGACTGCATTGGACTCTTGTTTAGCATTAGAATGTTTAATGCTAAAATAAATTATGGTACCGGGGACTCCAGACACTATAACCAGATTAATGAGATGAAGCAGATACAGTGCCTACGGTGTCCCTTTAAGATAGCTTACCCATATTATAAACCACCAGCGCTACCCAAAAGGTAGATTCCCAGATGTTGTAGGGATCCCATGATGCTTTGCCAACCTTTAGAAATGCAAAGCATCATGGAAGTATTAGAATATCTGGGCACCCCTGGTATAAACTATATCCTCTGCCACATTATTAATAATCATAAAAGTATTTAACCAGGAACAGTATATTCAGATTACTCTGGTTTTCAAGTACATCCAGGGGTTATTACTATTACCCAATTTAATGGGACTAATTTTATCTACATCGGAAGGATGAAGGGCAGAGTGAACCCTGCCGGTATTTGAACCTGCGACCCAAGGGTTGAACAGATTCTACTGATGATGCATTGGCCCACATTTATAACAGCAAGTTAGAGCTTCCTCGTTAAATGTCAATTCTTTCCTATTTGGACAACATTGATTGAGGATAGGTTAGAATTCTTCACGAGTGGTATTGTTCTTGTAAACAAAGTGGACTTGTTTGCCTTTGTCCGTTTTTGTTCTTTGTTCAGTATATCTGAAATATGCAGTTCTTTATTGTGGTTTTGTATTTATAATGTAAATATAATATACATTTTAGTGACTAATGGTGTTGGACCTTTTCATGGAGTTGCATAATCTAGGTTGGAGGGGGGAATTCAGTCATTAAATTCAATCTTTAAAGGACCACTCTAGGCACCCAGACCACTTCAGCTTAATGAAGTGGTCTGGGTGCCAGGTCCAGCTAGGGTTAACCCATTTTTTCATAAACATAGCAGTTTCAGAGAAACTGCTATGTTTATGAATGGGTTAAGCCTTCCCCTATTTCCTCTAGTGGCTGTCTCATTGACAGCCACTAGAGGCGCTTGCGTGCTTCTCACTGTGATTTTCACAGTGAGAGCACGCCAGCGTCCATAGGAAAGCATTGTAAATGCTTTCCTATGCGACGGGCTGAATGCGCGCACAGCTCTTGCCACGCGTGCGCATTCAGCCCAGGAGGAGGAACGGAGGAGGAGAGCTTCCCGCCCAACGCTGGAAAAAGGTAAGTTTTTAACCCTTTCCCCCTTCCAGAGCTGGGCAGGAGGGGGACCCTGAGGGTGGGGGCACCCTCAGGGCACTATAGTGCCAGGAAAATGAGTATGTTTTCCTGGCACTATAGTGGTCCTTTAAAAGAGTTGACTCTTTATCAAAAGATTCAGCCATAATTGTGCCAATTTCGCAATGATAGCCTGTACTAGAATTGCCCACAATCTACCTGTAAATTTAGGTAGATGGCGGAAAGTTCTATTAAAAACTTATTTGGATCCAGATTTCAGGCTTTGAGAATAATGTCTGGATTTAGTAAACAAATGCCTGATGGTTGAGAAATCTGCCACTATTAAAGGGACACTATAGTCACCAGAACTACAGCTTAATGTAATTGTTCTGATGTGTATAGGCGGTCCCTGCAAGTATTTAAAAGTAAACACTGCCTTTCATAGAAAAGACAACTTTACATTACGGACTAGGAACACATCTAGGTGCAGTCACTAAGAAGACCACTAAAGTTGCTACCTGGGTCAACGCTGCACAATGTGCAGCACTAATGTGCTGCATGGAGGCACTGACCGTTCCTTATTGAGATGCATTGATTAAATGCATCTCTATGAGGAGATGCAAATTGACGCAGCATGTGGTTTGCCACACATGCACCATAGCCTCCCAATGCTTTCCTATGGGAAAGCAGTGGATTGGCTGAGATTGTCAATTTTGATGATCTGAGCAAAGGAGGCGGACTGGGGCAGAGCCAGCTGCAACAAACCTGTGTGGCGCTGGAACAAAAAGAGGACTAAAAATAACCTTTTACATTGCTTACAGGGGGCTGGACACCTAAACTGTGTTTTCACAGCTATAGTGACAGGGATAAGCTTGTCTTCCTGTCACTATATTGTTCCTTAAAAACAAAACAAAAAAAAAAACAATGTATTTTCAGAGAAAGGTATAAGGGCTCTGTATTTTGAGAGAGCAAACAAACATTTAACTTCATATCTCCCCCTCCCCCATCTTGTAATATTGTACAAGACAAATGGTCCCCAATGTTATATGTATTATCTATATGGTCTTCTATAGTATATGTAAGTTGTGTAGTGAGATCCATTATGTTTTTCCAATATCTATGTACTAGGTGTTATATTGGGAGAGAAGACAAGTTTTAAAAGCGACTTCTGGAAAAGTATTAACTTTGGTATTTTCCCTCCAGGACGGTTTTTGTAATTGACGTAAGTGCATCTGACTGCCCACAATACTGTTATGCGTTCTAGGTAGCCATGATCGCCAGTACGTGTATAATAAGTTTGTATTCTTTCTACAGGAGACTGGCACGTGCACCAGTGTACCAATATCTGTATGAAAATTCAAGTTACACCATATTAGTACCCTTAACATTGGCAATGTCCTTGTCTTCTCACAACCAGTTGCTGGAAGTCCCAGTTTCTCAGAGACCACTTGACATCACTCTCAGTAACCATGAAAAAAAAAACAAAAAAAAAAACCTCACTCTTCATCAACACAATCAAGCTAAACTATGTCAAGCAGCCCCAGCTGGCACACCCACAACCCTTATCCAGACATAATGTAGGTGTGTGTGTATATGCATACATTGTCATAATTATATGATGGGCACATATGTGTGTCTTAACCACTTACTTGCATATTTGCGAGCCATTTGGCTAGTACATATACAATTCTTAGGAGCACATTAAATCAGAACAGCCACATTTCGCAGAGAAATACAAACAAAAACCAACACACATTTAACAAATGCAAAGGTAACTTAAAGAGATTTATTTATTTGTTTCCAAGTGTAGTTTAAGAACAATAAAAGTAAAAAAAAATTCTAGTTCACAACATTATTCATTAATTTAATAGTAAACCAAAGTACCTTACATAGTAATTAATTAGCAATATTAAAAGATTGATGGGGTGGGGCTGGCCAGAGTGTCTGTTGGTTTGCATGCCATACTTTCCAACTGGACCTGTGACAGTGACACTTACTCTTTGGCCCACCCACGTAGTCCCGATTTCATACATTCGAAGAAGCAGCATAGGCACTGATGTTACAAAGTTAATTAAAACACTATACAAATGTAAAAAGGATGTTAAAAGAGTTAACTCCTTTAGAAAACCTAAGGGGAAAAAAAAAAATTAAACCACTTATCAGATCTACCAATACATTATAGGTAAGAAAGTTTAAAACCAACCACATTTCAGAGGCACATGGGATATACCTGCAGTGCTCTTTGTTTACATCTAGTAATATCACCCTGTAAACTGCAATCAGACCGTTTATTCCATGTTTCTGTTTGCATCCTAAATCCTATAATTCTAAGCTGGTCGATCCATAAATAACTTTGGGCTTCACTTCAGGGACTTGCCTTAACTACGACTGACCTGACATTCAGAATTTATATCAACCTCACTACTTTGCTGTCTCTCCTGACTTTAGAAGTACATCTTGACTATATTTCAATATCAGGCACACTGTCTTTTACTACAGATAGAAGCAGAGACACTATAGTGTTAGGAATACAGATTTGTATTCTATAGTGTTCCTTTAATAATGGCCCCATCACCATCATGCCAGTGCCTCCATGACATAGTGTCCCTCCTGTACCACTTTCCTACTTAAGAACACTTTCTCAAGTGGATCAGTTCTCCCCTTTGACATGTTGTCTTCAATGCCAACGCATTAGTGTCAAACCAGATTGACAACTGTCATTCTGTTCCAATACTAGCAAGCATGAGTAACAATTATTAGGAGCAATCATGGCAATTACAGAGCATGTACTGTAGCTGCTGTGACAGAGCAGGAGAACCATCTACAAGGGGTTCCTTTGCTCTTCCCTCTTACTCTAGTGTCGGCAAGGAAGACACAGACCTTTATGCTGACAATTGTTTGGCATGTTGATAGGGACTTTTTTCCATTCCTAAGTACCTATATATTTTCTAATATAATTTATAGTGATCTGTTTCCTCCCATCAATTGTACGGTGTTATATACCATAAGAAGTACAGACCACGTCAGTGTTTTAAAGTAGTCATGGTACACGATCCCTAAATGTGCAGCTTCTCATATTGAATATACAGAGAGATATTTTATGTTGGTACTGGAGGTGTAACTCCACCTCCAGCAGTCTTCGTTAGACAGCCCGGAATGAGCGTTAATTCTGTGCAGAGAGATTTATAAGCAACTGGCTTCGGAAGCTCTAATAAAGCCAGTATTTTTTAATCTGCACTTTCCAAACATTGACTGAGGCATGCACTTAAAAAGCAGTGTTCTAATCCGCATAGCCAAAATAGCTCATTTAGTGTTTATAAGTCTATGGGTGATGCTCCCTAAGTTTTGTCAGACCCATTTTGAAGCGGTTTTATGAAAACCAGGGCTCTTCTTAGCCCCCCAAACTTCTAAAATAATTATCTTGAATGGTGTGACAAAACGAGGGGATGCAACCTAGAGAATCTTAGCACCATAACCACTACAATAAGCTGTTTGGTACACAGGGTGTCTCTTCCTATGCTATAGAAAATGAGTGGCGTTTAAGGTTTTAGTGGGGTGGTGTTTAAGGCATTAGTGTGCAGGACATAGCTTTAAAGGTTGAGAAACAGAAGAAAAATGAAAAACAAAATAAATAAGCTCGGCCGACATACAACAAGGCAGCAAGAAATACTTATGAAAATATGACAATGCATCCGTTTAAATTGATACTCGTATTCTCTATTAAATAAAGTGACAGAGCAAACAGATGTTGAATCTACAGACAATTCAATCAGTAACATTAATACTGTAATTTCACATACATTGGATAATTCATGGAAAAGAACAGGTGCAGACTGTAAATATACTGTGTCAATACTAGGAATAAATCCTACACCCGCAGACACATACACACACGTAAAGATTGGCAAGTAAAGAAAATACGTAGGAAAAAACAACATATAAATATATTACAAAACTCAAAGACTGGTTGCTTTGACTCCTAGTCTCCAACACTCAAGTCATTTAGCTGAAGCCAAACAACATTACAATGGCTTGAGTGAGTGTGATCATCCTCTGTTTAAATACCCACAATGCTTTGCAATATTCCTGCATGTCCATTTAAAATGTAAAAACTATTTATATAAATATATACAAAAATGTTACTCATCATGAATAACATGAACATTATAAAGCCACTTAACACCCCATTAAAGGACTAATAAAAAGTACACGGATATACGAGCTACAATTATTAGTAAATGTAATTGGATTATCTCTTTGATATCTGGACAACTCCCTCCCCCCCGCTCCCAATAAACATAATATACAGAACGGTTTGTAGATTAAACCTTAACGGACAAGTAAGTATAATATAAAACAAACATAATTCCAATCCATTGCAGCTGGTAGAACAATATATAGACCAGGAGTGGCCAAATGTAGTTGTACTTCTACAATAGCTGGAAGTCTACATGATGCTTCCTGAACACGTGGGAAGGTGTAACTGTAGAATACTTGGGGATCTACCTTTGGTTGCCTCTGATTTAGACAATGTTAAAGTTATTCCAAGTGCAAGTCACCACTGGAATACTTCCAGTCCAAAAGCAATTAATACTGCGGCAGCAAGTCCCAAGAGACATTAGACAAGAAGAACAAAAATGTCACAATTTCTCTAACATTACATTGCTTTAAATTAATATCATTAGTTTTAAGTTAATATAAAGCACATGATCCTCTTGGAACATTGCGTTGAGCAGTCCATGGTCACTACACAATTACTTGTAAGCCTCAATGTGAGATTAGTTAGATATGTACATTGCATATACATAGAGTTCTATTGTATTAGGTATACTACATATAGTACACATACAGTACTACAGACCTACAAGAATAACAATCAGTAATTTTAACCCTGAGGTGTTTTCTTTTAAATGCGTTGTTCCACATAGACCAAAATAACAACAAAAAAAAAAAGCAAAACTGTATGGATAATGTGGCATGGTGAAAAATTAAGAACTTTTTAGGGACAATATTAGAGGACAGACCTACTTAAAGGAGAACTGTAACATCCCTTGAATTTACACTACTGAATAAAACATTGAAAATCTTAATTCAGCTATAACTTAAAGAGATTCTCGGTTTTCCTTTAAAGGAACACTCTGGGCACCATAACAACCTAATCTATATGAAGTTGTTCAAAGGGAACTTGTCAGAGCTTAGAATTCTATCTATACATTGTGCTAGCAGCTTTAAAAAAAATAGGTTTCTTCCATCTGTCCCAATTCCCCAGCAGAAACTGAATTCTGAGCAATTGAGAGGTAGGGAGAGCATTAGAGAACTCACAGCACATGTGCTGCTAGCATTGGAAGGGTGTAAAAGAATGGAGTGAGACATGGAGGAGATTTGCTCTGCTTGTGTAAGTTTCCAAAGCACGGCAAATCCGCACAGGACAGAGGAGGAGCATGGGTGGACCAAAGGTGGGTGTTACAGAAGTGTAACACCCTCCTCTTTAATTAGATCACGACGGGGGAGCGGAGGGCCAGGTATGCGGTACAGATTTCCTTTAAGGTGCTAAGAGGCCCCTGGTACGGTCTCACCTTTAAGTGTTACCCAAAGTCTGTGTTCCAGCCTGGATCTCCCAGCCCCACTGTTCTGTTTGCTCAGTTTCAGGAAACCAGAAGGGTCAGGAGGGACACCGTTGAGTGGCTGAGAACAGTCAGGTGACCCGCTCAGCGAATCAGTGACTTCCCATTTATAAGATCAGACTTGAAAAAGGTATGTTCCTTTTTATGAATGGTGAGTCACTGATTGCTCTCCCCAATCAGCGGTCCAATCTTTCATTTATTTATTTTTTAATTTGAGCAACCAGAAGGACAAAGCGGCAGAGACATCCAAAGATGGAACACTGATTTGAGGGTTAAATCATTCGAGAACAGTTTAACCCCTAAAGGTGAACCTGCGCCAGAGATCTCACGGCACCATACCTTCATTTTGATAAAGTTAAGGGGCCAAACTGGTCCTTTACATTTATATTAAAGAGTTTGCAAGTTAAGTCACAATCCAGTTCAGACAAGGCAGAGCCAGGACAAACATTGTAAATGAAGAGGAGAAATATAAACATTGTTTTGTTTCTCCTCTTTCCTGTAAGCTTTCACAATGCTGACTGCCAGGTGCACAGTACACAGTATCAGACAGGGAGCTAAGGTGAATTGCCCAATTGTAGCATACAGAGGTAAAGGTTTTTATATTTCATTTTTTTCCACCTCTAATACAGGTTTGCTAAATTTAGAGATAAGAAAACATTTACAAAATCCTGAGAATTGGCAGTTCTCCTCAAAGTATTAAACACTAGAATGCATAGAGAGACTTTTCCCTGCTTTGCATGTGTCCATTCATTTACTCACATGCATACAGGAGCCAGTTATTGAGGCCCACAAAACATGAATGGGACATGTTTGATATGTCTAAATATTTGTAATGTGTAATTCACTATACAAGTGGCACATTTTAAAATAGTACAAATAAAGGTTGTTTATCTTTTTATAGATACAGGCATTTGCTTTTTTTGTGTTTCATAGATGAAACGTGCAGTTATTAATTAGGGTAAAACCTAATCAGTGCCTAACTTGTATATTGCTGCATGATAGTTTAAAATATTTCAACTTTACAAAATTGTTTTGACCATTGACAGCTAGACAATCTAATAAAAAACTAAAATAAAAAAACCACCATACGCGCTTACAGGGCAATTTCCTCAAATATCTAGACAGGCCAAACGCCAAAGCAAAGCAATTTCATGTGACTGTCGACATAAAATGTATATTCTGTATAATTATGTGGCTATAACATTTTTATATAATCAATGTCTTAACTCCCAACAGCTCCCCAAATTTTTTTTCCAAATTTCATCAGAAATGGTCTCCTGAGAAAATGCTCAAAATGGCAGTCTTTGTCGTTGCACAAAATGGCAGTATGTAGAAAAATACATTTTTCTGAAAATGTCACAACAATGTGGGTACTTTTTTCAATGTCTTACAGGTGGGGATTCCAGAGTTGTTGGCGGGTAGAGGGAAAAAACCCAAAAACACATCAGCATTTTTGGCTTCTTTTCCAAATACGGTGTTAGAAGTGAACTCCAAAGGAAATGAGGAAGTTCAGCTATGCCTTCGGCAAAGTTTTACATATGGCCTGGTCCAAACTTTTACAGAACTCTATGTAACTTGGAAGTATCGGAAGCTTTAAGCAGTTATGTTTTCTATCTGCAGCTGGAACAGCTCTGTGACTGAAATGAACAGTAGGCGGAGGATTAAAACCTGCTGGTGGAATTGAGTCCAAGCCGGTTACAAAGACAAGAATGTTCTCCAAAGAGACCGCAGTAGACCCCTCTGTAAGATAAAAAATATAAATTAAATATAAAAAACTACTGCTTTTTATCAAGGTTCCAATCAAAAAAATTAAAAAGGCCCTACCGTTGAATTTTATTGGATGAGGTACACAGAACACAAGCCTTTGCCCAGTGGTATGAAATATATACCACTAAACTCACAGGGTTGTTTAGTTCAGAGGGATTAGTCAGGATTTAAAAATGTTAGAACAAAAGTACCCAGGCAGGAAGCATAGCTGACTTAGCTTTATATTTGACGTTCCCAACAATTCTCACTTTAGTTAGTTAATAACCCTTACAAATTATTTTATAAGTACAATTAAGAAAATTTAAACCCTCCCCCCCCCTACCTAAAATTTATCAATAGAGGAATAATTTGCAAGCTTTCCAGACAAGGTCCCTAGCCAATAAAAGTGTCACATATACAATATTTTATTCTCATTTAGTGAGTATTCATGTTGGCAAATAAACATAGTTAAAGGACCACTATAGGCACCCAGACCACTTCAGCTAAATGAAGGGGTCTGGGTGCCAGGTCAAGATAGGATTAACCCTTTTTTCAGTAAACATGGGTTAATTCAGCCTCTAGTGGCTGTCTCATGGACAGCTGCTAGAGGGCTTCCGCGCTTCTCACTGTGATTTTCACAGTGGGAAGACGCTTGCGTCCATAGGAAAGCATTGTGAATGCTTTTCTATGGACTGGCTGAATGCACGCGCAGCTCCTGCCGCGCATGCGCATTCAGCCGAAGAGGAGAGCTCCCCTCCCAGCGCTGGAGAAAGAGGTAAGTTTAACCTCTTCCTCCACCTAGAGCCCAGTGGGAGTGGGACCCTGAGGGTGGGGGCACCCTCAGGGCACTATAGTGCCAGGAAAATGAGTATATTCAACATGTGTGCCCTTCCACTATAGCTCCCTTTAGTGCCCACCTCCCCCCCACGATGCAGAAGGTAAAAACCCATTCAGTCACTTACCTGGGAACACTGCCAATGTCCCCTGCCAACGTCAGCAATGGCCTCACTCGCATTAGGATTTCCCAATAGGAAAGCATTATACGATGCTTTCCTATTGGGGATTCTGGTGATGCTGGATGTCCTAGAGGTAGAGCAGGGGTTCTCAACCTTGCCCTCAAGGACCCCCTACCAGTCCAGGCTTTAGGGATTACCTGGGTGTGTCCAAAGGTGTTTAGAAAAAAAACAACAAAAAAAACACCTTAGAGTCCAAGGTTTTTTTTTTTTTCTTCCCTTTTTCTAAACACCTTAGACACACCCAGGTAATCCCCAAATCCTGGACTGGCAGGGGGTCCTGAGGACTGGGTTGAGAAGCCCTAAAGGAGAGTAACCCCCACAAAGCTAATTATTTCAGTTCATAAAAAAACTGCAATAATTAGCTTGGGAGGGTTAAGGGTGCTGGGACAGTGCACCAAGACCACTTCAATGACCTGAAGTAGTCTGGATGCCTATAGTGATCCTTTAACAACAAAGGGACAGGAGTCTGAAAAGAAAGGTCTTCATATAAAAACAAAAAATTCTTCAAAATCCACCATGAACAGGTTGGCATAAGAAGGCACCATATTTGTGGGTACAGAGGGTTGGGAGTAAAGACTCACTGGTTGATACCTGCTTAACAACAACAACGTCCAAATATTTCATTAAAAAGGGATACAACCAGTGTCTCTTCCAGGCAGCTAAACACAAATTTAGGGTTTTGAAACTGGTTGATCAGCTGAAGTGCTTTTGGGTTGAGGAGTAGTCTTTCTTAAAGGACCACTATAGTGCCAGGAAAACATACTCGTTTTCCTGGCACTATAGTGCCCTGAGGGTGCCCCCACCTTCAGGGTCCCCCTCCCGCCAGACTCTGGGGAGAGGAAAGGGGTTAAAAACTTACCTTTCTCCAGCGCCGGGCGGGGAGCTCTCCGCCTCCGATCCTCCTCCTCCCTTTCGGCTGAGTTGCGCGTGCATTCAGCCGGTCTCATTGGAAAGCATTTACAATGCTTTCCTATGGACGCTTGCGTGTTCTCACTGATTTTCACAGTGAGAATCACGCAAGCGCCTCTAGCGGCTGTCAATGAGACAGCCACTAGAGGATTTGAGGGCTGGATTAACCCATTTATAAACATAGCAGTTTCTTTGAAACTGCTATGTTTAAAAAAAAAAAAAAAAAATGGGTTAACCCTAGCCGGACCTGGCACCCAGACCACTTCATTAAGCTGAAGTGGTCTGGGTGCCTAGAGTGGTCCTTTAACTTGCCAGACAGATCTTTTAGTCCATCTCTTGAAGTATCCGTGCGGCCTGGGCTACGTTGGCAAGATCATAAATGCCCTGAAAGGCAGAGCGTCACAAAACAAGACCTCAATTTGCAATATGAATTCTGAAGCACCAGTCGCACGTCACTTTAGAGAGATGAGACACACTGCTTTCCTACGAGGATTTCCCTGACGCTGGATGTTCTTATGCACACAGTGAAGATGTCCAGTGTCATTTATAATGAAAGAAGAGCCTCGTAACGTAACCAAATCAAAAAGCAGCTTAGAGTACCCTTTTAGGAGCTGCATTAAGTCATTCAACTGGACTATTTGAATGAGGCAGTGTAATGTGTATTTACCAAGACTTGTTTCTTTATACATGGTGCATAGAAATAGAAACAAAACCAACTAACCTTCTGTGTCTTCTAGGTAGTCAATCCAGAAACTAGTGTCACTTTGCCGATTTGTGTAAATGTCTTCAGGATATGCAACTGTGAATAGTTCTGTCATCACCTTGGCTGTCAACTTCTCTTGTTTCATGCAGAGGACACTCCAAAAAGCAGTGGGGTGAGCCTGAATCTTATCCAACACACCAAGGGTCTTCAAACCTTGTTTAAAGCTAGAAAAAAAACACCACATACACACACATTATACAGGGTGGCCTAAACATAGGTATACAGTAGAATCAATGAAAGTCAGCACAACAGATCATATGGGTACATATACACACTGACACACAAAGTGGTAGTTACAGGTCAGACACTTAAATATCAGTGTGGAAGTTGGAGAGAATGTTGGAGGGAAGAAAAGAATTACTATTATTTACTATTATTGTGAATGATGGACATTGATGCTGACCGGAATATGTGCTGTACTGTGTGTCGCAATGTACTTGACAGGTTCGTGGAATGTTGCAATGCTGATATAGATCTACCAACAATTGTATGTTATTGCAACACAATTTAGGTGCCCTGTTAATAGCTATAAATCAGTCTGGGAATGAACAATAAGGCTAGATGGTATAGGCTATAGAAGCAGTGTAAAGGAAACTCTTGGCACCACAACAACTTTATCTCAATGAAGTTGTTATAGTTCCAGGAGTTCCATTGGTGCAATCAGGGGTAAAACGCTTTACAAACATACACAGCGCTTACTACTGAGGAACACCTCTAGTGGCAGTCACTCAGATGCTGTGCAGCACTGACGTTCAGAGTATCCACACACTGTATGGAGGCGCTGAATACTTCCCATAGAGATGCATTAATTCAATGCATCTCTATGAGGAGTTGCTGATTGGCACAGCTTGGCATTTGCCGCATATGCGCAATAGCCTCCAAATGCTTTCTTATGGAAATGCATTGGATTGGCTGAGCTCATCAAGTTTGATGATCTCAGCCAAAGAGGCAGAGCAAGGCCGGCCAAGAGGACAGGACATCTGCACGGCTGTGAAAATAAGGCAAGTAAAATGTTTTTACTTTGCCGACATGGTGGGGAATTTGAGAATTCACATAAGCAAAACATATTGGATTAATAGGATTCTTTGAAACAATGACAAGAGTAAACTGTATAAACACAGAGTACCCAATATACACAATTCATATTGTAATTAAGTGGTTATGCTTCTAAGGTTACCTCTCAAGTTGCTGCTGCACTCTACGTATCACGTGATAAGCCAGAATGTCCTTGACCAGCAGCGCCTTATCACTTACAGCCTGCACAAGGTGCAGGCTTCCGGTATTCTGCAAGTATTCAAAGTACTGATTGACTGCAGACTTAAGAGAATTAATTTTGTGGCAAGATTGAATCTGTTAAAAAATAAAAATAAAAAAATAACTCAAGATTCAAAATTTTATTAGTGTCTTGCATGAGATATACAATGTTTTCACAATGAATAGGTTACTTAAAGGGACACTATAGTTAACAGAACAACTACAGCTCATTGTATTTGTTCTGGTGAGTAGAATCATTCCCTTCAGGCTTTTTGCATTAAACACTATTTTCAGAGAAAATACAGTGTTTACATTACAGCCTAGTGATAACTCCACTGGCCACTTCTCAGATGACTGCTAGAGGTGCTTCCTTGGGCAGTGCTGCAGAGTAAGCAGGACTGCCAACCAGTGTCTCCACCCTCTGCATGGAGACACTGAACTTCCCTCATAGAGATACACTGATTCAACGTATCTCTATGAGGAGATGATTGGCCAGAGCTGTATTTGACTTGTGCTGGCTCTGACCCTGATCTGTCTCCTGGTCAGTCTCAGCCAATCCTATGGGGGAAGCATTGTGATTGGCCCAGACCACCACTTCTGATGAATTTAGCAGACAGCAGGTCAGTGGCAGAGTTAGCAGCTGCAGACTTAAATACAAGTAAGATTTTACTCAATTTAGGGAGGCAACGGGGGCTAGATGGTGGTTTTAACACTATAGGGTCAGGAATACAGGTTTGTGTTCTTGACCCTATAGTGTTCCTTTAATTGAGTTACCTGGCATAATCAGCACACTTGCACATTAGCGTATCCTTGCCGAGTGATGTTGCAGGAGGCAGAGCCACAACCCAGTGCCGAGATCAATTAAACCTTTATTTACTGCGGCAGCGGGAGGGAAGAGGCACATGAGAGAGGGGGGAGGTAGAGTGCCAGAAATACAGCTTTGTATTCATGGCAATATAGTATCCCTTTAAAAGTCACTACAAATCTTTTTGTCCGATCCAATGTTCTTCATAGATGAGCATTGTGGATAAAAAGCACATGCGCGTCCAGTGCTGCGCCCCTCCACATAAGTTTTACAGGCAACAGAGGCGTATTTAACGCACTAATTTAAGCATTTCCGTGTCAACTAAATGGCAATGCTTTACATTGCAGGGTAAAAAACGAAGGACCCCTGCACCCAGATCCATCAAGAAGAAAAATTTGTGTGTGATCTCCTCGATCACTGCTCCTAAAAAAGGTGTCCGGTGAACCTAAATGAGGCCCATGAGGATCCAAAGTTATATTCTTGGGGATTGCTGTATCTCTCTTGCAGAGACATGCCTAGAAATTTGGATCTGTACTACCATTATGAGGACTAGTCTTGTGTCTGCTCAATGTCAGACTAGGGAAAGTAAACATTTTCAAAAAGACTACCAAGTTGGCACCGTCCAGGTTTTTTTTACATCAGCTTATAAAGAAGAACAGCATGCTAAAAATGCCAACATAAGTTTAAACAATATACCGTTCGTATTGCTTGCAGCACATCAGGATCCGCAACATCATCCAATATTGGCTGCACATGCTGAGGCTCGTAGATGAGGCAGTAGAAAAGTGTGCGAGAGAAAAAGCCTGGAGCTGGCCCCCCATGAACCAGCGCGACTGCTACCATTCTGCCAGCCTCAAAGTACAGGTTGTCACGTAGTGCTGTCAGGAAAGGGGGACACAAGGGGTTAGAACAAGACATTGCCATTACAAATAGGCCTTGATGATGCATTGTGTGTTTGTCAAATAAGAAAATGCTCTTACCATCAGGATCCATAGAAAGATTTTTCCGCTCAGACCCCTCAAAAAGAATAGAATTTTCCAGTGATTTGAGCAGAAGGTGGAAATACTCTGATGTGGAGACGTTATGCTCTTGGTATGCTTTTCGCAGGTTAAACTCCTTATACTTTACGTGTATAGTGTGAAATGGTGAAAAGCTAGACTTGCGAAAAGCCTTGACAGAACTGTCCCAAATAGACTCCTTCTTCACTAGCAAATAAATGGGATTTCTACACAGTTGAAGTCTTAGGTCTTGAAGGATGTCAGAGATGGCATGAATTGGCCTTTACACAGAAGAGTGGAGAGAGAAAAAAACAAAACAAAACAAGCTGATGTCATAGGGAAATATAAACGCATATTTATAGTCATGTTTCAGACTGCCAAAGTTGATTATTACTGTATTAAAAGCTATACTTCATGAGCTGAGGAGGATTTGCACATCCTGACATACGCAATCCTGTTTCATAGCTCTTTAATGTAATACTCACTAAAACCAATATATGCATCTGATATGCGTTGTATGCTCTGCTGACTGTCTGTAATAAATAAAGCATTAAAAAAAAAAAAAAAAAAAAATCTGTACTCAAATGTAACTTCAATCTTGCTGAATCTGTTTAAAGAGCACCAACAAATTGCCACATTCTATACCTCAAGTCATTGTTCTCACCAATTATGAAGCTAGATCAAGTTCAAGTAGAAGATAAAAGCAAAATACATAGCAACGTACCTTAACACCACACTTTTTCTGGGGCCCTTTGGAGAAGGCTGGTTCATTCCATAGCCCAGATGCCCGCGTGTTTCCGACGGAGTCAGAGATCCAGGACGAGATCTCTTGCCTGATATAAATGAATTTATCATTGTAAAATTATGTCATAGAATTGTCACATTTTGTTTCCACTTTGAAGTTTATTGATGTTTCAGTTGAGTGATGCAATGATACTACACAGGACATTATTGGATGTACACACTGCTCTAGAATAACAGATATCGTAATAACCATGCAGTAGTGCATTAACAGTAGCTGCGTCCTTAGTATGCCCGTACATGGGTTCACTTTATGCATATTAGACTTGTAGCATATCTTAATTTCCAAGATGTATCGAATACTGCACTTATCCATCATCCATAGATGCTTCTTCTGACATGTATCAAGAAAAGAAATTAAATAGCATAAGAAAAACTAACACAAACATAGCCTAGTAACAAATATTTTTGCGTGCATCACGCTGTTACCCTCAGTGGTATGTGTTTTTATGGGTGTCAAGCCCATTAGAAATCTACCTCCATTCCCGAATTGCAATCCCTCTGTTGGCTAGTGCTGTCCCTATCCATTTATACCTATGCACAAGTAATTGCACTCTATCCTCATATTTTATTATTACATTTAAATCCATTCAGCGGTCACTGAGTGTTTTGATACATATTCGGTCCACATTTGTACCGGAGTAAAAGCCATCTGTTCATTTTCCATATTTGTTGTGATTGGAGTTAAGAGGTTTAATATCACAGGCGATCTCCACTTCCAGTAGCAAGGCAACCGCAATCAATGTTTGGTAGAGAAGTTTATTAACTGGTTTTGAAAGGCCCTCAGAGATAATATATAGCAGGAAGACCTCTATGGATAGTAGTATATGTATGCTTATCTCTGCTACAAAATTCCAAAACTGCACCATCAGCTGACAGGTCCATCATTTGTGGAGCATCTTTCCCACTTCCGAGTTACCTCACCAACATTTGTGTATATGCATGCTAGTTTATGGGGAACTATCGTATCTTATGTATGACCTCCATATGACAATCACATGAAGGTCCCCATAAGTCTTGTGATTTTTATGTGATTGTTCTGTAACAGTGGGACAATAGTTTTCTTTGTGGTAATAAGTATAAACATGGTCATCTCTAGTACCTCCCTTTTGCCTGCCAATGTTTGGATGCTATAACTTAACATGTGTGAGTTGCAAATGTGAAAAAAGGGCTTTGTCGTTTAGGTAAAAAATTTCCTGCAGCTTTGGAAATCTGAGCATGGTATTACCCTCAAATAACTAGCACAGGTATGTTATTCCATATTGTTCACCAATTTTTGTGATTGACAGTGTGGCGTATGTATGAAGGGCTGTGTGGCTAATGACCACAGGCATGTAGTCCCATATGGAATTGACAATTTGGTGGGGGGGGAGGACGGTTGACAGATTTTCTATAAACCATGAGTATTAATAAGTTGATAAGGCTTGTGCCTTGTGTCCGACATGTTTCAATGTCACACCATTGAGTTTTCTAGCCTGTGGAGTGACGTGCTATAACATTGGCTAGGTGTGCCGTGTGGTAATATTCTTTTATGTATTAGAGTCCCAAGCCCCCTTATCCTTACATTTTGCTTTAGAAACCTCCATGGAACTCTAGGCTCTCTGTTGTTCCAACTGAACCTGATCAATTATGTGGTTTGATGATTTGTAGTAGTACTTTGATTTGTAACATTCTAAGAAAGTATAATAACTTGAGCAAATGAAGCAGTTTTTGTATATAGATTATGCCTCTGCAGTCTCAATTCTCTACCGTTTAGGAGTTATATCACTTTTGTTTCTGTTTATGCAGCCCTAGCTACACCTCCCCTGCTGTTACCGACACAGCCCACATGAAAAAATGGTTGCACTTTCAATCAGATGTAACTTACTTTAAATATATATATATATTTTTTTAATCTCCAGCTCTGTAAAATCGAACTTTAGTCACATACAGAAGGTTCTTGGAAGATCTAGAAGGCTATTAACAGAGCACGAGATAAAAAAAATAAAATAAATAATCTAAAAACAGAACTTGCAATAAATAAAGTGCAAACATTAGATGACTCTTTACAGGAATTGTTTGGAAGGCAGTGTAAGTCACATGCAGGGAGGTGTGACTAGAGCTGTTTAAACAAATGGATTTAACTCCTAAATATCAGAGATCTAAGCAGCGAGACAGCAGGGGCATGATCTATACAACAAAACTGCTTCATTAGGCTAAAGTTGTTTTGGTGCTATTAGTGTTCCTTTAAGTGTGGTAGAATTGGTTTCAGTCTATTCGCATATATTTTTTTGTGCTTCTAAAATTAGTAGGAATATGGTGGTTTGCCTGGCTTTGGTAAAGTGATTATTTGGGCGGCCAGGAATTCGTATGAAAGTTTTCTGTTTTGTACTGCGTTACGGAGCATCTTAGTTTAATGTGGAACTAATGTGGCTTTAAATGTAAATTAATAAAGATTTGTATAGCCGTCAGGTCCTGGTGCTTTCCCCTTTGGAAGCCCCTTTATGTAGGCCTCTCCTTATTCATTGGTAATGGGTTAAGGAAGGTCAGCCATCTGTGTTGCATTTAGTGTGTTGAGAGCTTAGATAAGTATGTTTTCATTCTCTCTGGCAACTGGGTTACCTTTAAGATTGTTCAGAAAGCCATAATATTTAGCAAACTCACTGCACACCTGTTTAGGTAGCATAACTCTTTGGCCCGTTTGTGTAGTTATATACTGGATTCTTGTTTGTGCTTGTTTCTCTCGTAATCTTTGAATTGTCACATTTAAAATATAGGCTTTAATTTAGACTTTATTTAGGAGAACTTAAAAAAGAGAAAGAACATACTCCATAACATAACCAAGAGACAACAATGATAATGCTTAGTAAAATAACATTCACTTACCAGGAGTACAGACAATGTTCTTACATTCTGTGCAATCCCAGCCCTGGTTGTATTTCATTAGGGACGAACAAGCCAGGTGCGTACCCTTGGATCCACAGCACTGACAACGCAAAATTTCCCATTTACTGCGCAGAAGATGAGAGAGTGAAGTAAAAATCTAGCCAACACAGTCCACTTGTTTCATACGTATACTTGACTACAAAAGTTAAGTCACACAACTGGATACTGTATAAATTAGTTATCTTGAAAAGGGTGTATAACCTGGACAGATCATAGTAGGTTTACAAATGCATTGTGCTTGTAAAACACGAACTGTACTACAGGGGAGAGTCCAGGCAAGATTTAACCTCCAGAAAAGTGAAGGATATTACACATAAAATGTTCTATAAAATGTTACCAAAGGGTTTCTTAAACAGTGAATTCTGATGAATTGCAAATAGATGTGCAAAACGTGGGGGAAGAAATTGAATTTTGAGGAAGTTGTTACATACAGCTATTTATTCAAACTTTACTAAGTTTGCCCTAGAAAGTTTGAAATATTTTTTTTGTTTTCTTTTTTAAGTCAACAAAACTTTCATTTGATTCAAGGCCCGGGTATGGTTATAATAGATGGCCAAAGATAATACCTCTTCAGTAAGACGCTGAATCACATGAAAGTGCTAAAGTTATACAATGTTTCCACAGTGAGCTCACCTGTCTGGTTTGTTAAATTCACGGCCATTTGGACAAATACACATCTCAACATCACAGTGCTGATATCGCTCTAGTAGTTCGTGAAACGCGTTTTCCTCCAACTCCCATGATGCATCCCTGTAAAGATCAAATAATTTAGTAGACAGCCATTAATTATTTAGCAAAAGTCAAAAAGTCTGTTAACTCCAGTCAACTTAAAAATTAGTTCATTCTATATAGTTTCTTTCATCACCACACGTATGTAATAAAGTCTCATTTATGCAAGATACCATATCCAAGTGCCTAAATCTCAGGTAGAGTTAACAAGGAAAGGATACACAGATACAAGTTAGCAGTGTTAAAAGGGAAATGGTCAAATATATTTTATGTAAATTAAGTTTATGCTTTTGGCCTTTTAGATGCATATTTACAAACCCACACTTCTTTTATTGCACAAAAAGCTGTTTTAAAACCAAATTCACCAGTTACTCTTCACACTGTTTTCAGGTCATCGCTGAACGCACCAAGCACCGTTGACATTTAAGTTGACTGAAACCAAGAAGGCTAAACAGCATTTGACTCTGTTTGAGATTCAAAGTAGCAAAACTGTGATTTTAAAACTAGAAAAGAGAACTGTTCAGTCAATTTGGGATGTGTTCTACTTGCAAGCTTCAGAAACACTAGCACCGCACCTAGCAAGTAGAGTGATCACATCAAGGTCAGCCCTCCATGACGCTAAAGAGCATGCGTGCACACACTATATTAAAAAATCTTCAAATAAACACGTACATGCCAAATGTTGAAATGTTTAATGGGGCCCAAATTCCACTTCTCTTATTTCACTTTTAACATAAACATATAATCCTTATGAAATACTGATTAAGACTGTTATACATTCAATGACATTCCAATGCAATATAAACATAGGAGACAGATTAGGTAAGGGCTGCGGTGTCTTATGGTAAAACCTAATTGACAAAAGGAGGAACTCCTCTGTCAACTGTTATCTAAAGCCTTCATAATTGACAGCTAAAGGGATTCAGTTTTTGTCTATGGAGAGACGACAAAAAAACAAAAAAAAAAACAAAACACAAACATACTTAAGTCTCAATTGAATAAAACATTTTTTTTTTTGCATAGTATTTTTCACTACGGTATCAGTTTTTATTTTTGTACATTATTTGAGGTAACGATTTGGTAGGCCACTTTGATACCAGCACCACCTTAACAGGGGTGTGCCAACATATATTATTTTTGTCTATGGAGGATTCCACCATCTCACGGGATCCTCAATAGACCTCAGTGTTATACTTTCGCACATGCAGGAGAGTACAGCACTGACAGCTTCTGGTAGCGGAAGCGGCCTGTGGCAGGAAGATGGCAGCATCGGCGAGGGACAGCCGGAGGCAAGTAAGACTCACACTGGGTCTGTCTGCGTCGGGGATCTTTGCAAAATATGCATGAATAACAGACAAGAAGCAAGAAGGTTGCGACCCTTCGTTAGCACAGCCAGAAAACATTTACCTTTCTGGTATATTGATTCCCATGCGCAGCATTTCGTTCTGAAACTTGTCCTTGTTGTTGCACACAGAGCAGCGGAAAAAATGCAAACCAGCGCTTAGTGCCTGATACTGGGGATAAAAAGACAGCGGTAATATAGACTTTGGGTTGCAATTAAAAAACCTTCAAAAATACAAAATGCAGAGTCTTACACTAAGTAGCTCTTCATCATTAGCTCGATTCAGATGTGTAATAAAAACACTTCAGATGTCATTACATACCTGCAAGCAATCTCTGTGAAACCAGGAGGATTTGCAGCAAGGGCTGTGCAAGACATGGTAGGAAGGGGTGTGTTCAATAGTTTCTAGGCAAATTGTGCAATGAGAGGAACCTCCAAGTTGAGAAGAATGAACATGTTGAACAGGCCGATGATCCCAACAGTATGACCTGTACAGGGGAGTAAGTCATGAACTGTGCACGAAAACTATGTATGAATGAGGCAAAAAACAACCAAAAGATACAATAGGCACCAAAAGAACTTTAGTGTATACATAATGCTACTGCAGTTTCGCTGCCAAACGTGTGTGACTAAAGTTCAATTTACAGAGCAGAAGAAAAAAAATAAACCTTTTAAAAGCAAGCTAACCTCTGATTGAAAGTTAAAGATATACCATATTTTTCACGTTAGATGTGTGAGTCACAGGCAAGGGATGTTTGGCTAGGGCTGCATAAACAGAAACAAACGTGATTTGAGCAGTGACACTGCAGGAGCATGATCAATACACAGATACAGTTTAGCATTACTTTAAAAATAAAAAAAGAATCTTAGATCATGGGGCTGGGACAATGAAAAAGCAGTGCATGCAGACTTGGACAGAAACACATTGAATACACTATGTGCTGAACAACCCAACCCCCCCCAAAAAACAGATGCCAATCTGTATAAATGGTTACTCTCCCCAGAAGAACATCTTTGTAGACCTGAAAAGCCCAACACAAACACAAATATCTTATCGCAATTGGTACTATTACCTGAAGCTGTCTGTGAACTGGAAGATGCATTCTTTTTCAACACCACAAGGGTAATGGTAGCTCTTTTTACACCTGGGGGTCACACAGCCAATGGAGGCTCCCCGATTTTTACATAGACAGCATTTCTGGAGGGAAGAAAGAAATACATTGATGGAGAGAGAATGACAAGAAAGAATCTCCAGCTGGTGAGAGGGGAACTTAGATAAGTCAGTTGGCAACGAAGCATAAATGGGAAAATAAAGCCAGGGCATTTTATGAAGTATTGAGACTTGTATGTCATGTTTGTGATTACTTAAACATAGAGAATCTAAGTAGTAGTATGATAAATACATTGCATATTCATTAATGTGCACAATGGTACACCCGCTGACAGCTCATGAGCACTGGTGACATTATGGCTTTCTGTTGTGCTGTAACATTAAGGGGACATTTCCAATGTCCAGGCCAACTGAAGATAGGTTTGTTCATGGTTTGAAATTAATAGTAAGTAAAAGTAGTCCAAAACTGTAAAGAGAAAGGAACATGTCTTTTTTTAGGACTGTAACCCCTTAGTGACCAGACCGTTTTTCTTTTCTTCTTGCCGTTAAAGACCAGTGCTGTTTTTACATTTCTGCGGTGTTTGTGTTTAGCTGTAATTTTCCTCTTACTCATTTACTTTACCCAAACATATTATATTCCGTTTTTCTCGCCATTACATGGTCTATCTAAAGATACCATTATTTTTTTTAAAACCCACTTTTTCCTAACTTTGACCCCCAAAATCTAAGCATTTACAACAGCCAATAAACCATGCTAAATAGTTTCTAAGTTTTGTCCTGAGTTTAGAAATACCCAATGTTAACATGTTCTTAGCTTTTTTTTCTGTGCAAGTTATAGGGGTTATAGGTACATTGACATTGTAACACTGTCATCTGTCATAAATCTCTGAATCACACCTCACATGTACATATTGTTTTTTAAAGTAGACAACCCAGGGTATTCAATATGGGGTATGTCCAGTGTTTTTTAGTGGCCACTTAGTCACAAACACTGGCCAAAGTTAGCATTCATATTTGTGTTAAAAATGCAAAAAACAATTATGAATGTTAACTTTGGCCAGTGTTTGTGACTAAGTGGAAAAAATAAAAGGTAAGGGCTGCGCCAAGGAAAACTAGATATAAACAATATAACAAATAGTCCAAATAAAATAAGTGAATAAAAAGAAATGAAAAGTCTTATCTAAAATATTTTTATTGAGGTCGTAGAATCTATCTGTACTTGATCCAGAACAATTGTCCTTGTTATTCTCCTCCGTATGGGTCCGGTAATATGTAAAAGATAAAAAAGTGGAGAGCCAAATAGTGTTGTATGCTTAAAAAGATAAAATAATAAAAGGCTGAAATAAAACTCACATTTATAAGATCTTATACTCGCTCTTATAAATGTGTACGCCTTTCACACTAGAGCGAGTATAAGCTCTTATAAATGTGAGTTTTATTTCAGCCTTCTATTTTTATCTTTTTAAGCATACTACACTATTTGGCTCTCCACTTTATCTTTTACATATGAGCGGACCCATACGGAGGAGAATAACAAGGACAATTGTTCTGGATCAAGTACGGATAGATTCTACGACCTCAATAAAAATATTTTAGATAAGACTTTTCATTTCTTTTTATTCACATATTTTATTTGGACTATTTGTTATATTTTTTATATCTAGTTTTCCTTGGCGCAGCCCTTACCTTTTATTTTTTCTCCTTTTTAGTGTTACTTCTAAGGGTTTTTGAGGGATTCCCTTATAGGGTTGCTGCCCACACACTAGGTAGCGCTTACTCTCTGTTTTGTTTGTGACTAAGTGGCTACTAAAAAAGACTGAACATCCCTAATTTGTAAAACCTTGGGTTGTGTTTTTTTGCAAATGGTATGCCATCATGGGGGTAATTCTCATTCCTGGGCTACCATACGCATATCAACTGCAACATATCCAATCTTGCAAATTTCAATGTTAAAAAAAAAGCCCTATATTTCACCCTGTAATTTTCAAAAACACTACATGGGGGGTACTGTTATACTCGGGAGACTTCGCTGAACACAAATATTAGTGTTTCAATACAGTAAAACGTACCACAATGATATGGTCAGTGAAAATGGCGTTTGTGTGTGAAAAACGCAAAAAACGTCCCTGTCACTGACATTAGTCAGTGAGTAATGTCTCACAAATACAACAGTACCCCTACAGTACAGGTTTTATGGTGATTTGGAAAGTTACAGGGTCAAACATAAGATTTGCCAATTTCTGTTTTTGTAAATTGCTATTTGCCAGATTGTCTTTGTTGCCTTTGAGACGGTATGGCAGCCCAGAAATGAAAATTTACCCCCCCATGACATACCATTCGAAAAAAGTAAGAAAACCCAAGGTATTCAAAAAAAAATTATTATTTTGCAAAAACAAATATGAACGAAGTGACTACTACAAAAGACTGGACAATAGTCCAGTCTTTTGTAGTAGTCACGTCGTTCATATTTGTTTTTGCAAAATATTAAAAAAGAAAATTTTAACACAAAAACTGCACTTTTACTGGTGATTTCATCTTTGTGATAAGTTTTACGGTTTTAAACACTCACATTTGTGTTCAGCGAAGTCTCCAGAGTATAACAATACTCCCCATGTACAGGTTTTATGGTGTTTTGGAAATTTACAGTTTGGTAGATTGGTTTGCTAGGTCTAGGTTGCCTTTTAAGACCATATGGTATCCCAGGAACGTGAATTAACCTCATCATGGCATACCATTTGCAAAATGTAGCCAACTCACGGTATTCCAAATGGGGTAAGTTTAGTCTTTTGTAGTAAGCACGAATGCTGGCCAAAGTTGGTGTTTTTGTTTTCAGCATTTTTTTTTTTTTTTTTTTAAACCCCAAAACTGCACTTTTACGGTTTTGAAAAACTCATTTGTGTTCAGCAAAGTCTCCAGAGTATAAAATACCCCGCATGTAAAGGTTGTATGGTGTTTTGGAAAGTTACGGGGTTAAATAGAGGGCTTGCCAATTAAATTCTCTTGAATGTGTGCCTGGGTTGTCACAATTATAATTAATAAAAATAAATAGTTAAATATATATATATATATATATCTCAAAGTACACTTCTAATGAAATCATATGTGCATTATATTTGTATATCATAAAATTCTTTAACTATTTTATAATTATATTATACATATATAATACTTTAAAGTTTCATTCATTTTCTTTACAACATTTTAGCTGTCTGGGGGACTGCCTGACAGCTCCATAGACTCCGATTGCGTCCATGTGATCACATGGCCCTGGAGTGCCGGAGCTGCTGCAGGTGGACTACAGCAGCTCTGGCCGGGGATCCCCGGTCCAGGTAAGTAAATGGTTCAGATTTGCTTCGGACTTCCAGGTACATCCGAGGTCGTTAACGACTGCTTTGTGTCGGACGTACCTGGTACGTCCAAAGTCGGGAAGGGGTTAATAATGGCCATTATGGACACATGTAGGCCTGCCGGTGTACATTAAAATTACGAGTACTGAACCACTATCTAGACTTTAAGTTACCATCCACAGCTATCCTGGAAGTTTCATTAGCCAACGCCTAGAAGAAATTTTGAGGCCTGCATGCATGTGGGATACATTTAGACATACACATACATAGACACTGTATATTGTGCTTGTTCTGTGGTAAGAGTTCACAAGGACAAAATCTTCTTGCCTACCAGTTTCTTGGCTCTATTCACTTCCTTCTTAATATCATCCAAAAGAAAGCCATATATTCCTTCATCCTCTTCTCCTCTTTGCCATATACCACTGGACAACAGCTAAAAGGAAACGCAGACATGTCACATATTCCATACATTTGTTTAATCACATACGTCATATACATAGAACAACACACCTTTTAGCTAAGAAAATTGTACAGATACAGAACAATAAGTTCTGAGGCGATTATAGAAACGTGTCTACCAAGATCACTATACTACTAACTGAGAAGACTATGGATTATATAAGGATGAAAGATGTTTTTGATAAACTTACCAGACAGTTATAGTGCAAGGTCAAGTTATGCAATGTCTTTTTCTCACCATATTTTTCAGGGCAATCATCCTGCCGGCCACAGAGCATGCAAGCTAAAGGAAAGGACATGGAAATAAATCCTGAGTTACATACGGCAAAGAATGCCTACAGTATATAGAACAGTAACCTTTAGAGCAGTGAGGGCCAACCCTCTCGGGATCTGTTACTACTTTAATGGGTATGGTTAAACATAGCCAAGTCAATCTATCTACTGAGGAACAGTGATTGCTCACTGCCAAGAACTAGCACAGGCCAAAATGTTTAAGAAGGCAGTATTCCTTGTACAAAAAGATATTTGCCATACATTTTAGTCACTTGACCATCATTTTCGACCTCTGCAATGCACGAGTGGAGAAAAATAAAAAATTAAAAATACCAGCGTTTTAAAGGGCACCTGTCAAAATACATTATACCACTTTAAAGAGAATATCTTCTCATGTATACATTTTTGTTAAAGGAACATTATAAGGTCAGGAACACAAATGTACTCCTGACCCTGTAGTGTTAAACCAACCACCCAGCCTCGATGGCCCATTAAATATAGTAAAATCTTATTTGTAGTCACGTCTGCAGCTGCTGACTCTGCCCCTGACCTGCCCACTGTCTGCTGACATCATCAGAAGTGGTGGTCTGAGCCAATCACAATGCATAGGATTGGCTGAGCTGGTCAGGGAGGCAGATTAGAGGCAGAGCCAGCACAAATTAAACACAGCCCTGGCCAATCAGCATCTCCTCATAGAGATGCATTAAATCAATGCATCTCTATGAGGAAAGTTCAGTGTCTGCACGCAGAGGGTGGAGACACTGCGCAGCACTGACCCAGGAAGCACCTCTAGCAGCCATTTGAGGAGTGGCCAGTAGAGTTATCCCTAGGTTATAATGTAAACACTGCATTTTCTCTGAAAATAAAGTGTTTACAGCAAAAAGCTTGAAGGGAATGATCACCAGAACAAATGTAATAAGGTGTAGTTGTTCTGGTGACTATAGTGTCCATTTAACTAAATTACTAGAAAATGTTGCATTAAAGCCATGTCTATAGCCTAATGTTATTTCACTGTTGCTCACACTGCCCATTACAATTTTCTAGATGCTCAAAGGAAACCCTACATCCTTAATTTTTTGGACTACTAAGTAAGATGCAAGTTTGACAAAAAAAAAAAAGTGCAGTTTAAATTTGTAACAAAATACTTACGCAAACTCATGGGCGACGAAGAAGTGATCTGACTCATTCTATCAGTTTAATCTTGCAATACCTAAATGTGGTCAAAGATGATTGGAAAAAAATTAAAATGAGTCCATATTATCAAAAGTGGTACAATACATAAAAACAATTAAAATTGGAGCTATATGACATGAGAGATAGAGATAGATATAGATATATATATATATACATACATACATACATACACATACACACACACACACACACACATATATATATATATATATATATATATATATACACACATACATACACACACACATATATACACATACAGTAGAGTAGGATTTAAAGGAAAATAACATTTGTTAGTAGTTCAACTTAAAGGACCACTCTAGGCACCCAGACCACATCAGCTTAATGAAGTGTTCTGGGTGCCTGGTCCTTCTAGGGTTAACCCATTTTTTCATAAACATAGCAGTTTCAGAGAAACTGCTATGTTTATGAATGGGTTAAGCCTTCCCCTATTTCCTCTAGTGGCTGTCTCATTGACAGCCACTAGAGGCGCTTGCGTGCTTCTCACTGTGATTTTCACAGTGAGAGCACGCCAGCGTCCATAGGAAAGCATTATGAATGCTTTCCTATGTGACCGGCTGAATGCGCGCGCAGCTCTTGCGGTGCGTGCGCATTCAGCCGACGGGGAGGAGAAGAGGAGGAGAGCTCTCCGCCCAGCGCTGGAAAAAGGTAAGTTTTAACCCCTTTCCCCCTTCCAGAGCCGGGCGAGTATGTTTTCCTGGCACTATAGTGGTCCTTTAAGAGATTCATCATGGGTAATTTTACAAAGGAACAACAAGTAAAAATAGAGGAATTTTACTTGTGTGCGATAGAGATATGATGGGGAAAAAAATGTTACGTCCTGTAGTGAAAAATCATCTTGAAATGTGGTTTCAACAGAATGGGACTACTGCCCATACAGTCAGGACCACAATGGACCTCCTGAGACAACTCAACTGTTCAACGAGCAGGTAATTTCAAGAAATTCCCAGATTAATTGGCCGTTAAAGCATTCGTTGTGTTGAGCTATTTCAATTGCTTTTGTTTCATTTGTTCATTGCAAACAACTGAACGTCTGTACATTTTGACAATACATTCAAATCTTCAATAGGGGTTGAAGAAATTTCAATAACAACTGTGTGTGTGTGTGTATATCCATCCAATGATGCCATGCTCTGATCCCATGATCGTGCAATAAGACATGTAATGTTGCCATTCAGTTCCGTGTTTCACATCAAGTCACACAAGAGATCATGTCACAGAGTAAATGTACATATCACATGCAAAAATAGTTCCACTTTCAGACACTTTAGTAAAAGACTAGGAGCTCCCCCTTCTTTATTATGACTACATGATGCTAGGCTACCTATGCATTTTCTGGGGGTCTCTCCTAGGTCACCGATCCGCAGGTTTGTGTAACACCATAAGGAGCTACCATGACCATAAATGTTGCATCTCAGCACAAATGACATCTCATTAGAATGCCTACACACAGTCACGCATGAGTCACAGATTAAACATTAGCTAGTTGCTTCACATCCTAAAAGACAGTAGTTTTTTAATTTTTTATTAACCAGTTAATGGATGCCCTATTGCTGTACTGTGCATGCACGAGAGTCACTCACTGAATTTAAAAATAAAAAAACCAAAACATCAAAGCATACTCAAAGAAAGTACAATCACTACTGTGCTACTCCTCCAAATTTCACAAAAGGGCATCTTGTCAGAGTAAACACACATCTCTATTCACATAACTACCAGATCAGGAATACAGTGCATATTGAACCAATTAGAACTGGTACATCCTCATCCTTTGATTACAAAGAAACAAGCCTCAGTACCCTTACTCGTGTAAACTTCAGGACAGCATTGACAAAATCAAAAGTGGTCTTGTTCACTGTTGGAAAAGAACTGGCAGTGGAATGAAAAGGTTTGGATGGGATGTATGTGATCTGTCTATCAGAAATGATGTTCCTGATCTACCCTTGACCTGCATTATAATCCGTTTTAATTTGACAGACCGCAGAGCAGAGAAGTAATCAGAGCTACTAATTTAAATAAAATATATATATATTTTTTTAAATCAACAAGTGATCAACAAGAAAGTTGTAGAAGTTTTTTTTTTTTAAGGTATTGCAACCTGTTGCACTGGAATGTGAACTTTTGACCAAGACATATGAACAATTCAGCACATTTGGGATTGCCCCTGCCAAAAGCTCTGTTAGGGTTAGAATTTCATTCCAACCTTTACAGCAACAGGTACCTAATCTGGCATACATTACACTAGTCACATGGCTAGAAGCAATATATAAATTAAAGTTATTTTATTTACGGATACACTCCTGGTAAAACACAACATCATTATTTTTAGGTTGAGAGCTGCACAGCCATTTGCATGCCTTTACAGGAGTTTTCTCAGAAGAGTGTCATTCACAATCTTTAGGAATGTATATTTGTTAACATACACACTATGCGCATGCACAGTAATGTTGCTGGTTATCCATAAGATAATGGGGGACCCAGTGACTAGAAACTGCAGAAACCAAAAAAAAAAAAAACAACTGTGGTTCTAGTGCCAAGAGCAGGGGTAGGCAACTTTTTTTTATTTTTGGTAGTACTGTGTCAAAACAAGAAGTTGAAGTCCCTTGGCGTGCCGGTCTTTTTTTTTTTTTTTTTTTTTAATTGAGATGTGTGTTACTGTATTCTGCTTGTGTAATTTAGGGTTGCTGCAGTTGCTTTGTACCATTGTATTTATGGATATGTGGGCTGTTATATTGTGCCTGATAACGATAAATGTGGGCTGTGTATGGGGGCTGCTTGTGGAATTGTGTGTGTGGATGTTATGTCATATTGTGTGTATATATGTGTGGGGCTGCTTGGGGTAGTGCATGTGAGGTGCAGCTTGTGAGATTGTGTATGTGGATGGTCAGTGGTGTTGTGGGGACTGTGTGTGTGGGCTATTTATATTATTTGTATAATAGGAAGGCTTCTTTTGCAGCTCTGTGTATATATCTAGCAGTGTGGGTGGCTTCTCTGGGATCCAGGATGCAACGGGTTGGCCAAGTGCAGGTCAAAATCTGTGATAGCTGCTGTGGGCTGCTCTACTCCAGTGCTGGTACCCGTTCATAAGTGCTGAGATGGAGTGATCGTAGATCACTTCCTTTATGCGCTGCAATGGGTAAATTAAGGATTGTCCTTAAAAGGACCACTATAGGCACCCAGACCACTTCAGCTTAATGAAGTGGTCTGGGTGCCAGGTCCATCTAGGATTAACCGTTTCTGCTGTAAACATAGTAGTTTCTCCTTTACAAATGGGTTAATCCAGCCTCTCGTGGCTGTCTCATTGACAGCAGCTAGAGCCGCTTCTCACTGTGATTTTCACATTGAGAAGACGACAGCGTCCATAGGAAAGCATTGAGAATGCTTTCCTAGGAGACTGGCTGAATGCGCGCGTGGCTCGTATCGCGCATGCAGCCGATGGCGGGAAAGGAGGAGGAGAGAGCCCGGCGCTGGAAAAAAGGTAAGGGATTAACCCCTTCCTCACACTACAGCCCAGCTGGAGGAGGGCCCTGAGGGTGAGGGGGGCCCAAGGATCACCACCTGCAATCACCACTTAGTTTGCACTAGCAGATTTCTGACAGGCCAGTGTCTGTTTGGCTCTGGCAACCTAGAGTGCCATGCATGACATACGTGCCGTGGATTGCCTACCCCTGGCCTAGAGTGTTCCTTCAAAGTATTTACTGTAACAGCAAAGAAATTGACACTTTTAGAAACACCTTTAATGAACAATTTCAAATACTCCCTACCACAGTCCTCTCATATTTATGTTTCTTTTTTCTATCAAACACTGAATTCAGTGACACGCAAAGCACAAAATCTAAAGCAGAATAGATTGTATGGAAAACGACAATTTTTGTTATGCAGTTACAAGCTGTTTAAACTTGATTTTGCAATTCAGTGGACTTTGCATCAAAAACAAAAAAACAATATGTTTTTTCCTGTCATGCAATTACATTATTTGATTTTGATCCCTCTTTTAGTCTGCATTGTTTATTTTTAAGAAAATATGTTTACACATTTAAACAAGCCTGTGTAAATATCCAAGGTGAATGACATCTACTTAAAAACTCATAGGGTGATCCTATGTCACTTCTTTGACCTATGGAGTCAAACACTACAAGAATGTGTTAATTCATTGCTGCACTGATTGATGTGCGGCAGAAGGGTAAGCCCAATAATTTAAAGGACCAGCGCAGGAACCAGCATAAAGAGGCAGCGCGGCCACCCCTAACATTTAAAGGGTCAGCGCGGCCACCCCTAACATGTAAAGGGGCAGCGCGGCCACCCCTAACATGTAAAGGGGCAGCGCGGCCACCCCTAACATGTAAAGGGGCAGCGCGGCCACCCCTAACATGTAAAGGGGCAGCGCGGCCACCCCTAACATGCGCGGCCACCCCTAACATGTAAAAGGGCAGCGCGGCCACCCCTAACATGTAAAGGGGCAGCGCGATAACCCGTATAATTTAAAGGGTCAGCGCGGCCACACATCAAATTTAAAGGGTCAGCGCGGCCACACATCAAATTTAAATGGTCAGCGCGGCCACACATCAAATTTAAAGGGGCAGCGCGGCCACACATCAAATTTAAAGGGGCAGCGCGGCCACACATCAAATTTAAAGGGGCAGCGCGGCCACCCATAACATTTAAAGGGGCAGTGCAATAACCCGTATAATTTAAACACCAATGGTACCATCAACTTGCAGGGAGAGTGAAAGAAGAGGATAGTATGGCTGCTTTCCAGGACAAAGGAAATTAAGAAGAGAGATAACTACTAGCTCACACAACAAACCCAAACCCCGCCCACAGGCTGGTTGTTTACACAGCGCTCAGATAAACACAGCGCCGTGCTGCCCACACACCTGCAGCCGGGCTCCCCAGCACCGGGTGTCTGTCTCCCGCGCCGCCTCGAGCTCCCCGGATAAACTTCAACAATCCTCGTGCCGGTCCTTGCTTGTCCCTCCTCACCAGGAGACATTCAAACTGCCCGAAAATTCAAACCCTAACATCCGGCTCCGCCCCCCCGGAAGCGGATCGGACGGCTCGCAGCGATTGGATAGGGCGGCTGGCTGGCAGGTCGTGCTTGCGTTCCAAGCCTCGCTCTGATGGTGAAGCCGCTTTGCAGGCACCGGATTGGTTGGACAGTTCCCTGACTAGAAGCAGCTCTGGTGACGTCGAGCTGTGGGCACACAGTTCTTCCGCCCGCCCTTCCGTGCCGCACGGTGCCTGCCCGCTGGGTGTAACTGTGTGTGAAAGGCACTTACATGGTATTTATCCTCTGTGGTAACCCTGCCACAATGCAGTAACCACGCCCCTCGGTGACGTCACCGCTTACGTCATAGCTGTCTGCCCCCCTCCCAAGACTCTGCCCCTAGTAAAAGCCTTACTCCAGGTACAGTCACCACCTGGGCATTCTCAGTGGTTATGGTACCTGTATGTGCAGTGCCCGCCAATAGAATAACACGATGGCTAATGTCAATTCTGTGCAACACTGGCATCTGACACAGCATGGAGGCAACAAGGCAGCTAATGGCAAGAAAGTCTCCTCAGCCCTTACTCCCTCACTGAGAGGGACTGCTCCTCCATGCCACCCCTGTCCTCCCCACAGCCCTTACTCCCTCACTGAGAGGGACTGCCCCTCCATGCCACCCCTGTCCTCCCCACAGCCCTAACTCCCTCACTGAGAGGGACTGCCCCTCCATGCCACCCCTGTCCCCCCCCTCAGCCCTTACTCCCTCACTGAGAGGGACTGCTCCTCCATGCCACCCCTGTCCTCCCCTCAGCCCTTACTCCCTCACTGAGAGGGACTGCTCCTCCATGCCACCCCTGTCCCCCCCCTCAGCCCTTACTCCCTCACTGAGAGGGACTGCTCCTCCATGCCACCCCTGTCCCCCCTCAGCCCCCTTCACTGGGTGGGACTGCCCCGCCACCCCTGTCCCCCCCTCAGCCCTTACTCCCTCACTGAGTGGGACTGCCCCTCCATGCACCCCTGTCCCCCTCAGCCCCTTGCTCCCTCCACTGGGTGGGACTGCCCCTCCATGCCACCCTGTCCCCCCTCAGCCCGCCTCCCCTCACTGAGTGGGACTGCCCCTCCATGCCACCCCTGTCCCCCTCGGCCCTTACTCCCTCACTGGAGGGACTGCCCCTCCATGCCCCTGTCCCCCCCTCGGCCTTACTCCCTCACTGAGGAGGGACTGCTCCTCCATGCCAGCCTGTCCCCCCTCAGCCCTTACTCCCTCACTGGGAGGGACTGCCCCTCCATGCCAACCCTGTCCCCTCCTCAGCCCTTACTCCCTCACTGAGGAGGGACTGCCCCTCCATGCCACCCCTGTCCCCCCTCAGCCCTTACTCCCTCACTGGAGGGACTGCCCCTCCATGCCACCCCTGTCCCCCCTCAGCCCTTACTCCCTCACTGAGAGGGACTGCCCCTCATGCCACCCCTGTCCCCCCCTCAGCCCTTACTCCCTCACTGAGAGGGACTGCCCCTCCATGCCACCCCTGTCCCCCCCTCAGCCCTTACTCCCTCACTGGAGGGACTGCCCCTCCATGCCACCCCTGTCCCCCCCTCAGCCCTTACTCCCTCACTGGAGGGACTGCCCCTCCATGCCACCCCTGTCCCCCCCTCAGCCCTTACTCCCTCACTGAGAGGGACTGCCCCCACCCTCCCCTCAGTCCGCCTCACTCTCCGACAGGAGGACTGCCCCTCCATTCCACCCGGTCCTCTCCTCAGCCTTACTCCCTCACTGAGTGGGACTGCCCCTCCATGCCACCCCTGTCCCCCCCTCAGCCCTTACTCCCTCACTCAGAGGGACTGCCCCTTCATGCCACCCCTCCCCTCAGTCCTTACTCCCTCACTCTCCGGCAAGGAGGACTGCCCCTCCATTCCACCCCGGTCCTCTCCTCAGTCCTTACTCCCTCACTGAGTGGGACTGCCCCTCCATGCCACCCCTGTCCCCCCCTCAGCCCTTACTCCCTCACTGAGAGGGACTGCCCCTTCATGCCACCCCTGTCCTCCCATCAGTCCTTACTCCCTCACTCTCCGGCAAGGAGGACTTCCCCTCCATTCCACCCCGGTCCTCTCCTCAGTCCTTACTCCCTCACTCTCCGGTGAGTGGGACTGCCTCTCCATGCCACCCCTGTCCCCCCCTCAGTCCTTACTCCCTCACTCTCCGGCAAGGAGGACTGCCCCTCCATTCCACCCGGTCCTCTCCTCAGTCCTTACTTCCTCACTCTCTGGCGAGGAGGCCTGCCCCTTCATGCCACGCCTAGCTTCCCCTCAGTCCTTACTACCTCACTCTCTGGCGAGGAGGATTGCCTCTCCATGCCACCCCTGTCCCCCCTCAGTCCTTACTCCCTCATTCTCCGGTGAGTGGGACTGCCCCTCCATGCCACCCCTGTCCCCCCCTCAGTCCTTACTCCCTCACTCTCCGGCAAGGAGGACTGCCTCTCCATGCAACCCCTGGCTCTCCCCTCAGTCCTTTACCCCCTATTCTTCGGTGAGTGGGACTGTCCCTCTACACTTTTTTTTTCTAAAAACACCTTAAACATAACTGGGTAATCCCTAAATCCCTGGTAGGGGGTACTTGAGGACTGGGTGGGTAACCACTGCTTTAGAGGGTTTCCTAGATGTAGAGCATTATCGAAGATGTAGTCCACAACATCTGGAGTTCTGAAGGTTGCCTACCCCTGTCCTATGCAAAGCTTAACTTGGGACACCACTCACATTGTAAACAAAAGTCCTTGGCACACATGGTTTAGCCATCTTTATGAAGATTCACAATTCAGTAGCTTTTTGCTTCTTTCTCAAGCTCAGAGATTGATCGTTAAAGGGACAGTCCAGGCACCTGATCACTTCTGCCCATTGGATTGTTGGAGGTCCTCGCACTATGCTTGAGGACCTCCAGCTTTGCCAGAATCCCCATAGGAAAGCATTGAATAATGCTTTCCTATGGGGAGGTCTAATGCGCGCACACGGCCATTGCCGCACATGCACATTAGGTCTCCCCCGTCGGCAGGGGAGGAGCATGGGCGGAGCCTGACCCGGCGCCAAGGGACATCCGCGCTGGATTCAGATAAGTCACTGAAGAGGTGGGAGGGGGAGGGGCACTGCAGGGTCCCGCAGTGCCAGGAAAACAGGTATGTTTTCCTGGCACTGGAGAGTCCCTTTAATAAAGTCTGCTAAAGAACTAAAAAAGGTGTGTCCGGATTTTTGTTAGTTATTGGGATTCTATGGAGATTTGCCTATTCTGTGTGGTGGCACAGTAGGGAAAAGGTCAACGTCACGAACGCACCCTTCTTCAAGAGTGTGCGTGATGTAGTTGTGGTGGTGAAATGGTTAAAATTCACTATTTGTCTGCACTAGACCAGAAATAATGATAAAATCCCACTTAAGCATAATAATATAAATATTACTATTTTAACACTGCCACCACCAAGACAATTTATAAATGGGATGCCTTGGTTCCCCAGGTAACTGAATAATAAAAACCCAACAAATACAACTTAGCACAATATCTAAGAAATTGCAAAACACTCATTAATAAGTCTCTTCAGGTAATGTGAGTCTTTGAAAGTAGACAAAAACAAAGAGTGGAATAGCACTAAGCAGCACACCTAGATGGGTAACTCTCTCCTAATAACCCAATAAGGACAAACAACAGTACAAGACAGTAGGGTGCGCCTGGGAGTTAGGAGTGAATTAATACTCAATTATGCAACCAAAGTAAAACTAATAAAATAATATAAAATCATATATGCATAAAAGTAAATAAGCCAAAAAAGTCCAAAATGAAATATAGAAGTATAGGTAAGTCTATAAGGGTTTGCCTTTATCTTCAGGTGAGTATGTCTTCCAGGTAGTTGGAGTCCAGGGACATAAAATTAAAAAAAAAGAAGGATTCCAATAGTGCAATATGTTTAAAATATATTAAAAGCTTAGGTAAAAAGAAATCCATATGGCCTACTCACATGGGATAGAGCTTAAAACCAGCCCTAGTGTGAAGCGCTTGCAGTGGTATTATTCCCCCACTTCAGGGATATGGTGGAATGTATAGACCAGTACATATCTTGTCAGCAGGATATGTAAAAATACAAACAAAGGTACAACGGATAGTGCTCTCTGTATAAAATATATAAATCCAGGAGAAATAAATTAATAATACTCACATTTACCTGAGCAGATAACCCTCTCAATGTAATCACCGTAGGTGGTATAATCCCCACCAGGGATACTTTGTGAGGTCCTCACTGGGAAGATAAAAACTTGATGCCAGGTAATAAAAGAAAAATGAAAAGGTATATGGTACTAATATTGGTAGTAAAACATACCAAAACCTTTATTAAGACAATAATAATGTTAAAATAAGTCCACAACGCGTTTCACCCACAATGGGCTTTTTCAAGTGGTAATAACTGTAATAAAGTTATAACTGTTTTTATCTTCCCAGTGAGGAAAATGTGATACAAAAAGGTAAATGTGATACAAAAAGGTATATACTTAACATAATATAAGCTAGGTCTTGTCTCCTGATATACAGTATAGCCAGACAATTCTTATTATTCTTGACCTAGGCTACTTTCCATTGCTGTAAATTCCATTAACTATATAACTTTATGTTTCCTGTATTACTTTGGTGTTTTTACAAGCTCTCTTTGTTTTATCTTCCATCAAGATATTTTGTTAAACCCGGCCACTGTAAGGACCAGTAATGCACTTCTGATCTATATGCTGTATACCGGGTTACCAGTCATAATTCCGACAAGAGGTAGGTGATATTCAGTTAATGGTTATCTGCCTTGGAATGAACATAAATGGCTAAGTTGGGGGAGATTAGTATTAATATATATATATATATATATATATATATAAATATACTGGATGATGATTTAAAATACATGTTGGAAATTTTAGAGAGTACTCTCAATCAGTTTCTTGTATATATATATAGCTGTA